ACACCTGGCTAGTAATTGTAAATGCTGAAACATATCTGGCCCTAAAGTTTCCACATAAGTAACTATGTGTCTTTGCTTTTTAAGTGTCTTTAAAGAATTTACCACTCTACCTCTTTGCCTTCAATTTTTTGTTCTTTCCTTTTTTTGGCAGGGTGGGATGGGAATTGAACCTGGGGCCTTCACAGTGAGCTACATGCTTAGCCCTTTTAAAGGTTTTTTGGTTTTGCTTTTGTTGTTGTTTTAAAGACAGAGTCTTCTTAAGTCTCCATTAAGTTTCTGCCCAAGCCAAGCTCAAACTTGAGATTCTCGTGCTTCAGCCTTTCAGAGTGCTGGGATTACAAAGTCATGTACCACCATGCCCAGATTCCACAGATTTTAGTGTCGCAGTAGCAATCATAGTAATGTATCAGAGTAAGTACCTTAGTATGACTTTATATGGTTATATTTCAGCTTACGTAATCCTAAAAGACATTATTTCTCCTTTTGCACAAGGGGAAACCATGTCCAAAATCTTACAGAGTTGTAGTTTGAATCTAAACTTGTCTTAAAATCATTGCATTATGCCATACTATTTGCTAGGTAAACAAGTTACAAGTCTTAAAATTAGTGAATTTTTTGGTTTTTGGTTTTTGGTTTTTTGGAGTCTTGCTATAAGTTCAGACTGGCCATGAGCTCACTTTGTAGCCCAGGCTGGTGATTGAACTTGCACTGATCCTCTGCCTCCACCTCCCCAGTGCTACAATTACAGATGTGCAGTACCACACTTGACTCAAATAGTACATTTTGATTCTTTAGCTGATTTTTTGAGATGGAATATTCAGTTTCTCAGTGCGTGTTTTGGAGTAAATCAGGAGATTTGTGATTACTGTGGTCCTGTATGTATAGGAAGGGGTTTGCGATGGATAGCAGAATACATTGAATAAAGTGTTAGTGAATCTAATTCACTCTTTGTATTTAGTGTGCACTCACTAAATTTTTATGGAATTATCACTTTGATTTTAACTTTTTAATACTATCTTGGACTCTTGTTAAACTTTGTTAAGAGTTTATGACTCTGAAAACAGTCGGAAACCGGTCATGGTGGCATATGCCTCTGATCCTAGCAGGAGGAAGGCTGAGACAGATTGTAAATTTGTCTAGCTGGGTAGTTTAGCAAGACCCTGATTCAAAATGGCGGGGGGGGGGGGTGCTGAGAATGTAGCTCATTGGGTTTGATCCCCAGTACTGCAAAACTAAAACAATTGAATTGCTAAGTGGGGTTTTGGTTTGGATATGGTTTAAAGATGCACACTAGGAGCTTGGTTCTCAGTGTGGCAGCATTCTAAGAAAGTGGTGGAAACTTTGCAAGGTGGAGCCTTTATTGGGGGCTCCATCCTTGGAAAGGATTGTGTGTGTGCAGGGTATTGTAGAAAGAGCAAGTCTGGCCGGGCGTGGTGGCTCACGCCTGTAATCCCAGCACTCGGGAGGCTGAGGGTGGGGGGATCCCTGGGAGTTTGAGACCAGGCTGGGCTACAAAGTGAGCTCAAGGCCAGCCTGAACTGCATAGCGAGACCCCGTCTCAAAAAAGACAAAAAAATAATAATAATTAAAAAAAAAAAAAGAAAGAAAGAGCAAGTCTGGCTGCTGAATCCCTGTGGCTTCTGGTCTCTCCAAACTAGCACTATGATGCTGTGTTGTAGTCAGAAGGCCCTCCCAGAGCTGAACAAAAGCAGGCATTGTGCTCTTGGAGCTCCTGAGATGTGAGGAGGTTTACTTAGGTAAACTTTTTTTCTTAACAAATTGTTAGCATCAGATGGTTTGTTAATGGCAACAGAAAATAGACTAACAGAAGATTTGGGATTTTCATATTAAGGGAAAAACTACAGCTGCATGCACTCAACCCACAGAAAGTATTTTATTAGTGTTTTTGAAGTTTCACCTAAGTTTTTATTTTATGTGTAAGATGATACTGTGCCCGGGTGAGGTGACTCACGTCTGTAATCCCAACAGGAGGCTCATAGGGTCAAGGCCAGCCTTTAGTGACTTAGCACGTATAAAAAACATTTAATAAAAATTTTATCTCAAAGTGAAATACAAAAAGGAATGTAGCTCAGTGCAAAGATCCTAGGTTTAAACCCCAGTACCCAAAAAAAAAAAAAAAAAAAAAAAACCACCATGTAAGCAATAATACATGATTCATTAGGAACAGTTTTTAATCATTAAAATCTGGCAGTTACAATCATAAATCTAGTAATGAATAATCATCAAGCAATAATTATCACAGCCATTCCCCAAAATAGCAATTGATGTGCATTAACTTTTAAACTTGCTTCTCCCAGTAGGAATAAGCTTTATAACTTTTCTAGAAAAATAACTGCTAATTATAAGAATTTTCTTGTCACTTTTGACATTAATTTTGAAAGCATTTTAATGCACTCCTATAGGTTGCAGCATATTCATTATGAATTCTCTCTTTAAGACTTTAATATTGGGCTGAGGGTTTAGCTCAGCGGCATAAGCACCTGCCTTACAAGCAGGCAGTCGTGAGTTCGATCCCCAGTACCGATAAAAAGGAAAAAGACAAAAAAAAAAAAATATTAAGACTTTAATATTACAAACCTCCGGCTGGTCCGATGGCAGTGGGTTATCAGAACTTATTAACATTAGTGTCACTAAAGTTCGTATACCACCACCACCACCCCCACTGCTAAATTTGACTGGCTTTAAAAAATATGTATATATATTACAAACCTCCCTAACATAGTGACTGTTACCACAGGCCCTGGTCATTCCTCACAGTGAGGCACAGGACCTGACATCTGTAACTTAAAGGAGTAGATGTTTATTTTGGCTCACAATCTCAGAAGTTTTAGTTTATGGTTGGTAGGCTTCAGGGCAGAAGAGGTATGGTAGAAAAGCACTGGCATAGGAACACTGCTCATGCAATGGTGGCCAGGAAGCAAAGGGCTGGACGGGGAGAGAACCCTTCCAAGTCATCTCCCTAGTAACTCACCTCCACCAGGCCCTGGCAGGAGCAACTGGCTGTGACATGCTCATGATCCAGTTAGTCCCAAAGCCCGACTTGTAGAGGACGCTCAGTCTGCACCAGAGATTGTCTTTGGAAAAGTGAGGGTCTCCCTCACGTTCTTACCTGATCTACGAGTATCTTGTATAGTTTAGGATTTTTACTGTGTCCTATTGGTGTTAATGTTGCATAGTTTTAATTATCCACTGTGTTCCTTGGCACATTGTGCATGTGTATGTTTTGTCCACAGGCATTCACAGAATTACATTTGAGGCAAGTGAAGCTTTTATGAGAAAATGTTGATCCATTTCACGTAGAACTTTAATTAAAAAGAAGCAGTGTTTAGTGCTTATTGAAAGAGAAAGAGAAATTAGAAGATAAAAGTTATGTTTTCAACTCTATCAATGAATTTTACTGTTTTTCTTTTAAATAAATTGTATCTAATATGTATGTATTTCAGTTTTTCCTTCATAAGTAGTGTTTATTTATTTTAAAATACTTGCCATGGAGCATGGTGGCATACCCCTGTAATCCCAGCACTTGAGAAGCTGAGCTTGGAGGATCTCAAGTTCCAGGCCAGCCTGGGCTATAACAGTGAGGTCAAGGCCAGCCTGGACTGCATAGTGAGACCTTGTTCCTGTCAATAAATGAATGAATGATTGAATAAATGAATGCACTTGCCAGTTATTCCCAAAGGACTAATCCTTAGAAGTAAATTGACTTGTTCTACAAAGATATAGTATATTTTTAAGCTCATTGAGACATACATATGGCATAATACTTTTATTCCTAGCAGCAGTATATGACAGCATCCTTTACCTGTACCTTCAACAACATAGTTTTTTTTTTTTTTTTAATAATGTATAGGATAGAATTCAAGGCTCACTGAGCTACACATATCCCTTACCCTTTTTATTGTTCTATCTGAGACAGGGTTTAACTGAGTTGCCTAGGCTGGCCTTGAACTTGATGTCTCTGCCTCAGCCTCTCAAATAGTGGGCTTACAGTTTTGCCTGGTGATGTTTGATGCTTTTTAATATTTATATTCTTTGTTTTGGGACTTGAACTCACAACCTTGTACTTGCCGGGCAGGTACTTATATCACTGTGCTAAATTCCTGGCCTCTTTTTAACATTTATTAGTAATTAACTGCAGTGTTTATATCAGTGTGCAGTTGTGTGTTGGTGAATGACAACATCTAGGAAGTATGTGAGGCAGTTTTGTTGCTTTGAGAGTGCACTATCACAAACCTAGATGACATGGGTCAGTCACCTGATACGGCCTCTCGCTTGATCAAAGTACTGGACAAAAAGATATTTAAGACTGTTGGCAGTGTAACAAAGTATTTTTTTAAAGGAAGAGGAACTTAGTCTAAAGAAACAAAAAGTTAAATGTATACACAGAAGCCTCATTATTAGGTGTTGTGTACTACACGTTACCTTATGCTGTCTGCTTTATGCATCTGACAGTGCAGTGGCTGTGTTCACAAGAGCGTGGCCACAGACCTGTGAGCGGTGGGTTGGGCTCCACCTGCGCAGTGCAGTCGTGTCACGCTGTGCTCTGAGGCCACAGAGATGGTGAGGAGGCAGATGGTTGGGTGGTTAGTTCGTAAACACGTATGTTAGTGCATGTACACATACAAATATGTAATTTGTGTATGTATGATGTCATTAACTTTAAACAAGTTTGATATTTAAAATGCCATCTCATTTTCCCACAGATTTTTTAATGTAAAGTGAAAAAGTTTAAATTATTACTTAGATTTTTAAATTACCTAGTCATAGTCACCTATTTTTTTTAATTTGAAAGGGTTTACAATTTCCTTTTACTTTGCTATGGTTTATGAAATCGTATTTTACTCTTCATATATTATAAGTGCATATTTTTGTGGCTTAAGGTCATTTTTAAAAAGAATAATTGATTGCTTGTATAATTTTAAATCTTAAAAGATCTATCTGAAGCTTATGTAGAAAAATAATTTTATCTTTCTCTTTAGGTTTTCTTCCTACCTTTAAGTAACACCATTCTCAGCTGTTTTAAAGATAATTCCATCTTTGCCTGGGAGTGTGATACTCTTTATTGTAAATATCAACTGCCAGCTCCACCTGAAAGCTCTAGTATATTATACAAGGTATTTGCTGTGACCAGGTAATGTATAGTTTAAGACACTGGGAATTGAGAAATTTAACTCTTGATAAAAAATTACAAAGTTTCATTTCATATCGTTTTATCATATAAAAACATTTCCTTCAAATTTAAATGTAGTTTGCAGACTTTGTTTTTGTTTTTACTTTACTGTGTAAAATTAGAGATATACACAAAAATAGAAAAGTACATGAACCTATCTTATCATCTACAGTGATGTCAAGTAATGGCCACTCCCATTTTTATCTTAATTATGTGTTTCTTTTGTGTATTGTTTTGGAGAAAAGCTTAAGCATAGTATTTCACCTATCAGCATTTCAGTATATGTCTCTTAAAAAAATAAGGGCTCTTTTTAAAACATAATCATAGTTGTTGTTACCATTGTTTTAAAAAATTAGAATTTAATCCTAGCACTTGGGAATCTGAGGCAGGAGGATCGTTGCGAGTTCGAGACCAGCCTAGGCTACAAAGTGAGCCCAAAGCCAGCTTGAACAGCATAGTGAGACCCTGCCTCAAAAAGACACATACACAAAAAAATTACCATTTAATTTTGTTATATATAGTCATTGTTAAAATTTACCCAATTTGTGTAATACTTTTTAATGACAGTTATTCAAATCAAGAGTAAAACAAAGTTCCCACATTGTGTTCTGTGGCTTTTTCCTCCTTTTAAACTTTTTTCTTGTAGTTTTAAGTGATAACTCTTCTGCGGGGTTTTGTTTCTGAACTTTTCTGTGAGCCTGTGGTAGTATTTAGTGCAATTCTGTCATTTATGTTTCCTGTACACTGGTTAAATTTATATTTCCTGAAAACTGGAGGCTTGATTTGAATCAAGAGCAAGAAAATAAGTGGGTTGTGTATTTTGATCAGGAGCAACCAAAAGCAGTTTCTCTTTTATTTGAGTGGCACTGATGCTCATTACCCAGGTACCCAGTGTTGCGTGAGAGGCTTCCTGTGGTAGTGCTATTCTGTCACTTTTTCACTTACTAACGAGTTCTAATTCTGTCGTTCCTTTGTCACTTATTATTTAGAAACCTTGTGTGGAAATAAACTTTCATCAATTCTTTGGTTACTTTGATACACATTTTATACAGTAAAAGAGAATAAATGCTTGATTATCCCCCCCCTACTTTTTTTTAACCTTAAACCAGTTTTCAAAGGAATGAATTAGTTTATTGGCATCTTACAAAGATGGTCTTGAAGTTTTTCATCTTTAAATTTTGTAAACACATGATTTAACACATTGGCAAGTTTTCATTCATTGCAGCTAATGTTCTTAGTGTGTCTCCATTCTCAACATTGACCAGTGGAATTCTCTGCAAATTCCCTTTTGAATTCTTTTCATACACCTCAGTTGTCTTGATAGCTTTCTTGATTTCTGGTATGACTAGATGTTCTTAGGGTACCTCATATAACCCCATACACGTTTGCTCCCTCAAGCCTGAAATTAGCCATTTCTCTAAAGAGTGTAGGCTCAATTTAGTGGAAAATGGTGTTTCAAGATCTTAGTGTGAGGCTAGGGCTGCTTATTGTGATTGAGCTGATAATTTTTTTCTAGGCCTTTTCAGTGGAAGCAGTTATAAAGCAGGATAGTGATTTCTCATCATTCTAAGTCATCAATAAATCCTGTCAACTCTACCAGACCACGTATTACATTGGGCGATTCTTTGTCCCTTGGCACAGATCTTAGCTTGGTACAAGCAAACCTAATACCTATCAGACTACTCTTACTAGTCTCTTCCTTGGTTTCCTTTCCCTCTTACTAGAATCAGTCCCTGCCCTGCAGTTAGAGAGGTCATTGTAAATCAGTGAGCCAGGCCACATCACTTTTCTGTTGACAGCCTTGGAAGGCTTTCCTACACTCCACATGAAACCCTTAGCCCTAGCAAATACTCTGAAGCCTTCTGTCACCTTCTTGGGTTCCCTCTTTATCTCACCTCCTTTCCCTTAAGCTGCTCTGTCATCCTTGAGTCCTCTTCTTACCTTACCTAATATACTAACATCACTTCTTTGCAATCCTTGTACTGGCCAATCTGGAATTGACCAGATTGGAATTTTTCCTCCAAATCATCCTATGATTGGCCCACTCATAACATTCAGGTAGTAGCGGATCTTTTTCCGGCTTTCATCACCTGCTTTTATAGTGCTATGCAGATTTGTCACAAGCTGGGACCATAACGTCCATTTGGTTTTTCACGTTCCTCCAAACAGAAATTCCAGTGAGAGGATTACCTAACTTCTTCATTCTTACCTGACTTATTCATTCCTCTCCCTGGATCCTGGAATGAAAGCTGGCTTATACTAGACACTATAAATCCTTGTTGAAAAAACAAGCAACAATCTTGCAGGCCAATGTAACTTACTCTTTGTGTACCTTATCAAGTAGCTTTCCAGAGACAGGAAAAGTTTGCCTTCTTTTTTAAAACTAATTCAGTATAGTCATATATGAAATATAGAAGATTGGATAATGATGACATCGAGATTATGCTTTGGAATCTAAATGTTACTGTAACTCCCTAATAAAACCATCAGACAAGTATTTGTTAAACTGGTATTAAACCTGATGCTTTAACACAGTAGGTTTAAATAAATAAATAAATAGCCTGAGCTGTCCTGTATATGATAGCCATTAGCTATGTGTGGCTATTTAATAAAAATAAGAATTTAATTTTCTCAGTAACACTGGCCATGTTTCAAGAGTTCAGTGATCACGTGTGGCTAGTGGTGCCTATATTTGTCATATAGATACAGAATATTTCTGTCATTGGAGCAGGCATTACTGGCCAGTACTCCTGTAAACAACTGAACTAATCTTACTTTCTTACTTTTTTATTATATAGAGATGGCCGAATCCTGGCTGCTGGAGGCAAATCAAACCACCTTCATTTATGGTGCTTAGAAGCTACACAGCTTTTCAGGATTATCCAAATGCCTACTAAGGTTAGAGCCATTCGACATCTGGAATTTCTTCCTGACAGTTTTGATGCTGGTTCTAATCAGGTTAGTAACAGAAATGTGGGATGTACTTAAAGAGCACATCAGTTTCTGAACTGTGTTAGCTCTTATTTAAGTTATGCCCTAATAAAAACGTGAACTGCAACTGCATTATTTTTGTCAAGAAACTGGAATCTTTTGTTCCTTATATTACTAATAGATAATTACCTTAACATTCTTATTTTAAATCGACTGACATGGTGCTTACACTTAACAAGATACATGTCTTGTGAGGTGTAATTGACAGTTACAACAGAAGACACATTGCCATTTATACCCTTTAAAATGCATTTTTTACTGTAATAGATTTTAAAACATTTAAACATTGGCCATATTTTCTTGTAGATATATGCATAAAATGTGCTTGTATGTGCCATAGGTTTTGTTTTTGAATAGGCTATAGATTATCTTGGTTACAATGTAAAATGTACAAGAAGGCGTATAGTGGTAAATTGCAGAACCTCTGCCCCTCCTTTGTTTAGTTTTTCATAGCCCCTGCCTCATAATCAGTATCTTATGTGTAGGATTGTTTCCCATCATTTTTATACAGCTTTGTACCTTTTTTACACTTAATTTGGGGATTATTCTATATCAGTACAGAGCTCCTATTTATAGCTAAGTAATGTTTCATAATTTTTTTGTTTTGTTTTTAGCAAGTCTTCTGTTATTTGGCATTTAAACTTATTTTTAGTCTTTTTCTATTATAATTAGCTCAGCACTGAATAACTTTTTGCAAATGCCATTTTACACATCTTATTTATAGAACAAAATTCCAGAGTAGAGATGGTGACATAAAGGTCCTATGCATCTGAATTTGCATAATGTCTTGCCAAGGGATCGTATCAACTGAACAGGGTAGGGATTTGTTCTTCCTAGCTGATCAGCAGAAGAAAAGGTATTCAAAACTGCCCTTTCCTTTTCTCATGGCTAAGACAAAATACCCAACAAAAGGAGGAGAGGTGTATTTGGCTCGGAGCTTATAGAGGGATCAGTCCATAACTGGCTGGTGCCAAGGCAGGTAGCAAGACAGGGGCATCACAGAGGAGAAGCGGTCATGGCAGGCAGAGGATGGCAAGCAGCAGGGGACTCCAGACCCCTCTTCTGTCCTTTGTGTCTTACCAGTTTACTCTGGAAGTGGACGGCATTCCCGTCCAGGGTAGGGTACCCTTAATCCTGCCCAGACCTTGCCAAACCAATCAGTGGGCTGATTTGAGTAATTACACAGCCTCAATCCCAGCATCCTGCACTCCAGATCCAGCCACCTCCAAAAGCCCCACCCCACGGATGACTGCATGAGGCCAGACACAAGCTGTAACAGTGGTACGGCCTGCAGCCACTGTCATTGAGAAGAGGCTTTATTTTCTACATCTTTTTTTGTCTTTTTGAGACAAGGTTTTACCATGCAGTTCAGGCTGGCCTTGAACTTACTTCATAGCCCATGCTAGCCTCGAACTCACAGTGATCCTCCTGCCTCAGCCTCCTGAGTGCTGGGATTACTCGCATGGACCACCACATCTAGCTCTTCATCTTTTTTTTCAGACTTTTAATTTTTCAAATAATATGAGTTAAACTTAATTTTTGTTCCCTTAAAAGGCTAGCTTCCCCCTTGCCCCTCTATTGTCCTGGTAACCCAGAATTGTCCTCTACTGTGCAAATATTAGTTACAGTAGCTGAAGACAGGCAGAAAGGGGTACTTCACCAGAGCCACACAAGTTTGTATGTGGGTATCAGGGAGAGAAGAGCAAACCCTACACCTGCCTTGCTTTTGACAATCAGTGTCAAGGTAAACATTAACAACTGTCTGGTTATCTGTGTCCCATGTGTACCTTGTCAGTGAATTTGCCTTGCCTGGGAAAGGGAATGTTCTTAGGTCACTTTTCTGTAGTGCCCCAGGATTTGTTCTTTACTGGTTCTGGTTAGAGTTAGCCTGAACAGGGCAAATCAACATACTTACCATACTTGCTTTAAAATTTATGTTATCTCACAGAGAATAGAATTCCCTTTAGCTGCCTCCCCCAAATTTGTATGTCTCACACACATATTATATATGTATACTATATGAATATAGTACTATATGTACTATACACATATGTATAGTACTATATGTATACTATATATGTATAGTTTGACTTTCACACATTCAACTTTCAGATGCTTTTAAGAATTCATTTCTCTCTACCTTTAGGTTCTTGGTGTGCTCAGTCAAGAAGGTATTATGAGATTCGTCAACATACAAACTTGTAAACTTGTCTTTGAAATTGGGAGCCTTGATGAAGGAATTAGCTCATCTGTAATCAGCCCACATGGAAGGTACATCACATCTATTATGGAAAATGGAAGTCTGAACATATATTCAGTTCAGGCATTAACGCAGGAAGTAAATAAGGTATGTTATTAAAGGAACAGCAGGTTTTTTTAAATTTCAATATCGTATCATCAAAAATAAAATATTCTCTTATTTGCTAACTTCTTTGAACTTACCATTTTTTCTGGATTTATTTTGTTTCTTTTACTCCCCAAACCATATTTCCTGCTGCCTTCTGTTGATTCCATTGCTGCCTTCCTGAAGGACATCTCTGGTGTCCCTGTCTTATTATAAGTGTCACTTGTGATCTCTTTCCCAAAGAGCTCTTCAAGCCCATGCCTTCATTTCTGACTCATTCTTCCTCCCATCTTACAGACTGTACTGTGTGTAACATTCCTATTCCTTTATTTCCTAAATCTAGTCAGTTCTAAGTCATGTGAATTCTTAAATTTGAAATGCCTATGTATGTATATATGCTGCCTGTTCTCTGTCTCTATAATGGTCCTCCCTGTTGGTCCTCATGAACTAACTCACAGTAATGTATTCATTCCACCTTCTACGTAACATTTTTCTAACATAATGCTTTCGGCCATGTGTGGTGGCACATGCCTCTAGTCACCTACTTGAGAGGTGGAGATGGGAGGATCACTTAACTCACAGCTGGAGGCCTGACTGGGAAATCTGGTTAGACTGTCTCATAAAAACAAAACAAAAACCAAAGACTATACTGTAACTCCTCAGTTCACAAACACTTTTTTTTGTGTGTGAAAATTTGATTCACAAACAGGCTTTTGCAAAATTTTGCTGCTGTGGTAAAATCTACATCATGTTATGAACATGATCATAGCCCTCACCCCCCGAATCGTGTAATAAGTTAAGCTCATGAACTGAGATACCACTGTAAAAATAAGATTTTTTATCATTTCTTTTTTTAAGAGAAAATAAAAAAACCCAGAAAAGTCAAGAAATAAACCAAAACAATAACAGCAAAAGTAAAATGACACAACAATAACAAAATACAACGATAGCTATACAGGTTTTCAAAATAAGATGATAGGAATTTAACAATGGTTGTTATATTGCATATTATTATCTTCAAAATACTTGCTCAGGTTACCAAATAGAGGAATAAAACCAGTAAAATGGAACAAAACATTGGATTTCAAAAAAAGGCAGAAGGAAACCCCCCACATTTGCTGTAATATATATTATGATCCTCCAAATAGATTTTCAGACTACCAGCTTTAGGCCTGCAAAGTCAATCAAACAATACTAGCAGTAAGATTTATTTGTTTACTTCAGTTGCTGTCATCTCCACCTGAGTTCCTCTGAATCAGCCAGTTGCTGGGCTGGGGGAGCCAGTTTCTCTTGTCCCTCAGCCCACATATTGACTGGCTCACAGGAAGCTTTGGCTTTGGCTTCTTGATTCTCTTCCCATTCCCCATGGCTGCCCCTGGCTTGAGGGAGGGTGTTGTTTCTTAAGTAGTGCCACTTGAGGGACTTCCTTCCTTCTGCCTGGTGCATTAAGTGAACTCTTCTGCTTGGCTCTCATGTCCTCTCTTCACCTATCTACTGATCTAACTTATATTTCCATACATAGTCTCTCATCATCCCCCAGAGATACCATTCTTATTTCATTTGTTATCTATATTATTTATTCTATCTAAAATGCATCCATCTTCTATGACTGACTATAGTTTCTCTAGCTAACAAGTTAGATTGTGTGCAGCCCTGCTAGTCTGCAATTGTACCATGGTGGCACTAACAAGGACTCTGATACACACCTGGTCTAACCTTTAATTTTGCAGAGGAATAAGTTCATGCATCAGCCTACCCACACAGGTAGCAACAGTGGCAGTGGGTGTTCTAAGCCTTAATACAGTGCTCTTTTTTGATGTGTTTTTTCCCCTTTTGCTGTCTTCATCTTTTTATACATAAGCAGTGTTTCATTGCAGAAAAAAATGAAAAGATACAGATAAATATTGCTCAGTGCCTACACTGTCAGATGATTTTGATGTCTACATTCCTAATCTTTGTCTGTTTGTGTATGAATGTATGTCTTCACTCATTTGTGGATTTTGTATTTGAAAATTTGCCTATTCACTAAAATTTGTGAGCCTGAAATCAGTATTGTATATTGCTAACCTGCTTACACAAAATAAATACTTGCACTTCTGTCATTACTCACAGACAGTATAGGAAAATTGAGTCATTCTGCCCTTATTCCCATCTAAAGTGGAACAAAGCCACACTTTTTTTTTTTTTTTTTTTTTTTTTTTTTGGTACTGGGAATCGAATCTGAGGCCTTGTGCTTGCCAGGCAGGTGCTGTGTTGCTGATCTACATCCCTGGCCCTGCTTTTTATTTTAGCTCTCATACTGTAATTTAAGACCCTTTTAGCTGTCTTTAGTGCCATGTTTTTGTTTTTTGCATTTTTAGGGTTTGTGTTGTGATTTTACTGTTTAAAATGACCCCCAAGCTTAGAGCTAAAATCTTGTCTTCCTAAGCATAAGGCTGAGTTGTACCTCTGAAAATACACTTTAGAAAAACTCATTTAGGCATGAGTTGTACTGCAGTTGGCTTTCAGTTCAATTAATAACAAATCAACAATTTATATTAACAAACATCTTGAAACAGAAACACACATAAAACAAAGTTATATATTAATGAGTAATCAGTTATAAAAATATTGTGCTGAGAGACTCATTAGAGTAACTCTGTCTCCGCCAGAATCCGTGATTTAGTATTCACTTACTTGATGATTGACTTAATTCTGTAGAAATACTGTGAATAAAAAAAGCTTAAGTTTATATACATTTGTATATAAATATGTAGCTCTTTGTATGCATGCGTTTGCCCAAATGATATTATATCCTACTGTTTTTATTTATATCATTGTGTATCTGTATGCAATTATATAGCTTTATGTAATATTTGTTATCATAATTTTTAAGGCACTAATCTATTATTATCTGCTCTTAATATGAGAGGTTTAGCTATTTCAGTTTTTACTGCTAAGGCTTAACAGGTTGGGAGAGATCTGAGAAGACCCATGGTAACCATGAGTCATAGCGTCCGGACCCTCTGTGCTGTTACTGTTGAGTAACAGATCACATTGAAAGGAGAAACTGGCTTAGAAGCTGAGTAATCTCGACTGGGAATGTACCTGTGTGGTAGAGTGCTTGTCGAGGAGGCGTGAGGCCCTGGATTCAATTCCCAGTACCATAATTTTTTTAAAAAGAAAGACAGACTCTTCATACATTTTTGGACACATCACCTGCACTGTCAGTGTCTTTATATTTATTTCAGGCTACATAAGATGTCCAGCTGTGTATTCACTCTAAATCTTAATTCTCCTGCATTCCATTCATTCTGATTTTCTTGTCATTAGAGAATTCTGTTACGGCGCTTTGAATAAGAGAAGTCTTTTAATTTCAAAGTGTATATTATTTATGAACAAAATACTCTAGTGTGTCATTTTACACTGAGTAATTTAAAGTGTTCTTCCCTTTCAGTAGACCCCTAATAACCAGGGTTTGGGTTCCCAGTTGTGTTGTCTCGCCTGCTTCTTAAGCAGTTGATGTAGTGAGAAACCACCTGCCGTTGACCTGCGGATAACAGCCTTGAACCACAGACAGAGAGAAGGAGTTCTGTCTTCCAAAGGAAAATCATTTGGCCATTTCCTCCTCTTCTGAGTAATTTCGCCTGGGCCCAAAAAACATTAGGTTACTTCCTATGTCCTTCTAGTGGATCATATGCCTCACCCTTTTCTAATATGCCATACAGCATCGCCACTATGCTGACTCTGTTGTGCAGGTGTAAAGATGGCTTGGCATTATATGACTTAAGGCCAGCCTTCAAGGTGTAATTGATTTCTACTTAGTAAGTACTGTCATTAAATCAGATATTTTTGTTTTTCAGTGTTATTTACATATATACTTTCTTTTTAGCCTCCTCCTCCTCTAGTGAAAGTAATTGAAGATATACCTAAGAATAAACTGAATTCTAATGATCTTAAAGTGAAAATAACATCAGGAAGAGTGCAGCAACCAGCAAAATCTAGAGAAACCAAAATTCAGACTAGAATATTAAAACAGGACTTGATGGGTAATTTTGAAAATAAAGAGGTAAGAGAATAATTGCAGTTAAACTTTTGTGTGTCACATATTCTGCCATATACTACTATTGTGATTTGTAGGCTGTCACACTCTTCCTCTTGAGAGTTAAAGGAATAGTTTATGAAGAAAAGAAAATTATAATGGAAGTTACAGTATGCCTTTGAGCTTTTAACATACTTGTAATACATATTTAAGGGTTTTCAAAAGGTCAGACAGCACCCAGTTGCACTGTCCTGTGTACCAGACACTCGCTGGTGGCTACTAAGTATTTGAGGTACAGCTAGTACGCGCTAAGATATGTTGTACGTGTACTACACACAGTAAAAAGTCTGTAAACTCAGAATGAGCAAAAAATGTAAAGTGTCTTGATGATTTTATATTGGTTGGATATTGAAATGATATTTTGATTCTATCGGGTTAAATTGTGTTACTCAACTGAATTTTTCCTTTTTCTCTTTACTTTTTAAATGTGGTTCCAAGAAATTTTAAAATTGTATTTGTGACTTATGTTGTATTTCTATTTTACCATGCTGGTACAGAAGGCTACAAAGGAAAAAAATAGAAGCCTGTCTTCTGGCCTTGTTTCCTATTGTAAAAGGTGTTATTTCCGTAATTTCTCTCGCAGTGAGTTTGTGAAAACAAAAAATTTTAAAAAGAAAATAAAACTCAGTGAATTCCCTTCCCTCAAAGGTAACTATTATTAGTATCTTGGTTACTTCCAGGGAATACAATAAGGAATGGAAATAAGTACATGTATGTGTGTGTGTGTCATCTTTTCTTTCCTTTCTCCTTTCCCCTACCTGTTGTTCTTACCTTTTGAGCACCTGCTTTCCCTTTCATTTTCATAGTGTGTACAATAGTATGTATTATACACAAGATAGTATGTATTGATATACAAGACTATACTAACCTGTTCATCAAAAAAAGTTTGTGTTTTTATTGCTCAGTTGATCACCTTTTATGCCTAAATCTTGTAATCTGAGCAACTACTTTTAAGATAGCAATATGCAGTGTATTAACTAGTATTAATTTGCTATTTTTTAAACTTTTAAGATTTTTATTGACAAGAAATACCCACATGCAAAGTACACCTGCATCTACAGTGAATTTTCACAAACTGAATGTACCCACCTTACCAGGACCTTCCTACTGTCTTGTACACAACCTTTCTCCTTACCTCACTGATGACACTCCTTCGGGAGAAATGGAGTTGCAGGATTAAACTCAGAGCCTTGCACATGCAAGCTTACATTCTTCCCCTGAGCTCCACCTTCCACCCTGGACAACGGTTCTGAAAACACTGTAGTCTAGTAAATAGTTTGCCTAAAGTGGTTGCTGAGAGCAGTTTATGTTCTCATCAATAATACGCAAGAGTTCTAGTTGCTCCATAGTGTCAGGAACCTTTTGTGTGCTTCACAGTACTTTTAATAACTTTTTCAATAAGCATTTTAAAATTGTGAAATTGTTTGTACAGAAGAATAAATGAGGCAGATCAGACATATCTACATTGTGCAGCTCTGAGACCATCTTCACTTTGGTACTTGGTTAGGGTTGCAAAGTACATCTATGTCCACAGTGAATTTTCACATACTGAGTGTACCCATCTTACTACTACTAGTAGTAGTATAGGAAAGTAACCACAGTCGTCTTCATAGTTAAATACAGGGAAAGAGCACAGCAGAAACTCAGCGGGGGAGAAGTGTGGACCCCAGGATTTTGGAAGCAGTTTGCCCAGCACTCACTGTACAGACTACAGTGTCTAGACATGCTCAGGTGGCCTTACTAGCTATAGAGATGATGGGAGCCCTCCAGAAATTCAGCTGCTATTTTTTATTTTCTTTTTTTAAATTTTATTTTAAAGAGGATAGAACCAAGGAAAATAAAACAATAAAACCAATCAAAATAAACCAGTGTATGTGATAAAGGATTTCAAATAACACGAGATCAACAATAGTTACCCTAATGCCTCTTACGGTCTTCAAAACAGCTGCAGATACCTTCAGACATACTAAAAATCAAACAAAACAGCACAGAGTAGAACCAATAAAAACAAAACAATGAATGCAGTAAAGGACTTCAAAGCAAGACGCTTGTAAATCCAAAATGGCTACCATGATATATATTGCTGTCTTTGAAATAGCTGCCCATGCCATCAGATACAATAAAATCAAAATACAACAGAAGAAAACCCATCTCAACAAAATAATTGAAATGATATAGCACTGCAAAACGACAACAGGGAATCAGCAATGGCCATCACCCTCAAAAGGAAAGTCCCCCAGGTGCCATGCTGAGTATCACTATCCTCTGCATAGATGCTCAGACCACTGGCCATAGACCTGAGCAGTCAGTGAAACACCAAACACCACAAGCATCAAGTTGCATTTTACCTCAATAGCTGTCATCACAGCCTGTGTTTCTCTGAATCAGCTGGTCACTTACAGCCGGGAGTGGGGGGCTGGGGATGGGTGGGTGTTGACTCTACTTGTTTGCTAGCCCACATACCGTAGAGGGCTGAAGTCTGCCTTTCCCCCCTCTGGCGGTGGCTTGTGCATGGCACTGGTTCGCAGGGAGGGCTTACTTCTTGGTGAATCCTTGTTCTCTCCCCGCCACAGTCTGTGAATGGCACTGACTCACAGGGAAAGGCTAGGACAAAATCTGGCTTGTAGACACCAGCCACATGTCAGCTTGTAAGCAGGCTTCTGAGGGTCCCAGGCCCAGACCTGCTGTGGTGACTTCAGGGTTCAGTGCAGCATGTTATTGTCCGCAGCAGTCCACCTGTCTCTTTCATGGACCACATTGCTCCAGACTGTACTGGTTGCCCTCTGTGTCTGGGTGTGGCACTTAGGTGGTGGTCTTTATCCTCCATTGCCTTACCGATCACGAGATTACTGTGACCTTATCCATTGTGAGATTACCATTCTATCGGGGGCGAAAACACTGAAGGAAACGAAATTTGGCTTTTGAGTTTCAAGCCAAGAGTTTGCAGATTTCTGATTATGAACAAATCAGGGAACTCTGTCTCCCTGTCTTTTCTTAATAGAGAAGGAAAAATAACATTCCATCTATTTCATATAGTTGTTAGCATCGAAGCAGATAATCTGTGAAAACTGCTTTATATTTCTAATAAAATTTGTATCTTTCAATTAAGGTGAAAATTGACTTGAAAGTTAGCTATAAGGAAACTGTCATCAAAAGCTGATGTGTGTGTGTCATGTAGGATGTTTTTTTGCCAGTCTTATCTTTCATGCTCTCATGCTGTTGGTTGTCCAAAATTTCAAGACAAAGGAAGAAAGTGTCAGAATGCATTGCTGTTTGGTTCAGGTCAGGGGTAGCAAATGACAAATCTGTGGCCGCAATCATGTTATGATCTAGCCCACGGATCAATCCATGGGGTGTACCTGGAGGGGGAACAGGGATGAAATAGAGACAGGGGGAAGACAAAGAGAGATTGAGACAAGATGAGGATTCCAATGAAGCCTCGTTTATTCAGGAAGTGTTCACATCTTTTGTAGGTCAAGGGCGGGCTGATGGGACAGGAAGAGGCTACGGGGATGAATATAACAGGGTCATCGTCACATCTGGGTATGTGACATAAGCAGGAGAGGATTATGGTTAATGTAGGCAGACGCATCATATGCCCATAGGAGAGAGGTGGGGAGGCAGCGATGGGGTGGTCGTGCCACTCCCTACAATGTTACACTTGCCTGGAATAGTTTTTACATTTTAAAATGGGTATATTTTAAATGACTGTTTAAATATCTGTGCAATATCTTTATCTCCTTTGCTCACAACACCTGAACTATTTGCTAATTAACTGCTCGTAGAAAGTTTTCCAAACTGGTGTAGGGAAGGTAATAATGTGATGAACTTCAGTTGCTTGCTGCAACTTACTGTTTAAGGGAGGAGAGGGAGAGTGTGTAATATGAAGTCCAGTGGGAGGAGTAATGTTTCTTACTGTGTGTTGTTTTTTAACAGTGGTTGAAAAGCCACTTTGGACCAGATTACCATGTGTTGTTGAGTTTCATGATCATGTACTTACTGATACTGTTCATTTTGCAGAATGAGATGTCAGATGGCTTAAACAAAAAGCGCCTACAGATCTTAGTAAAAGGCTATGGTGAATATCCAACAAAGTACAGGTAAAATTTGGATTCTTTTATGTTAAATATATTTTACTCAAAGAATTTTGTAGTAAAATATATTTTGTACTCAAAATTATGTTTTAATTTCAGGATGTTCATTTGGCGCTCTCTGCTACAACTTCCTGAGAATCATACTGCATTTAGTAGCCTAATGGATAAGGGTACTCATGTGGCATTTCTCAACCTTCAGGAGAAATATCCCATCAAAAGTAGGAAACTACTGAGAGTATTGCAGAGGTATGTTCAGTATATTGCAACAGTGTATGTGAAATCTGTAATAATTGCTAGCCTCTGTTTATAATATATTGATCATCTTTGGTTAGCCCTGTGTGGTATGTTGGTATGTTGGCTTATTTTAAAAACAAGACATATATACACGTGTATATGTTAATAGAAATACTAGTTTGTGTCATGTTCTAGAAAATGTCAATCTTTTGGATAATCCAAAGGAACAAAGTAGCAAAGTGGAAAGAGCTTTGAATTTGGAGGTAAAAGCCCCAGTTTTTAATCCTTGTTTCACTGCTCAATGACTGTGATGTTTCACGTACCATTTTACTTCTTTATCTTAATTTCCTTATCTGCAAATGGAGATAACACCACCATCATAAATCTTTTGGATAATTAGATGAGAATCTCTTAGAATGCTTGTGTCAGTGTCCAATTCATAGTAATAAGAACTCAGTGTGAATAATAAAGTAATACTGTAAAGTACTTTTGGTATGCTTCTGGACATTATTAAATATACATTTAAATGTATTTTACAGATAAACTTAGGCATAGACAGGTTAGGTACTATGAATCAGTCACTCAAGTATAGAGCTATAATTAAGCCATGGCTCCAAAGTCCTCTTTCTTTCTTTCTTTCTTTCTTTCTTTCTTTCTTTCTTTCTTTCTTTCTTTCTTTTTGGCAAGGTCGTGCTATGTAGTTCAGCCAGACTTTGAACTCACTGTGTAACCCAGGCTGGCCTCAAACTCACAGTAGTTCTGCCTCAGCCTCCTGAATGCTGGGATTACAAACATGTGCCACCATGCCCAGCTCAGATTCCAATTTTTAAAAATTACTTTTATTATGAAAAATTATAATCATAAGTAAAAGTAGAATAGCATAATATATTCTCATGTCCATAACCCTTCTTTAGCAGTTGCCAACTCATGGCCAATCTCATTACCACACACCCTCCATTTAGGAAATATTCAACTTATTTTTTCCCACTGTGCTCCATCTCAGCCTCTCTCCAGCAAACACACTGATTTAGTTACTTTTCTCATTGCTGATACAACACACCTGACACCCAGAGTTAATATAGGGAAGTGTTTATTTGGATCACAACTCAGAAGTTTCAGGCTATGGTTGGCTGGCTGCAGGGCAGAGGTCACAAGATATATTTGGTTGATACTCCTTTTTTTTTTTTGAGACTGGGTCTTGCTATGGTATTTTGGCTATCCTCAAACTCTTTGTAGCCCAGGCTGCCCTCGAACTCTCAGTGATCCTCCTACCTTAACTTCCCGAGTGCTGGAGTTATAGGTGTATGCCACCACACCTGGCCTGATCAGTATCCCTCTTAAATGTTTTGACTCTGTTTCTCTTGACATTTTATTCGTTGAAGAAACAAAATAATTAACTTACAGAGTTTGTCATATTCTGAACTTTGCTGATTTATCCCCATGGTATTAACATATTCCTTTTTCTCTTGAGTTTCCTGTGAACTAGTAATTGAAACTAGGGCCCTAAGCTAGTTCATGAGCTTTATTTTTTTCCCATTTAGCATTTGTTTCTTTGTTTTATTAAAAGATTTGATAAGTGGTTTTATATATTTCTGTTAGAAGGTTTGTAATAGCTAGTTGTCTGTCTTCTGGTGATACTACTAGCCAGTGATGATCATTGCCTACATCCATTATTTCCTTAGAGCTTAGAACCCTGTCAGTCTAGTTCTGTCATTCCTTTCCTTCTTATGATCTGGAAAATTTCCATAAAGAAAAGCTTTCTCTTATCAACTATTTGGTTACTCTAAGATATAGTCACAGAGGAAAGTGTAGTAGTCACTTGCTGTCACTGAGACAAAATACCTGACACCTGCAACTTAAAGGAGCAGTGATTTATTTGGCTCTGTTTCCACTGGATTCAGTTCAGAGGTCGCTGGCTGCAGGGCAGAAACACATGGTAAAAGTCATAATAGAGGGAAGCTGCTGAACCCATGGCAGCCAGGGAGCAGAAGAGTGAGGATGAGAATGCAGTCTTCCAGGTCATGCACCCAGTGACCCACCTCCAGCCAGGCCCCACCTCTTAACAGCACACTTAGCTACTGGTGTCGTAAATCCACTGGTGCCAATGAGTATAGCACCCCCATGACCCAGTTCTATGTACACAGATCTAAACTATAACATTTTAACCCCGGGCCCCAAAAGACTCATGTCTGTCTTGCTATGCAAAATTCACTTAGTCCATCTCTAAGAGTTACCAGTCTTAACAATTCCAGCATTGCTGAAAAATCCAAAGTCTCTTTTTAGATTGAAGGCAAACTCATAACTATGAGTCCCTGAAAAAATAAGTTGAATATTTCCAGTATACAGTGACACATGATTCAACACTTCCATTTGAAAAGGGACAACTAGAAAGTAATTAGACCAAAGCAAGTCCAGAACCCAGCAGAATGAGCATTAAATGCTGTAGCTCTGTGTACAGCACCTTGGGTAAGTTATGCAGTGTGAACTCCAGAAGCCTTAGGTCCAGCATTGTAGTCCACATGGCTCCACTTTTGAGCTGACTCTGCTCAGTGCCTGTGGCTTGCCTCAGTGGATAATCTACATTCCTGGTGTTCCTAACTCCCTGGAGTCTCTGCTGCATCTTAGACTTTACTTTCATGTCTTCACAAACCTCCCTTGAGGAGCAAATTGTCTGGTTTCCCAGACCTTCCTCTAAAATCCATGTGGAAGATTTCATCACCCCACACCTGTTGCATTTTGCATGCCCAAAGCTCTAACACCATGTGAATAATTCCAGGGTCTACCATGAACTCATGCAGTAGCCAGAGCCCTTTGGGTCATGGCTGCAGAGAGCTGTGAATGTCTGGATGACTGAACATTATAAAACAAATCCCAGGGAACTACTGCTCCAGCCGGGGCTTAGGAATTCTCTTCTCAAATAAAAGCTCTACAGTTTTGCATTCTCGAGCCTGTGAAGGGTAGGGTCTTGCTGATTCTGAGGTGCCTTTATGCCATCTTATGTATTCTCCTGATGCAGAGTACTTGACTTTTCTTTTTTCTCCTTCACCATATAACCCAGGCTGACCTTGAACTCACAGTGATCCTCCTCCCTTGGCCACCCAAGCACTGGGATTATAGATGTGCACCACCATGTAGAGCAAGTATTAGCTTTTTGTTAGTCTTTTTATCAACCTGGTCCCAAGTTTACAAGATCTTCCTGTTCGGCCATCACTAAAAAAATTTTATTTCAAAGGGAAAAAAAAATAAGTTTCAAAACAACAGTCAAGGGACAACAATGGTACTACATTGTGCATTGCCAACCCCAGATCAGTCACCCAGAGCACAAGACATCTGCAAACCATTCCCTTCAGTGAACTCAGAAATCAGTAATATAACTGTCTGAACTATACTTTGTGTGTGTGTGTGGGTGTGTGTGTGTAATTTCTTTCAGTGTCTCAGACTAGTGGGAATCTATTCCTCAGCCGATGGACACTTTGGTTGTTTCCAAGATCTGGCTATTACAAATTGTGCTGCTATGAACATGGTTGCACATACATCACTGTGGTACAGTGTCGGTGTCGCTCCCGGCCGGCAGGAAGAACACACGACAAGATCTGGCAGTGGCTAGGCTCTCTTTATTTTCCTTTTCCGCACAGTCTGCCCCGGGATTCTTCTCGGCCGAAGCCTCTACCGGTCCGCTCCCCGCGGCTCCTTTCGTGCTTCGCTCCGAAGCCTCTACCGGTCCGCTCTCCGCGGCTCCTTCCGTGCTTCGCTCCGAAGCCTCTACCGGTCCGCTCTCCGCGGCTCCTTTCGTGCTTCTCCCTCTGGCGGGAGAGGCACTCACTTTTATAAGGTTACAGTGGCCAATCAGTTCAAAGCGCGCGATGCGGGCTGATTGGCTAACCTCAGTTGTTGCTAGGCAGACTATTTTACAGAGCGGGTAGCACACTCGATGGGAGGGGTAATCTAGCTCAGGCTTTGCTCTTTCCTACAGGCCTCACGTCCGCCGCGCATGGCGAACTATCACAGACGCGGCTCCCAACATCTCCCCCTATTTTATTTTAAATGAATACGCGCATCGCAGCCCGTCCTGGATAGAGTGCAGAGGCCTATGCCCCGAACTGAGGCCCACCATAGGCCATTGGCGTAGACCCTGGTCGGCCGTCCCAGGGTCCACCAAGGCCTTGAGGCCCTCGTCTTTTTTTCTAGGGCCAGGAATGAACCGGACGGAACCTGGTTGCACATAGGCATGCACTCATGCCACTCCATGTGACCCCCTTGGAGTGACATCTAGTTCTGGGCGGAATCTAGCAATCTAGCGGCTTTCGTGCGATATGGGGTAGGGCCTGTCTTAGGTCGAGTCATGTTGGGGAGGCACGCTCTTACCCGTTGTTGACTCATCTACCCTGCTACATGTTGTTGTCTAGGGAGGAGAATGTGGGAAGCCTGTCACTTTTAAACGCGGTCGTAGGCCATGCGAGCGAGCCATGAGTATGCCTGGGGGTCGTTTTGCCCGTTCTGGACCGCTGCCAGAGCAGCATGGGCAACCATGCGGACCTGACGACGTGCCGCCGCAAGGCATCCATTAATGAACGATGTGACCCATCGGAGCAAGCATGGTCCTATAAGCAGGAGCAAGAACAAGGAGCATAGAGGGCCTAACAAGGGTAGCACATAGGGGAGCAAGCCGTTCCAGGCCCCCAAAAAGGGATTGTCCTGTAGTTTTTTTAGGGCTCATCTTGTTGTTGGGTCTGTGGTTGGCCTCTGGTGGAACAGGCCTGATCTTTAGTCGAGGGACTTGTCGCACGCGTCAACCTCTCTGGGACCCACAGTGGTTTTCGTCCCGGTCCCTGCGGAAAAACACAAACCGCGCCTCGGTTCCAGCTAACCACCGGATCCGGGCCCATCCATTGTCCCGTCAGGACATCTTTCCATCTAACCCATCATTTATTTTTTGGGGATGGGGTACAGTGTGCCATAGCTGGGGAGTAATTTTCACTGTTTAAGTTTAAAAAATTGTATGTGAATAATGCCATAGATAACCGCGCCTTTGGGTTGGGTGGAACTAGCAGCTAGGCCTAAAGAACTTATTTTTTTTTGGCTGCCGCCTTCTTGGGCTTGGCAGCCTTTGGCTTGGCGGTCTGGGCATCACTTTCGACACTGACTGAAGAGGGGGTAGGTCCCACGCGGCGGCTTCGCTGCGAGGGACCGCTTCCGGGAATGAGCTCCAGGGTGGAGCGGATGGTTCTGTCTCCTTTTCCCGCCAGGGGGCGCTCAGGAGCTCCCTACTCTTTAGTAAGCCTACCTGAGCAGAGCGTAGGTCGTGACGCAACGCGGCAAAAGGGCCCCGCGCCTTTTTTTTATCTGACTCGGCCTCCTGGCAATCGGCCTTCTCGGCCCCTTTGCCTTCTAAGTCCCCCTCGTCCTCGGTGTCGGACGACTCCGAGGCTTGAGCCTCGGCTTCCTCTTTTGTATCTCTGCCCTCCTTGACGGACCCTTCTCGGGAGCTTCCTGACTGTGCCTGTTCAAACACCTCGCGTACTTCTACAAGTTCTTGAGAGCTCCCCCCGTAACTACCCTCACTCTTTAGGCACGCGTGTATCATTTCCCACAACGGACGAGCAGAGACCGAAGCGCTACCCTCCCGTTCTGCTAGGGAAAGGTCTCTGCCCAACTTTTCCCAGGAGGGTAGGTTTACATGCCCTGTAGGCAGAAACCAGGGAGCAAAGCTGTCAATTTCTGCAAGGAAATTTTTTAGAGTCTTACGCCCCACCTTGAGGTCCTTGGACTTTAGGAGTCTCCGAAGGACCAACACCAAGGGCTGAGCATCTTTGTCCGGTATGTTTTATCTATTATTTTGACTCACCTCGTGAGGCCTAGGAGACCGGCCACTTACGCGTGAGCTCGAGAGGAGTCTAAAAACCCTGTAGGTGCGCGCCACCCAGGGCCCAGGTTTATCCTCTACTCACCTGTCCTGCAGCACTGTATCGGAGACTGCTGTCCACTGCCCCGTCTCGGGGCTGATCAGTGCCCCGTACGGGCCACCAGATGTCGGTGTCGCTCCCGGCCGGCAGGAAGAACACACGACAAGATCTGGCAGTGGCTAGGCTCTCTTTATTTTCCTTTTCCGCACAGTCTGCCCCGGGATTCTTCCCGGCCGAAGCCTCTACCGGTCCGCTACCCGCGGCTCCTTTCGTGCTTCGCTCCGAAGCCTCTACCGGTCCGCTCTCCGCGGCTCCTTCCGTGCTTCGCTCCGAAGCCTCTACCGGTCCGCTCTCCGCGGCTCCTTCCGTGCTTCTCCCTCTGGCGGGAGAGGCACTCACTTTTATAAGGTTACAGTGGCCAATCAGTTCAAAGCGCGCGATGCGGGCTGATTGGCTAACATCAGTTGTTGCTAGGCAGACTATCTTACAGAGCGGGTAGCACACTCGATGGGAGGGGTAATCTAGCTCAGGCTTTGCTCTTTCCTACAGGCCTCACGTCCGCCGCGCATGGCGAACTATCACAGACGCGGCTCCCAACAGTACAGTATTTTTAATTCTTCTGGGAAGATACTCAGAAGGAGAATAGCTGGGTCACATGGGACCTCCATCCTAGTTTTTTGAGGCATCTGCATACTGATTCCCATAGTAGTTGCGCCAGTCTGCACTCCCAGCAACAGTGCAGAAGGGTTCCTTTTTCCTCACAGCCCCTCCGGCATTTGTTACTGGTTGATTTCAAAATAATAGCCTTCTTTCTAGAGTAAGGTGGGATCTCAGCATTTCTCGAATGGATCAGTATCACTAAAATTTTTAAAAATTACTTAACTCCACATTTTTAGTCCTGATTCTCACTGTAAATCTGGCTGAAAACAATTAGCAGTACTTATGCTACACCCTGCATGCTGGGCTGCTTTGAAATTTCCTCTGCCAAATTAATCAGTCCACTGTTCTTGATTTCAGTCTCTTACAATGTCCCAGGATATGGGCAAAATGCACACTAGCATGTAACACACGTGGCCTCTAGTCCCAATTGCCAAAAAGTCCTTGTTCCCAGCTGAAACCTGAACTCAGCATTTACTGTATGTATTTCTGTTAGCATTCTGGTCTCCTTAGCTCCAACTGGAGTCTCCCATCAATCATTGCTTGCAGCATCCTAAGCTATAATGTGGTATCCCTAAATTTTTCCAAACTTCTACAAAGCAGTTCCAAAGCTTCTGAGCCACATGGTCAAATATAGTCACAGCAGTGATCCCACTTCTCTGGTATCAGTTTCAGTATTAGTTACTTTGCCATCACTGAGACAAAATACCCAACACCTACAACTTGGAGAGAGAGTAATTTTGTTCACAGTTCCCAGTAGGTTTAGTTCAAACTCAGCTAGCACACATGGTAGAAAAACACAGCGGAGGAATGCTGCTCATCCCATGTAGTCAGGAAGCAGAGAGAAGGTAGCAGTGAGCACAGAATACATCCTTCTAGATCATTCCCCCAGCAAACCCTTGTAACCAGGCCCCATGTCCTTGCAGTGCATTTAGCTACTGAACTCACCAGTGGGTGAATCCACTAATGTGTATAACTCTCCCACAATCCAGTTAACTTCCAAACACATGAAATTTGGGAGGATGTTTTAGATCTGAACCATAACAGAAAGGCAGGTTAAATACTTGATAGCTTTTTGGTTTTTTACTTAGCTGTAGCAATCTGTTATAGCCCTTTGAGTTCATGCTGATAGGACTAATTGAATAAAGATAAAAGTGGGAGAAGGGGAAGCACTAGTAAATATAAAAGGAAGTTGCAAAATAGAAAATCACCACTAGATACTAGAGTAATAATTATTGCTGAGCACAGCCACCAATTGATACTAAAATAGCTGGACAAAAATACTAGGAATTCCAGGGTATTTTTAGTCTGTAGTATCTCCCTCAATATATAATTATGTTAATTACAAACAGAAAAATAATAATAATATGTAGGGCCAGGCATGTATCTAGGTAGCATATGCACCTGCCTGACAAGTGCAAGGTCCTGAGTTCAATTCCTGGTACCAGAAACAACTAATACTATAGTAGAAAAATTTGCAAATACTATTTGCAAATAGTAGAGAAACTGCAGATAGCCAGTACGTGTCAGTGTGATGCGTATTTTTTGGTATTCTTACCAAAGAAAGATCTCAGTCTAATCATAAGAAAACACCAGACCAGGGCAAATCAAAGTGACAGTGTCAGAAAATGAGGGGAGACTGAAGAACTCTCGTGTTGGAAGAAACTGTTGAGACAGCACATAGATACAAGGTTGAATCTTGGATTGGTGAAATGAAAACAATTACATTAATGAAAAAAATCAAAATAAAATTCATAACAGCATTGTATAAAGACTGATTTCTTAGTATTGATAATTGTACCATATGCAATATCAGGGAAAGTTAGTGAAAATGTAGAGAAGACCTCTACTACCTTCGATATTTATTTATGTCTAAATTTCAAAACAGATGGGCGTGGTTGCTCATGCCTGTAATCCCAGCACCTGGGAGGCTGAGGAAGAAGGATGGCTGTTAGTTCAAGGCCAGTCTGGCTACAAAATGAATTTAAGGCCAGCCTGAATTCCTAGTGAAATCCTGTCTCAAAAAGACAAAAATAAATAAATTTCAGAACAGAAAGTTAAAAAACAAACTACATTTCCACTTGGAAAGATCTTACAGGTGTAAATGCGGGAGAATTATAATCCATGAGTAAGGCAGGTCTTTCTAAACATGATATATCCAGAAGCAGTTGTTATGATATTAATATAAATCTGTCCTTTTATCCCAGCACTCAGGAGGCTGAGGCAGAAGGATTGTTGTAAGTTCAAGACCAGCCTGGGCTACAAAGTGAGCACAAGGCCAGCCTGAACCACATAGCAAGACCCTATCTCAAAAAGACAAAAATAAAAAACAAAAGAACTATACATTTAAGAAATTTCCAAAGGACATGTATAAAACAAAATATATATAAAACACAATAAATTAATGACTGGTTTCTTTGATATATGAGGTGCTCATGTAATTAATTGTGGGAAGGACTGCTTGACACAAAGTGAATAAAGATTGAACAAACAGTTCACAGCAGTGGAAGTTGTTCTTGAACATTAACGATGCTGTTTAACCTCCCATACAATAAGAGAAGTTGCATTTCTCACCTAGATTAAAGGTTAAAAAGAAATGATAGTAAGTTATGTTGCCAAGAGTTTGAGAAAGTAGGCATCTGTTTATACTGATGGGAATGCACCTGCTCAGTGGAGCGTGATTTGGCACTTGCTTTGAAATTACAAACACACACACTTCTCCACTACGAAAAGAAAAACAAAAAACACACTGTCTTTTGACTCAGCTGTTCCACTTCTAGGAATTTATGCAAATCTGTATTGAAGAATGATGTATGAGAGCTACTTACAGATCATTGTTTATAAAAGATTGAAAAATCTTAGGCTCAATAATAGGGATACTTTAAAGAAAGAAAGATATGTTTGTAGAAATCTATCATACATGTATGTACAGTAGGAGACACATGGCTTTGCATGTATTGGAAAAACCATTTCCAAGAGACTATTAGGTGAAAAATGCGGTGTACAGAACAATTTATAACATACCTCTGTTTGCAGTTTTACAAAATATTTATATGTGTTTGTGTGGAGACAGGGTCTCACTATGCAGTCCAGGCTGGCCTTGAGTTCACTGTGTAGCCCAGGCTGACCTTGACCACACGTGATCCTCCTATCTCAGCTTCCTGGGTGCTGGGGAAGATTTATACTTTTAACAGTGATTGCTTCTAAGGAGATAAAGTATACAGTGAAGGAGTGAGAGGTACAGTTTTCACCATATCTACCTTCTGTGTTGAATTTTTATCATTTAATTGTATCATTCAAATAAATTTTAATAATTATTTTCTGATCTTTATTTTTTGTTTTACTCACAGAACCCTATCTGCTTTAGCTCACTGGTCTGCCATCTTCAGTGACACACCATATCTTCCTCTCCTGGCATTTCCATTTGTAAAATTATTCCAAAATAACCAGCTTATCTGCTTTGAAGTTGTTGCTACTCTCATAAGTAAGTAAGCAGGTAATTACTACAGAATGAAACTAAAAATGGATTCTTTATAGTTCCCTGAAGTTTTGGCACCTTTGCAACTTTTATTTTATTTTTTACTTATTTATTTTTTTTTACAGACCTACAGCTTTTTGCAATTTTAGTATTTCTAGATTTCTCTGTTTTTAAATCCAGAAAGTATGAACAACCAAATGAGAGTATAAAGTGAACATTTCAGGCATTTACCTATAAACTTTCATTTATAAGGAAATGTGGACATTTAAATTTCTAATGTTGTTAGAGACTAGATTTAGTTAGGGACACTCAGATTCTTCTTGTACTACAGGTCAGTTGCTCTGATCAAGAGTGCTCTAAATTCATAGAGCATTTTACACACAGTACCTGCTCTTAGGCTTGACCGCTGGCTGCTGTCGTCATCCTTGGATCCATGGGTCACTTTCTGCAGCCGGGCACTGTTCTCAACATGTGCCTTTGCTCACTCAGCTGTTCCTACAAGCCTGTGCAGTAGGCTAGTGTCCCTGTTACAGACCCAGAGGCACAGAGGGTGTAAGTCACCGCCGTCAGGTGAGTGACAGAGCAAGCTTTGGAATCGGCAGTCATGCCCCAAGCTGTCCGGCCAACAGCTTTGCTGCCTCTGCCTGCATCTGCACTGGGCAGTCACTCATGGTTTCTGGTGAGTCAGGGCTGCTGGACCACATCACTGTCATAAATGGGTTTGGCAGAAATCGTTTTGTGTGTATTTTAAAGTGTTTTCTTCTACAAAAGAGATAGCCACTTAGTTAAAAATATTCTGAAAAAGAGAACTTAAAAAAGGCCTGAGTATATCTACTATATTTTAGCACATTTCCATACTTTTTGTTTTGTTGTTTCGTACTTGTTTTGATAAGTTTTTGCTAATCATTAGAGAAAATATGTAAAAGAAAATTTACCAATTTTTCTCTATTCCAGGGATAATTACTGATATATACATGAAAATAAAGAGCATGTTTTCTCAAATCATTAAATATTATTTAAAAATGATTTATAATTTATTCAACTATAAGAATTTTTATTTTCTAAGTTTTCCACACATTTTAAGCAGTTAGTTATTACAATTATACTACTTTTTTAAAATTTGGTATATATTTCCCTGATCTTTATAAATTTTATAAGTCTTTATTGGCTGTAATACTCTATAGTGTGCAGGTGCAAGTTTAATCTATTGTTAAACATTGAAGTTATTTCAGACTTTACTTTTAAAAGTAACAGTTACAATCATTTGTAAATGTAATTTTTACATATATTCTCAGAATTACAATTATTAGTTCATAAAATATGAACTCCCCAAAACCGTTGTACAATGTTGCTCTGGCAATAGTACTACTTTAAGAAAAAAGGAAATACAATGCAATAAAAAAGAGCCAATCGAATTTAAAAATGACAAAAATTTAACTAGACATTTTTCTCCATAGAATAAAGGTACATGTCTAATAAATAAACATACACGGAGCATCGTTAATCACTGGGGAAACATAAATCACAACTACATTAAGTTACTACTTCACATCTACTAGAGTGGCTGTACTTAAACAAACAAGTGCTGATAAAGATGGGAACTTTGACACATTGCTAGAGGGATGGTGTGTGGCACAGCCACTATGGAAAAGAATGTGGCACTGAAGAACACTTTGGAGTTCCTTTTAAAAAAGTAAAACAGAAATAAGAGGCACTGTGAGAATGTCCCTATAGCATTGTTATTCCAGTAGCCAAAAGGTCTTGACAACCTTTTGGCATTTACAGATAAACCGTATATATGATCAGTGGACCCTTCTTTAGCTGTTGGCGGAGCTATAACATGGGTGATGCTTTTAAAAATGCTTTGTGAAATAAGTCAGACAAAAAGGACATGGTTTCATGTGTGGTTTCACTTCTATGAAGTGTCAAAAATAGGTAAATTTGTAGGCACAGAAAGAGGTTACCAGGGCTGGAAGAGGTAGGATAGGGGAGATGTTACTGGTTAGGATAGTTTTTATGTAAGAGTGTTAGGAATAACAGTCACATAGCACTGAGAATGTTAAGTCATAGCTCCAAATTGTACCATTCCAAATTATTAAAATGACTAATTATACATATTTTATGACAAGAAAAGCAACCATGTGCTCGCTTCAGCAGCACATATACTAAAATTAGAACAATACAGAGAAGATTAGCATGGCCCCTGCGTAAGGTTGACACACAAATTCGTGAAGCATTCCATATTTTTTTAGTTTTATTCTCTTCCAAAAAAAAGTAATAAGAACTATGGGAGTAATAAAACCCAAAATGTGTAAATGTTATTGTAAAACACAGAGGAAAAGAAAGTGCTCTAAAGACACAACTACAAATGTGTTTTTAGGTGTGTAAGACAGATGACCATATTACTAAGTTTTTGTTGGATCATTGAACACAACTGTTTGCAGTCTCACTGTTTGAATGTCTTTGTATGCTTAATTTTGTAACTTGATCAACTATTTCTAAGATGACAATATGTAATCTATTAACTAGTGATTTCTTACTGTTCATTTTTTTTTGAAATTCTGTATTGTACCCTTTTGCTGTTTTGTTTTGGTTTTCTTTCTTTAAATAAAAAAAAAAAAAAAGAAAAGCAACCATGTTGTATCTAATTTAGGTGAGTATGCAAAACTATATTTAGTAAAATCTTGTTAAAATACCTAGCATAGGGTTATATGATAAGGAAATTCAGTTCTCTTCCAGACAAACATACTTGAAATTTAAATACAGGCAATTAATGTTGCTTCCATGGTGTTCAGTAAGTATACATTTTTATTAAGGGTATCCAATGAATAACTGCAATTGAAAAAACTTCCTAAACATTTTATGGGTAGTCAGCCTGTATTTAAAAACTTAAAAATAGAATTTATTAAAGAAAGGTTCAGTATAGGCTCATTAAGCAAAACAAGCTGATGAGTTTGAGGAATTCTTATGGGTTACACTAGCTACAGTGCACACTGAGTGAGCCAGCAAAGATTTCTCAGCAAGTGAAGTCTGCCTCGGATAGCTGACCTTCAGAAAATGCCGTATCACTGACTGGGTGGTTTTTAAGTAAAGTTTACTGGAACAAAATGTCATCAACTAATTAGATTTAAAACCAGTTTGTACGGTTACTTGATACTGTGATTGTAGAGCAATCAGTCTTTTTTCATAGGAATGGGAACTTTTTGTCATTTAAAGGGTAGGAGTACAATATGTATATATTTTTATGTATTGCTATAAACGTATAAAAATAAAATTTTGAACACTTTTTGTAAGCTTTTCTTTTTCTTTTTTTTTTTCCCCTTTAAGATCGAACTCATGACCTCATGCTTGCCAGCAGGCATTTATACCATTGAACTAAATCCCTAGCTCTCTTTTCTTTACTTTTTGAGACAGGGTCTCACTGTGTAGACCAGATTGGACTTGAATTCATAGTGATTTTGACTCCATATGAATTTTAATGGATTTGATGAAACTGCCCTGTTAACACTGATTGTGTTTAATGAAGTCTTACATAGGGACCTTTTAAGGAAGGATCTTTTTGTTAACCAGGGAATCTACCGAACAGAACTAAGCAAGAACCAAAACATTCTTATGACTAGGACCAAGAATAGTTTGGAAAATTTTATTTGTTTGTTTTAATTGACACATTGTCATTAGCTACAGAAAATTTTCCATATACCTAAGATACTATATTAACGTGACAGAATTTTTTTTTTTTTACCTGAAGGCTCATGTGTCAGAATGTGACAGAATTTTTAAAATCTCTTGATCTAGAATTTAAATTGTATCTTGTGTTTGTGCATAAGGCTATAAGGAGTGTAAACATACAAGAATTACAAAGTCCTCTGATCATATAGAAAGGCATTTAAAGATGTTTTCTTTGCTTTCCTTTGTAGTCAATTGGTGTCAGTACTGGTTTGAATACTTCCCTAACCCTCCTATCAGTATTCTTAGTATGATAGAAAATGTTCTCGCATTTCATGACAAGGAATTACTACAGCACTTCATAAATCACGATGTAACCTCCCAGGTAAGAGGTTAACTTCTTAGAATAATGTAAATTATTTGGGGGAGCTAACAGTGATTCTGATACAAGTAATACAGTGTTGGGGCTGGGGATTTAGCTCAGCGACATAAGCACCTGCCTTGCAAGCAGGCGGTCGTGAGTTCGATCCCCGGTACCGATAAAAATGAAAAAGACAAAAGAAAAAAAAGAAACAAGTAAAACAGTGTTTTCAAATCAAGGGATCTAGAAAAACCATACTGCATTTTCTGTTTTAAGTGTTCCATCCTTTTCCATTAAACTGCCTTCTTGAGAACATATAAACAGGGTCCAACTTAAGTAGCTCTTTTCATAATTTATGATTTTCATAGCCTAAATTGCATATGAGAATAGTATCAGTGACTTTTTAGACTTTTCCTTAGAAAGTTTTTTAAATAATACATGTTCCTTGTATATTTTAGTTGTATGCATGGCCTCTCCTTGAAACTGTGTTCTCAGAAGTACTGACAAGAGAAGAGTGGCTCAGATTATTTGACAACATTTTTACCAACCATCCATCCTTCCTTCTGATGACTGTGGTAGCCTACAACGTGTGTTCTAGGGCCCCTCTGCTCCACTGTACTCGTAAGGATGATTTTGAGGTAAATATCCTGTTCTTAGGATGGGTTTCTCCAATTTCAGTTAAAAAATGCATTCATTGCATGAGCACCTATAGCACGTCCGGCCTGGACCAGGTGGAGGACTCTGATGGATAACAAGCTGGGACCTAGCCTGTGGGCAGGTAAACAGGCCGCCACAGCGAGCTCTTAGTCTCAGAATCATAGCCTCAGGAAAGGCCTGGTGATGGGGGGGGGGGGGGGCTTTATCTTTTCCTATCTGGAGGAGGTTGGAAGCATGGGTGGTTTACTTTGTGAATGATGAAGAGCCCTTCTAGTCTGTGATGGTCTAGATTCTTATTATACATGTAGAATGGTAACTGAGAATTTTGAGACATGGTAAGAAATAACAAAGAATGTTGGAGTTGGTTTTAAAAGGAAAAGTTTCTTTTGGTAGACAGTTCAAGTTTCTATGTGAATATGTGACTTATTTTCACTTAATGGTCACATGATAAATACATATATATTTTAAATTTAGGATCTGCCAGCTGAACAAGGTAATTTGGAACTGTATTAGATATTTTGAGACAATCAAGCCAATTTATTTTCTAGCTTATTTTGGACTTTGACTTTTTAAAACTTCCTGCAAAAAGTAATTGCTCCATTGTTGATGTATTTTTTCTATTGTAATGGAAGCCTTCATTTTTAATTAAAATGTAAATAATTTTTATTTTGAAATTTTATAAGTGGTTCTTACATTTTATTGCAGTTTGAAAATATAAATTCGATTTATTTTTAAATGAGTTAATAAAAGCTTTAGTGAATTTTCTTTAAGAAAACTTAATTCACATTTAAATTTTGGAACTGTTGTTTTAATGCTGCCTCATAATTGCTTTGGTGGGCAAATGTTGTTTTAAATATCATGTTTTCTCGCAGTATTTTTTTCACCATCGGAATAACCTGGACATAAGTGTTGTGATCAGAGAAGTTTATCATTTCATGGAGATCACACCTGCTAATATTCATCCAGAAAAGGAACTAGAAGTTTTTGTTGCACTGACGAAAGGACAGTATCCAGTATTTAATCAATATCCAAAGTTTATTGTGGATTATCAGACACAGGAAAGAGAAAGAATAAGGAATGATGAACTGGATTACTTGAGGGAGAGGTAATCATGGAATAACTCCTTGATAGAAATAGAATCTGTTATGAACAATAAAGTTTTTTTTTTTTTTTTTTTGTATTTTTACTGGTACCAGGGATCGAACTCACGACCACACGCTTGCAAGGCAAGCGCTTATGCCGCTGAGCTAAATCCCCAGCCCCAACAATAAAGTTTTTAATGAGAAATACGTTGAAGTCATTAAACAGCTGTGTAAAATCAAAGTTTGAAGATGGAGGTATCTGAAAGGAAATTTAAATATTACACATTAATCAGGTGTACATTTTGTGTTTTGATTGTATTTGGACTATATTCCTTAGCTTTCTTGTTTGCGTTTTTGTAATAATCAGTATTGTCTATTTAAGGCAGACAGTTGAAGAAATGCAAGCTGAAGTAGACCAGCAAAGAGTGAAAGATGAAGCTTGGTACCAGAAACAAGAGCTGCTTCGTAAAGCTGAAGAAACAAGAAGAGAAATGCTCTTACAGGAGGAAGAGAAGATAGGACAGCAAAGGCAGAGGTACATTCACCAACTTGAGAAAGTCTGGACACATTACTCAGTTGAATAAGTTTTATTTTCTTCTGTTTTCTCATTTAGGATCAGAACTATATGTAGAATTACCAAGCTTAACTTCCATTAAGCAAATATTTAAGTTAATAAGTATATATAACACTTTTCCAAAAATTGATATATAAAACTATAATTCTAAAGCTATACTGACATGAAAATATAAGTTTGTACATATTATTAAGATGTAAGATAAGATCTAATGTACCTTGAAGGACATTATTTAGAAACATTATACTTCTACAGGAAATTTAGAGAAGACCAACACCACTACTTCTCAAACTCTTTAATGAAATTGAAAGGGAAGCAGTGCTCCATTCCTGGGAGCAAACATTACCCTGGCATCAAAACCAGAGAAGGACCCAACTAAGAAAGAGAACTATAGACCATAATCTCCCTAATGAACATCAATGCAAAAACCCTCAATAAGATACTGGCAAACAGACTGCAGCAAATCATCAAAAAGACTGTACACCATGATCAAGTGGGATTCATCCCAGGGATGCAGGGATGGTTCATTATACGTAAATCGATAAATGTAATATACCATATTAACAGAGCCAAGGACAAACGTCATATGATCATCGAAATAAATGCAGAAAAAGCTTTTAACAAAGTCTAGTATCCATTCATGATGATAACCCTTATCTTTCACCATATATTAAGCTAAAATCTGAATGGATCGAGATCTTAATATTAAAACAGAAATATTAAATTGGTGGAAGATAAAGTAGGTAAAACTCTTGAAGACATTGGTATAGGCAAAGACTTTATGAACGGAGCCTCTACTGCACAGGAACTATCACAAAGAATCAACAGCAAGGATCTTATCCTACTGAAAAACTTTTGCACAGCAAGAGAAACCACCAACAGAACAAAGAAACAACCCACAGCGTGAGAGAAAATGTTTGCCAACTGTGCCTCAGACAAAAGATTATTATTTCAAAAAAATCAGGCCTATTAAAGACCCAATCCAAAAGTGGGCATCTGAGATGAACACACACTTCTCATAGGAAGAAGTACAAACAGCAAATAAATATGTGAAAAAAAGTTCACATCAATGGTTGTTCAAGAGACACAAAACAACACTGAGATTCCACCTCACCCCAGAAAGAATGGCTGTTATCAAGAAATCAACCAATAACAAATGCTGGAGGGGCTGTGATGAGAAAGAAACCCTTCTCCACTGTGGGTGGGAATACAGACTGGTTCAACCACTGTGGAAATCAGTGTAGAGATTCCTCAAAGAACTGAGACTGAGGCCATTGAACTCAGCTAGCTGTTCCCCTTCTGAGTGTCTTCCCAGAAGAATTAAAAACTTCATACCACAGCAATATATGTGCAGCCATGTTAATGGCAGCACAGTTTGTAATAGCCAGATCTTTGAAACGACCTAAATGCCCATTGACTGAGGAATGGGTAAAAAAGATAGGGTATTTTTTACAATGCAGTACTGTTCAGCATAAAGAAGAACCAAGTTCAGACTTCCATAGGTAAATGGGATGCAACTTGAAACCATACTCATAAGTGAAATAAATCAGATACGCATGTGTAAACATCGTATTTTCTCACTAGTGTGAGAAGATAAACATGTGGGGGCTGGGGATTTAGCCCAGCAGTATAAGTGCCTACTTGGCAAGCAGAAGGTCATGAGTTTGATCCCTGTACCAAAAAAAAAAAAAAAGAAACCCACATGTATATATATGTATTAAAAAATAGTTATAGCTATATAAAAAATAGAACCATAGTAGTTAGAAGATGCTTTGTGATGGAGTTCTGGGTAAATCACTTTTAGTGGAATTCTTTAAATTGTGTTTTAAAGGTAACCATGTGACCTCACAGTGGAAACGTAAAATATATCATTTGCATTTAATACTTTGGAGGACAGAGTAAGAAGTATTGTTTATTTAAAAGTATGCTAATGTCTTAGTTAATTAAAATGATGGGATAAGCAACTAGATTAAGCCTAATTTGGGAGAATTCACTTCTCTGGGTATTTTTTGATTCTTATTTAGAACTGAATGGAACAGATTTCCAGGGTATATTAAAAGAAATTACAAAATAAACATACATCATACTTGGAAACAGGGCATTTTTAGCATTCTTCCTTCGCGTAAAGGATTTCCCGGGAGTCGCGTAGACCTGACGGGTAGACTTGTTAGGAGTCTGAGTGTGAAAGGGCTGCCAGCGCTCTGTGGGCCGCTTGTCGTCTTCACGAGGACAGCTCAAGCAGTGGGTCATCTTCCACGCACACATTGTGAGCACCGTGTGCACAGTGCTACAAGGCAGCTTGGGAAAGTGAACCAAAATAGCTGGGAGGCAGAAATCACTGTGCAAAAGTTAGATCTGTACCGGGAAATGCTTTATTCCCCTTGCTGTGTTCTGTGTTTCAGACTAGCTACAGTGAAAAGAGAGCTGAAAATCAAGGAAATACAATTACAGGATGCTGCAAAGAGGCGGTTTCTAAAGCTTCAGCAAGATCAGCGTGAGATGGAGCTGCGAAGACTGGACGATGAAATTGAGAGAAAGGTGTGTTTTTACTTAGCACTCAGGTCAGCTCCACTTATCCTCATTTAATGGAATGAATTAAATACCGTTCCGAGTCCACAGTGAATAATAGACAGGTCCTTTAATTTTATTTACTTTATCTCTTGAGTATTCTTCCTCTTTTGTATTTCATTAATGGTGAAATATTGAAGAAATTCTGGAAAGCTGGCTGTGATGGTGCATTCCTCTAACCCTAGCAACTAGGGAGGCACAGGCAGGAGGACAGCAAGCTTGAAGCCAGCCTGGGCAACTTAGCAAGACCATGTCTCAGAATTTAAAATACAGTTTAAAAGGACTGGAAGTGTAGCTCAGTGGTAGAGAGGAAAAGAAAAATCTGGGACATTATTTAGTTTTAACTATGTCCTTGATGATGACCTCTCTCTCTTTTTTTTTTTTTTTTTTTTTTTTTTTTTTGGTACTGGGGATCGAACTTACAACCTTGCATTTGCCAAGCAGGTGCTTATCCACTGAGCTAAAGCCCTGGCCCAATGATTACCTCCCTAAAAATAATTTTCTTTTTTTTTTTTTTTTTTTTTGTCTTTTTTGAGACAAGGTCTCGCTGTGCAGTTCAGGTTGGCCTTGAGCTCACTTGGGACATTAGCCTTTTTCCGTGGTGTAAATGTTTCCTATTGGTCTGTCTTGCCCACTTCTTAAGAACTTTTATTGGGTCTTGTTTTTTTTGTTTTGTTTTGCAAAATATTTTTATTTTTTGATAATCAACTTCATTATTTTTTATGGCTTCCAAGTTGTGTATCATTTAGAAAGACCTTCCCCTTCTGAAGTAGTATTTTACATATTTTCTGAGGTAGTATTTCCATTTTTTCTTATAATCTTGCTGTATCTTAGGGACTAGCAGACTTCTGTATACTCGCTAAACCTGGCCACCACCTCTATTGTGAGGCTCATGAGCTACAGTGGTTGGCTGTTTCCCTGCGGATGTAGCTTGGTGGTAATGCCCTTATCTTACCTAGCTGACGAAAGACCTTCAGCTTTATTCCCAGCACCACAAAAAATAAAGTGCTCATATTTCATGACATAAAGATTTTATTGAATTTTATAAAATACATGTGATTCAAACTATGATGTTGATAAGTGAAATTTTGCAAAAATATATTTATACATACTTGTTTTCATGCTGTCTTTGGTTGCATTTGTACTGCAGCAGCAGTATGCGCGAGTGATCGTGACTACTGTGTGACCCACAAAGCCTGAAGGATTTATTACCCAGCCCTTTGCAGAAGATCTTTGCCAGCCTCTGAGGGGTCTGAAAATCTGAGACTAGAAATGAGTTAGGGACCAAGCTTACTTCTCTCCAAAGGACAAATCAGCTGTCCCAAAACCATCTGTTGAATGTTACAAAAGTCATTTGCCAACTAATGATTTATACCATATTAAATTCCCACGTGTACTTAATCTCTTTGCTGTCTGTTCCTAAGACAGTGCCACAAAATGACAGGCACTTACAGTACCACGATGTTACTGTGCTGTGAGAAGCAGAAAGTGTAAATAAGGACCAAAACATGCAATAGATTCTGTGAAATAGAAAATGTTCTAATGGGAAGGGGATCTTGCGAAGAGAGAATAGGAAAGGAAGGGAAGAGAGAGAAAAGAAAAAAATGAAGATAAAACTGCAGTAAAGAGGAGAAGAGGAGTTGAAGGGAGGGAAGGGAAATTGGGAAAAGGTTGTATCATGTACATGTGCAGATTTCCTGTGATCAGTGTATCGTTATGTATGCCTAAAATGTACCAATAAACTTAATTTTTAAATAAGGAAAAACTAGTTTTGACAAAATATTAAGTATTTTTACATCTTTTAAAGGTTTTTGTTTTGTTTTGTTTTTTGTCTTTTTGAGACAGGGTCTCACTATGCAGTTCAAATTGGCCTTGAGCTCACTTGGTAGCCCAGGCTGGTCCTGAACTTGCAACGCTCCTAATGCCTCAGCCTCCCTAGTGTTGGGGTTACAGGCGTGAGCCACCATGCCCAGCTCTTTTATTTTTTCAGTTCTTTTAAGTTTAATTCATCTGCTTTAGAAATCTATTATCACTTTTTATAGCATAATGCTTCTTGTTTTTAGAGCAAATTGATTTTTTACAATGTATGATTCTTTTTAATTATCCCATGTAGTGAATTAGATTACTGTTTGATTCTGAAAGAATATATGTTCTTCCTCACAAATTACACCAGCTCAGAACTGATGCCTTTATTCCAAACCCTCTGAAGATAGGATAAGGCATTCTTTAGTCAAAGAACCCTACCGTCCCATCAGCGCGGTCAGGCCTCTGTCTGCCCTTCCAGCTGCCTTTCCTTCCAGCTGTCCATCGTGTTACTGTGTCCGCTTGCCCACCTGCAAACGTTCCCCTCAGTCCCAAGTGTCACATACTGTGGGCTTGCGTCAGTAGTAAGCGGAGTTGTGCTGGGTTTTGTTTTGGTTTTTGGTTTTATAGTTGATCTATTTTTGCTGTTACATAGCTGTAATATGGATTTCTGAAAATCCGTATGCAAAAGAATCTGTAACTGAAACTCCTTAACAGCATATGTTCCACCTGTTAGCATTATCATTACTCTTGTTTATGGACTGCAACCTCTACACTTTTGAGCTACCTGTTTTCCCAGTAACCTCCTCAAGGTGAACCATCCTCTGTTTCTTTGAGCCCATGGGTATGTTTGGACACACCACTCGGTTCGCATTTACTGCTTCTCGTGTTATGGGTAATTCGTCTCTACTCAACAGTAGGTAACCTGCCTTGTGAATGCAAGTAGTAATGCAGTCACTAAATGTATACTACATAAATGCACAAATTAACGGGATAAATGGCTCATATAGTTTTTGTTTGTTTACTTGTTTGATTTTGTTTGAAAAAAATACCATATATTTTTCTCTCATCCCTAAAAATATTTATGACTTTAGGCAGCAAAAGTTTTAAGATGATTTCTCTTCTCTGGAAAATGCCTTCTCCAGACCCTCTAGTACTGGAATGAAAAGCTTCCAAGTAATCAAGTTTTAGAGAATAGTGAAGTCTAAATTAGGTCTGTTACACAGTAAACCGTAACTTTCAAGCTGAAGTTATTAGTTACTAATTAGATTATAAAAACAGATTTTTATTAACATTAAGTGAATGTTGCATATTAGTATATTACCAATTACTCTAGTTCAAAAACCCAGTCCTTATTACTGTAAATACTGTCCATGAGTGGGTGTTCAGATTGTGAGGTTACTAAATCCATTAAAAATTACTTTGTAAATTCTTTTTCATATTGACAATTTGTTGTTTGGCCATAGGTACAAATGAGAGATCGAGAAATTGCTAACACAACCAAAGACCTAGAAATGAGACATCTGGAACTTGAAGCACAAAGAAGACTTTATGAGAAGGTATAAATCAATTGATTCAGTATAAGAAAAGCAAGATTTATGTAAGCCCTTTTGCACTGTATTTGTTTTTTAATGTTCATGATACTTGCTTTTTAAACAGTACAGAGAGTCATCCAGGAGGGTAAAGTAGCTGGAAGGTCTAATGTACAACATGGTGATGCTTCAGTTCGTGTTTCTGTAGTGGTCTACAGAAGTGGACCGAGGGACGAGATGTAAGCCCCAGATTTTGCCTCAGGACCAGTTTACTGCATTTTGCTATGTTTATGTAATAGTGACAGGGTAATGATAGCTTCCAGGAGAGTGCTCCTTGCCTTTCAATCTCATTAAAAAGCTTGAGGAGCACTGATGCCAGATCTTCCCTGAGATTCTTGTAGAATTCAGCATTGAATGAATGCATCAGAACCTGAGCACTCACAGAAAGGAGAAGCAATAGGGCAGCTAGGGGACCCAAAAGGGGCGCTAGGTAAGGGAAAAGCTCCCCGCCCCGCACACACATCGAGGAGAAGGGGTTGGCAGCCATTTGTTATTGTTGCTGTTGAAGTCGTTCTTCTATTTCTTGGAGCTTGTCTCGCATAACACCGGACGCAGTCTATTTGGCTGGTTTATGTTCCTCCAGACCGAGAAGAGCCTCCTCCGCAGTCACAAGGGGTTCTGTGCATGGCTGTCAGCAGTTGTAGTGTGTTTGGCAGGGGTCGAAATCCACCATGGGTGTGGTACGGCTCAAGGAGAAGGCCGAGTAGGCAGCATAGGGCTCCAGGGGGTTGTGTCACCTGTAAGAGAACACAGGGGATTGTGCCTCAGGAAATGACATTATTCCTGGGCGTTGCATGGGGTCTTTGAAGAACTGTCTATTTGTTTTACAAGGCGCTCAGGTAGCCATCTAGCCTGTCTATCTTGTTGAGAGTAAACACATACTGAACCTCGTCCCCTATGAGAATGGGATCAGGGACATGCCATGAATTAGTCAGGGGGTCTTTCTATAGTACTGAAGCAAATTGCTTTTGTGTTTCAGAATGCCAAAAACGCATGGCTGCTGACTGTCCAGAAGCATCCAAATTTAAAAAATTAAGGATGAATAAGGCATGAGATAGAATATTTTTAGGTGTCCTCCTTGTAGAGTACCATTCCCCCCTTTTTATTTTATCAACAGTGAGTTTTAGGAAAAGATGTGCCCTTTTAACTATGCCTTGACGCTGAGAGTTATAAGGTATGTCTTTTATATGATCAATATTAAGATGTTGACAGAAATGAGCAAAGGCAGAACTAGCATAGTCTGGACCATTATCAGTCTTTAATTGTTGTGGGCATCTCAAAACTGATAAGGTAGTTAACATATGGCTAATAACGTTTGGTAGCTTTGCCAGTCTGGGGAGAGATGTAAATGACACCATTAAAGATATCTATAGTTAAATGAACATATTTAAGATTGCCAAGCTCAGGAATGTGGATGACATCCATTTGCCATGATGCATTGAGGATAAGTCTTTTAGGATTAACCTCAAAGTTTGGAACTGGGAGGTGCATGGCACAAGAAAGGCAATTTTTTACTATCTGCCTGGCTTGTTTTCTAGTGATCTTAATACAGAATTACAGGAAAATAAATGGTAAGAAATCAACAGTTAATAAGTTTCACACTGTCATCCCAGAAACAGCTGTCCAGGTTACAAAATTAAAGCATGCAAAGCGACAGGGACATTGCCAACAGTTCTGCTCAGTGATCCAACAAAAACTTAATAATATGGTTATCAGTCCAATACACTTGTTTTTTATCTCAAAGAGGGCAAGACCAAACATACCAAAACAGAACAAAACCGTTTTTAAAAAACGATTTAAAGAAATACAGATTTCAAAGCAAGTCCACTAGAGATCTTCATTGTTCATCTAATTGTCTCTAGTTTCCTCCAAACAGTTGTGCCCATCTTTACGCACATTAAATACACACTGCATATTATAGAACTAATCTAATCACTACAGGATGATGAAGGCTCCTTAGGTTTTCAAGATCTGACATTGGGGAAGACAATAATAACTACCATACTGTCTCTCATTCTCCTTTTAGCAGTTGTCCCCATCCTTACATATGCTGAAATTAAACTTAAGAGATTAGAGCAATATCACTCTGATTAGTTAAATGAGTCAAAGTAGTTGACATTGGAATCTCCACCTCTTTTCTGTAAAATGACTATTTCTCCACAGGCAAAAAGTCCTGTTCATGCTTTTGAGACAAGAACTGTCCAACTGCAAACCCCTGCAAGGCAGCAGCCACAGCAAAGGTGTATATATCCTGTTAGGCCTGTTCTATTTTTACAAGGTCTGACAGCGGCCCGGCAGATGGTGCCGGCGCCTTTAAAAGCCAGCTGTTGGGGGCTGGGGATTTAGCTCAGCGTCATAAGCACCTGCCTTGCAAGCAGGCAGTCGTGAGTTCGATCCCTGGTACCGATAAAAACGAAAAAAAAGACAAAAATAAATAAATAAAAACCAGCTGTTCAACAAATCAGTGCCTGCATCAGCGTGGCCAAAGACTCCACTAGCAGCAGCAATCAAACAATCAACAAACTCTGAAAAGGGTTTATCTGGGCCTTGCTTAATGCTAGTGAGAGAGGAGCTCATATTATCTTTTGCAGGCTGTTTGAATTTGAGCGAATAGTGTTGGATTAAACTCTTTTTGAGCCTTTCTGCATGCATAGGCATCTTTCACTATTAACATATTAAGGTCCCACCTATTGCCAGCCTGTGTATTGTGCCTGGCGGTCTCTTTGCAATTTTTTGTATATTTTGATTTTTACAAAAGATTTTCCCCACCCAGTAAAGTCACTCGGGCCAATTTTTGCCAATCTATAGGTGTGAGCCAGCTGTCAGCCAGAGAATTTAAAACAGCAAGAATGAAAGCAGCTGTAAGGCCATATTGGGCAACCGCTGCCTTTAATTCTTTTAAAGCAGCCACTGTGAATGGCGTGTGTGTCCTAATGACTTGTGGAGCTAGTGGTGCAGCGCCCGCGCCGTCTTACGGCTGTGCAGTGCCATCTTGGGGAGGTACGTTTGTTTCTGTCACTGGAAACGCAATTTCGAGGAGGGACCCAGGCTGATGTGGCGGAAGTGAGACAAGCACCATTTTAAGAGCGCCACGAGGCTTGCCGGAGGCCGGTGCTATCTTAGGAGCACTACAAGGCCTTGTGCGACTGTCTCCTCAATCTGAGGATCTGCATGCCGCTGGGCAAGCAGCTCAGATTAAATTCCAATATGCAAAGATGGTCACTGGAACCTTTTCTGGACCGAAAACCCTATAATAATCTTTTAAAGCATCTCTTACTCTTTTCCACCACTTGGTATCTATAGAACCTCTAGGGCAAACCTTATGGATAAATTGAAAATACTGCAATAATTCTTTTGTTCTAACCCTTACCCCTCTTCTCTTGAATGCCTTTATAAGGCCTCCCACGAACACTTTGTGTTCGTTCAATGCTTGACCCATGTCTGGGAAAGGGAATGGGGTCGCCGTTCACTCACCGTGGCTTTGGCAGGCACATCAGGTAGTGGTCTGTGCAGGCCTCGGTACTTGATTTAATGTCCTTTTGTTTTTAGCTTTAATCCTGGATTTAGTTTGCTCAGTTCTCTCCGCAGTCTCTGGTTCAGTTCACTTTCACTTTAAGCTGGCTGTCTCGAACGGCTCCTCTTTGACTCCTCCGTGCCAGGAGCCCCCACGCTGGGCGCCACTTGATCCCGCCTGCAGATCAATCCATGAGGTGTACCTGGAGGAAGAACAGGGATTAAAATAAAAACATGGGGGAGACAGAGACTGAGACAAGTTGAGAGATTACAATCAAGCCCCCGTTTTATTCCGAAAGTGATTAACGTCTTTTATAGGCCAAGGGCGGGCTGGTGGGACAGGAAGAGGCTATGGGGATGAATACAACAGGGTCACTGTCACATCTGGGTATGACGTAAGCAGGAGAGGATTATGGTTAATGTAGGCAGACGCATTGTGCCCATAGGAGAGAGAGAGAGAGGCAGGGAGGCAGCAATGGGGCTGTCGCGCGGCTCCCTACACTATTTGGGTATGTTTTCATTCCACTGGGTACACCTACGAGCAGGGCATTCCGATTTCTCAGTATTTTCATGATTCGTGTTTTATGTCTTTCATTATAGCCGCACTGACTAAGTCCTTGCTGACTAATTAGGTTAAACATTTTTTCATATATTATATATATATTATATACCATATAACATTTCACTTGGAGATAATGTAAATTGTGTTTTTGGTTTGGTTGGTTTTATTTTGGTTTTTGTTTCATCTTTTGGTCTTTTTGAGACAGAGTTGCACTGTGCAGCTCCAGCTGCCTGAAATTCACCATTAACCGCCTGCCTCAGCGTCTCGGGCACTGGGATTTCCACCTGTACCACAGTACTCAGAATTTTTAAAACTAGAAACCAGACCTTTTAATAATGTAACATAGCAGTTGTGGAAGTCAGACTGTGCATGCACACACACAACACACACACACAAGGTGCCTTTCTTTTGCTTCATAACTCTCTGAACTAATTCTGTGAAGTCCTTCTCCTTGTCCTGTTGGGCCCCTGAAGTCTCCTCATAGAGGTTCATGGTCAGCTAATAATTGGACAGAGAGAAGAGAAAGAGCGTTGTTGCTTTGTGACATGGGCCCGTGTGTGCATAAGCAAGGCACACCTTCCACACAGCAGAGCAGGCGTGCCTGCTCCAAGGGTCTCCACTTACACGCTTGGGTCCGCGCGCATAGCTAAGGGAATGCACCCAGCCTAAGCACGTGCACGTGGCCCTCCTGCAGTCCAGGCGACTGTCAGAGTTCCCACAGCCTCCTGTGGAGGGTTGCATCCCACTTTCCCTTTTTGGTGAGCCTGTTGTTTGCTCTGATTATGATCCTCTCAGTCAGCCAAGGTATCCAACAGTTTCCTCTCCTTTTATATAAATGTCCCAGGAGAATGGCTGTTCACACTAGTGTGGTCACATAAAGATTAAGGTCACACAGAGAGAGCTGGGGAGCAGGTCATCCAAGAGACACCCAGGCCGATCCTGCCCACAGCCAGAAGTCATGGCAGTTCTCTGGGAAGGGTTTGAAGGAACTCTGGTCTCATCTTGTCCCTTGTGTGCTGGTTTCCAAAGCTAACGCAGAGCTTTGGAGTGGGTATAATCTGACTTTAAAGCAGCTCTTAATTCTGACCGATGAATGCTCTCCAGACTGCACAAGCAGTCAGTTAGCTTCCAGATTTTAAAGAAGCTGATGTTATAGATTTGCCAGTATCTATGCTTTTATGAAGGAAAGAATTTCCAGCAATCCTTACTCTGTTTTTAATGATACATCACTGTTGAATATTAAATGGTTACAGGTTTTTTAGTGTGCATATTAATAATGTAAAAAAAGAAAAGCCATTGTGTGACTTAGATCAATGATTTTTTTTAACAGAATGTTACTAAAAATCAAGAAGCTATTGCAAAAGAAATTCAAGAAGATGCAGATGCCTATAGACGAAAAGTGGATCTTGAAGATCACATATTTCATAAGCTGATAGAAACTGAACAAACTCATAGAGGAAGGAATCAGAAGGTAAAATACGAAAAAGTTAGTTGTACATAGAGGGAGAGTTATTAGTCATTTTTTAAGAGGAATTTAAAATTTTGTGCAGTTGACATAATTCATTTCTTGGCTTCATTTGCTGCCGTGCCTAGAGTGTCCGCTGCTTTATTTGCTAGATGCTTACTTCATGTGTGATCATATGCATGTATCATTCCTACCTTTAGTACTCTTCCAGACATTAACAAATGCAAAGGAAACTCACTTTACAAATTACACTGTACTGTGCTCCTATGCTCCATCTCAGAAACTGTGCCCCGTGAATACAGTCACAGATGATCATGTCCTGGTACACAGCCGAAGTGTGCTCTAGAATAGCAGCTGTCGGTCAGGAAGAGTTGGTAGTCAAGCAGGTGTTGGAAATGCCCTTCCGATGTCTATGCCGAAGTTAGGACTACTCTCCATTGTGAATCTTGAAGGCAGTTGTTTATGTTCTCTGTTACTGACAGAGTGCCCTTTTGGCAGTGTGACTTGAATGAATTGAAGCAGAACTTTTGACACTGATACAGAGCTTCTTCTGTTACCCCTTTAACACAGCAGTAAATGTGTGTGTGGCCAGCCCTACTGTGACAGCCAGGAGTGTGTAAGGAGGAAATGCTCTTCCATAGCCGCCACTTGGCTGGTCCCCCTACTACTCGGCCGCTTCTTTTCTTCCCGGCTTTTATCCTGGCTGTAACAGTGGGCCCTTCTGACTGCATTCCACAGTGCTAAAAACGCAAGTTGTTAAGGCTCACCCACCCCTTGGCAGGGGAGGTAGAGTCACTTCCGGAGCTCCCGCCCACTCCAGAGACTGGCTCCCTGCCCGTGGGGGGGCCTGGCAGGCAGTGTGCTGGAGACACTCCTGGATGATTGTGGCATGCAGCAGGGCTGCAGAGACTGTCCTAGTGTCCCAGTGGCACACTGAGCGGGCAGACTGCACCCCAGCCTTAGTGTCTGGCCTTGTCTCTGAAGTTTATAACTTCTCTTAGATAATTCAAGACAGTTTGGCAGAAGCTGAACAAGCATGCCTCAATACTGACTGGAAAATTCACACTTTGCATAAACAACAATGTGATGATCTCCATCGAAGTGTAGGTTACCAGAAAGTAGCCACACTCCTTCAGAAAAACAGGAAGAAAGAAAGAGAGGTATTACATACCGTGATGGCGAAGGATGCTAAGAAGGTAAGAATTACACTGTATAAACTTTTTATTATACAATGAACATTTAAATTTTGAAGCACCATGTAGTCAAATGATAAAAGCATCATTTTTGTTGGAAAAAAATAATTTTAGTGGATATTTTCCAGAGAGTTCACCTAACAGTGAAGCTGCCTAAAACTAATGAAACCTCTTTCTCATTTATTATGTCTTAACTTGTCAGCTACTGGATTTGTTCTGGCTGATTGGATATTACTTCTTTAATTTATCTAATTTTTTTATTTTATTTTAAAGAAAAAATAAAAACAATGGTTCAATTTCAAGGTAAGATTATAGGAGACTTTTTCTGCACTGCTTCCTAGTATAATGGCTTGCTTTTTTTTTTTTTTTTTTTCCCAAGACTGGGTCGCACTGTAGTTCAGGCTGGCCATGAACTCTCTGTACCCCAGGGTGGCTGTGAACTTGCAGTGATCCTCCTGCCTCAGCCTCCCAGGTACTGCCAGGTGTGTGCCACCACGCCTGACCTGGCTTTCATTCTCAACGTCGCTTTATCATTCAAGGTGACTGCAGGAGTCTAGCCAGCCAGCCAGACTTCTACTCTAGCCAACAGAAATACAAAAATGCTCTATTTGCCATCTGAGTCAGCTCGTTTTTAAGTCCTTCTCAGGCTCCCATATCTTATTCCTACTGCATTTGACTGAGATCCTGCAAATAATGCTGAGAAATGCAGTAATTTTTAGCACAGATTATGTTCCATATAAAATTAGTATTGTTACTTAAAGAATCAAGATGGATTTTGAAAGGTAGCTAAGTGTCTACCTCTGGTGTCTGTGACTTCTCTCAGCAGCTCTAGCAGCAGGCTCTGCAGGTAGCAGCGCTGCAGGGTGCTTCCCTCAGGGCGCAGGACCTGGGAGAGCTGAGGATGTGGGAAAGCTGGGGACAGGAATCCCCTTGTGCCGCTGTCTCCTAATACCCACTCCGCAAGCCGGCTGAGAACAGTGTGCTTCTTGGATTCGTTTCCACCGACCTGCCCAGTGATCTGGGAGCCTGTCTTGTAGCCCTTCTTTGAAGGACCTGAAGGAGGGAATAGGGAGCAGGTGAGGCTAGTGGCGTTCACCTCAGGAGGGCTTGCGGCAGGAGCCCCCCTCGCAGGTCAAGGCTGCTGGCTCTAGGGCCAGACTCTGTGAAATGTGCTGCTGTACTGGTGCAGAAGCAGACCAGGAACACTGGAAGGGCTTTGCACTCCCCACGCAAATCCCTCTCTGCGTCTCGGTTCAGAGTCCTGAAGTCAAGCTGATGCACAAGGCTTTGGGAGCTCTCACATTCGGTGCCCTCATCGGTAATGTGGGGGATAGATCACCATAGTCCTGCTTCTTAAAGCATCACCATGTGAGTCTTCAAACTTAAGGTTTAAGAGTTTCTATTATTTAATGCATTGACATTCTATTTATAAAAACTGTATGTATGCTTCCATGTAAAAGATACAGCTTTTCTAGAACGTGGCAAACTTTTGGAATGAAATCTACTATTTTAAATCCGTTTCTTTAGTTATCCTCGGAGGTAATTTGAAGATGATTATCTTACCAGTTTATTAGGATGAAAGCAGGGTCCAGCAGAGATTACTTGACTTCCAAAGGTCAAGGCAGGGCAAAGGCTTAACATTCTGAATTCTGTTGATCTGTCACTAAGACAGCTTTCCAAAAAAAAAAAAAAAAGACAGCTTTCAAATGAAGTGAGAACTTCGCAGCAGAACACTAGCTTAGTCTCTAAGATCGGAGCCGGGAGGAGACGAATCACGATCTCGGCAACAGTGGGGACCCAGCCTGTGCTCTGTAAGGCCCTGCAAGGTGCTGGTGAGGCATCAGACTCGCCTGGGCTCCCAGGCTCTTCCACGGTGGGCACGGTGGGCAGCACAGTCCCCTGTGCCAGAACACACACGCCTTGAGACCAGAGCGGGGAGCTGCAGTGGGCAGAGGGCTTGTTCTGCCTTCAGAGGCGGGGTGACCACCGTTTGTATGCGATGCTCTTCCTGTTTACTTGTGTATAGTGGGAGGACGCTGAAGAAAAAGAGCTTCATTTAAGATCAGAAAAGGAAGCTTCTGCCCTTTCAGATGCATCTAGAATGTGGTTTCTCAAGCGGGAGATGAATGCCGCTGTAGAACACGCTGAAGGTCCATGTATTCAAGGTGAGTGTGTCCCTGACCTCGGTCTCCATGCTGCCGTAGATTCCTTCTTTAATGTGCTGCATTGTGGGTAAATCATGGGTGTGTACTGGCCCTTCATTTACATTTTGCTCAATTAAGAGCTAATCACTATCCCTGCCTGGCAAGCATGAAGCCCTAAGTGCAATTCCCAGGACCCACAGAACAGGGAAGTCATTAGTTACTGTCTTCTGGTAAGAAGCTAACGTGGCATTACGAAGAACAGCTCCACTAAGAAATCGCTCACTGACTGTAGAGCTGTTGTACTCCACAGACCCCTTGGCACCTCTCCCCTTAATCTTCTAGAGTATGCTTTGTTCCCACGCAGTCTGGTTGACTTCAGTACAAACACACACTCTGGCAATAGCTGGTCCCCCAAACAATAATGCATTAAAGGGATCCTTACAATGGATCTTCTTAGAAGATCTAGTCAAACATTATAGTATCAACTGAAAGATCAAAACTGTAATTCAAAACCCTAAATACAGAGTACAGGCATGTGGGGCCTTGGCTCTGTTTCGTATTTCTTCAGCCTTTTATAAAGCATATGCGTTACTTTAAAAATAATCACTGGTACATAATTCACATACCATACAATTTATCGGTTTTTATAGTGTATTATATTACTGTGTATTAAGAAATATATTCAGACTGAGCTTGGTGCCACACACACCTGCAATCCCAGGATTCCAGAGCTAAGGCAGAAAGGTAGCCATCAGTTCAAGGCCAGCCTGGGTCTTTGAATTTAGGTGATCTGGGTTTTTTTCAGTTCTTAATATACTCTAGCTATTACTTCTTTGTCTGAAGAGTAACTGGCTAAAATTTTTTTCCCACTCTGGGTTTTGTTTTCACTCTGGTGATTTCTTTTTTTTTTTTTTTTTGTCTTTTCCCTTTTTATCGGTACCAGGGATTGAACTCACGACTGCCTGCTTACAGGCAGGTGCTTATGCCGCTGAGCTAAATCCCCAGCCCCTACTCTGGTGATTTCTTTTGCAGTACAAAAACTTTTTAAGATGAGATCCCAGTTGTTGATTCTTTGAAGTATTTCCTGTGTATTCTGGGTTTTGTTCATGAACTCTCTGCCTATACCTGTGTATGTCTTCAAGAGTTCTACTTGTTTTCTCTTCCAGCAGATTTAATGTTTCTGATTTCGTATTTAGATCTTTGATGCATTTTTTATTTTAATTTAGTGCATGGTGATAACCATGGATCTGGTTTTAATCTTTGGTGTATGGAGAGCCAGTTTTTCCAGCACCATTTATTAAAGAGGCTTTCTTTCTTCCAGTGAACACATTTGGCCCCTTTGTCAAAGATAAGGTGGTTTAAGTATCTTTGTAGTTGTATCTGTCTTCTAATCTGTTCCACTGTTTTTGTTTTTGGTTTTTTGCCTGTACCATGCTGGTTCTATGACAGCAGCTTTGTAGTATAATTTCAAGGCAGGGGTTGTGATGCCCCCTGGGTTTGTCACACAGAGGGTCCCTAGAAACAGGAGGCAAGTGAGAGATGCAGATAAATAGGTGTCACTTAAAAGGTCTAGTATCAGATCTGTTGGCAGTGGTAGGAAGTGAACCTTGCTTTGCCACTGCTAAGATCGCAGGTCCAGAAACTTAAACACTGCTGAATAGATGTAAAGTGATATTAGCCCTTGATTTTAAGACAGGCAAAGGATTTGAACAGCCTTTCTCCAGAGAAAAATACATAAATGGCAGTGTGCACTTGTGAAATACTCATCTTCACTTGTCCTTAAGGGAAGGGAGATGCAAATAAAAGCTGGGGGGGGGGGGCAGCGAGAGCACTTCCGCACACACACCGGTCCGGGTCCGCTGTCCTCGGAAAGACTCACAGCGAGGAGCCGGTTTGGGTCTGCAGCGGTGAGAGCCGAGAGCGGCGTCCCCCCGCTAGAAGGCCAACGCAGCAGTGCCTGCGACCTCCGCAGCAGCCGCAAGTAGACGCTGCACGGATGCCCGGAGATGCGGATAGACCCCCAGACCGGGTAGATCCACAGCGGGGGTCTACTCCGCTGCTTGCGGGCTTGTTTTAGTTGTTTTGTTTTAAAAGACAGTACCAAAACTTCAATGCAGCTTTTAATTCCTGCTGCTCTTTCCTTGCCCTCTGATCGGCATCCACATTGGTTTCCGAAGAGGTCGGAAATGAGTCCCACCATTCTTGCAGTTTGTACCGCTGGCCGTTTGGCACAAACGAAGGCTTCCTCTTGTCTGACGTCCGTCTCCTCCCCTCCCCTTCCTAGCGCAAGTGCACGGGCTGCAAAACGAGCGGGTTGCTTCCAGCGGTTTCCCCAGGACTTCACAGTTTCATGACATTTCTGAAAAGGAGTCCTCAGCCCAGAGTAAGTTGATAAGCCAGAAGGGGTTCTTCAACACCGTTTGTTTTTTTTTAGTATGGGGGATCAGACTCACAACATTGCGCTTGCAAAGCAGGGCTTAGGCCTGCTGAGCTAAATCCCCAGCCCCTATATGTCAGTTTTTAAAGTAGAATTGTGGCTGAGATGATAGTGCACCATACTGACAGGTTTCCTGGTGGCGACCTTGTGGGAAGCCTGCTGGAGACGGGGGAGCCCCTGGGCTTCCCATTTGGGTCGGAGCGCTTCTGCAGGGTTCCCTCCCACAGCAGGGAGGGCTCCCCCCAACGCTTACCACCATCCAGGGAGCAGCCCGAGAGGCAGAGGCATCCGGCTTGGCATCGTTGGGAGAAGAAAACCTCTGGGTTGTTTTCCGAGTCTGCACAGTGGTGAATTTCCTTGGCCCCTCACGCCTGGGCTGTGTCCCGCGGCTGCTGGGAGGGCAGCGCTGGCCCTGGCCAGGCTTCTGGTGCTCGGGCTTGGGCTGGGGGGCGTTGATTTTTGGAAGGGACCGGAAAGGAACATGTCTCAGAAAAGTAGCCACAGCATGAGCCCACAAAGACTATGATACCTTTCCTTGGAGAGTTTGTATTTATAATAAACAAGGGGCGGGGACGGGAAACTGATGATAGACGTTCTTTCCTCTTGATTTTCCAGTAAGGCCACCACATAGGTGAGGCAGAATTCAATGAGGTCTTCCAATTGTTTTAAAAAAGTTTTATAAAAGGTCCTAAAACAGGGCCTGTCTTTATTAGTTACTTCTGATAACAGGTCATCAGTTAGGGATTTTGCACAGTAGTGCCAGCACCTGCCCGGCAGGCACAAGATCTAGAGTTTGATCCCCAGTACCAGAAAAAAGAAAAAAAATCATGAGATTTCGGTGTTGTGTAAAACGAAAAAGACAAAAAAAAAAAAAATGTTTTTACAAACATTTTTAATATGAGCACAGCATACTGATTCAGTAAAATACAAGAGCTTCTCTCTTGTTCTCTATTCTGTTACATCAGAACATACACTTTGTTTCCTTTTGTTCTCTGGGTGTCCCAGGCTGGGGTCAAATTCCTGGGCACCAGCAGTTCTCCCAGGTCCCCAGGGCTGTAGGTGTGCATATGGTGCCAGCCGGCCTTGTAACTTAACTGGATAATTCTGAGTTTGAAAATGGAATGGAAGAATTGGCTAAGTTTATGTCATTTGGTAGCAAAATAAGAAAGCATAAAAGTTGGCATTCCTCTAGAGAAGAAAACAGTGTTTCAGAAATTGAAAGGAGTAAATCTAAATCTGATTCCTGCTAAATCTCAGGAAATGTATTTTTAAATTGTGTTTTTCAATTCCCGTGTTTACTAGCCTTGGATCAGTCTGCAATGGCTGCTACACTTGGACAGAGCATACTGTTCCAATCATGATTCTGGACTCTTCTATTAGCAGCTGTTCAAAGCCTTTTTTATTATTTTTCTTCTTGGCAATGTAGTCATAGAACAAACTTCACAATTTTGCGAATTGGAATGCTTTTCCTAATTGCCATTAGCAGTCCTGGTGAGGAAGCTGACCGTTCTGAGGAACTGGTTTTCTCCTGTAGTCAGGCTTTGTTCCCAATTCACAAATTCTGCACATGCTGAATAATGATAAGCAGTTACATCTCTGATGACATTCATGCAGTGCAGCAAATCACGGTTTGGCTGGGAAACAGGACTACAGAGGGCCAGACCATATGTTAGACTTTTTGTTTAAGAAATTTGGTTTTTAGAATATTCACTTCATTATTGATTTTTGCACATTACCTTCAAAAGCAATGCCACAGCATAGCTAACAACATAGAATCCAGCTGATTTTGTTTTCTTTTTAAGTTTGTTTAAATAGAAAACCAGAATGGGACAACATGGAACAAAATCTCATCAAGAAAGTGAGAAACCTTCGCCAGAGACTCACAGCGCAGGCGCGGAACCGCTGTGAAAACCCCCGCCTTGTGGCTGCATAGAGGGCGCCGTCTCCCCGGGATACTCAGAGGCGCGCAGTGCAGGTTTGCTATCAGTGGCTCCACTTTTTATATCATTTATATTAAACCTCTATAGTGACAGCCTTTTGTACAGAAAAATATTTCCATAAAATTATGTATTCTTACATTTTTTAGCTTATAAATGGCCTTAGTGTTTTATAAATAAAAGCTTTTTTGCAACGTAAAACTGCATTTGGCTCTCAGGTTGCAAAGATGATCGTAAACTTCAGTAGCTTCAGTAGACAAAAGGTTTTTAAAAGCTAAATGGAGAAACGAAACAGGCAGCGCCCGGGTGCCCACGCTGACGACCTGAGCTTGGCTCCCAGACAGCTCTGCACGCTCTGCTAGGCCCTTTACTGGAAGTCACGCCTACGCCGCGAGCTTTTACACCAGCGCTCACACACCTTGCACGTAATAAGTTCCCTATTAAAGCGGCTAGCCGGGTATGGAGACACACACCCATGACCCAGCATATGGGACCCTGAGGCAGGAGGGTGGCAACACAGCAGCCTGGGCTACATAGTTCAAAGCTTTCCTGAACCACACAGTGGGACCCTGTCTGGACACAAAAACTCTGTCCTTCAGCCAAAGGGAGTCATGAACACCCTCAACTAAGTGAAGTTCTGCTGTTGCCCAAGCTGGCCTTTCTCCCAGTAACCATCTAGCAGGTTTCAGACGCCTCGCTGAATCTCTTCGGTCCTTTATGCTGGGCGGGCACTTCAGGGATTACTGCCTTTAATAAACTTTTAAAAAACACGTATCTGTCCTGCCTTCCTGCTTCACGACACAGTGTCAACATACCCGTTTATTCATACTGTGAATTCCCTGGGCTAAAGTTCTGCACGCCTCTGCGGGGGAAAGCCGCATCCCTGAGGTCACTGCTCGCTGGCCTGAGCTCCGCGGTGCTAGCTCAATGCGGGGCTTCGGTGAGATTGGCCTGACCCTAAGCAGAGAGCTTCCCGAATGGTGTGAACAGGCAGCGAGCTGGAGAGAGGACTTCCACGTTTGTTTATTCGCCCGCCGAAGACCTTTCCTCTGGGTCGGTGCGGGGGTGACTGCAGTTGCTGCACGGCTGCACTCCCGTTTCCCTCCCTCCACCCTCGCGCGTGGCAGTGGGCGCTGCACACGGCTAAGCTCTGCCCGGCAGACGGCCCGGTCCGAGATGAGCGCGGGAAGAGCGTGACGGGACCGTGGTAGGGGAGAGCTGTAAAATCACGGAGCCTCAAGTGGGTGCCCAGCGCCGGGCGGAGGGACGGGGTGGGCAGCATGGCAGGCACTCGGGCCCAGGACGCCGAGGCCGGGCGGGGGGGTGGGACACGGCGGGGCGGAGAAGCCGAGTCAGCCACAGTGTCGCGGACTGCGAAGACACCCCTTCCCCCGCATGTCCCTCCAGCGCCCTCTGTCGGGCTTCGCAGCTGGCACACTAAAAGAGGAGGCGAGCGCTGCCTCCGCGGATAACCCGCACCCTGCACCGTCGGAAGCAGGGCTACAGCCTGCTTGCGTCCCTGGCGAGCGTGGCCTCGGCGCCGGCCTCTACCTAACGAGCAGCAGGCACTGGGGCTGATTTCCACCGCACGAAGTACGCGGGAGCGATATGGGGAAGTGCTAGACGCCAAATACGCACTCTACCAGTTACCTGAAGCCCAAGGATGAGTTCCAGGGAGCAACAGAAGTCAAGAGCAGGAAGTGCATTGGAGAAAAGGCCTGGGGACAGGGTGGTGCGTGGGAACAGCTCCCGAGACACGGGTGAGGTCCCGACTGCGTGGCCAGAGAGCCACCTCTGGAAGTTCCACAGGGCAAAACCCGAAGGCGGGGACAACGTGGGTCAAATTATGATCAATAAGATTACAAGTAAAGTCGCTTAGGTAATATCGATCGAGGGCAGCAAGGCTGCACGCGTGGCATCATTAACCCTGTGTTGTAACCTAAGGCCCCTAACTGTCGCGCTGTGAAGCCTGTTCTGTATAAGCCCGCCTGCTGCTTCCCCTCCCCTTCCCCCTTCCCATCTAACTAGGTCAAGTTTTAACTTTCCAAAAGGCCACAAAACAAAGGCCTGAGGTAATAGCTCCTGACAACCGCCTTCCCTACCTGTGGCCCATCACAAATTGTGTTAATTGCATTAAATTGTACTATTCTTCACAAAAATAGCTTCGTTTGTATCATAGCAATACCTGTAACTTGGCCTTACTGTAAATGTGTGTTTTCCTTTTCCCTCTGGGCAAAGGATTGATATGTTAATCAGTGCTCTCCTCTGTAAAGAATTGTAAAATCTTACCTAATTGATATGTTAACCATTGTTGCCCTCTACAAATAACAGTTGTGGTGCTAAAGTAAGGTAACTAAGATTGTTAATTGCTGTTAGACTTCTCTATTCTTTGCTAAGATTTCTTCTTATCTAAACTTGCTTGTATGCAGGGACACTTGCTTGTTAGCACAACCCTTACCTGATCTTGCCCTTCCCAAGACGTGTAATCTCTGTTTCTGTAGTGCGCCACACCCCCACCCCCTTCCTTACACTGTGTGACCAGCAGCTGTTTGGGGATTTACAAGATAAAAGCCCTGACTTTTAGCTGTCAGGTGCGCAGTCTCCAAACTGGCTCCTGGAGGCTGTGTCACCAGGCCTGGAAATAAAGCCTTTGCTTCCCAAATTTTAATTTCTTGCTTCCTTGGATTTTATACCGGGGTCCGAGTTATCACACCCTGCAGTTGTGGTCTTTAGTCTCAGCCTTAACGGGGCAAGCCGCGGGCGCACCTGGACAGACGACGGGAGATCTCGGAAGGGCGACCCCGGCGGCCCCGCCCTCTGCCCGCCCCTCGGGAAGGATGGAAATCCAGCCGCCTTCCCGCCGGATTCCCAGCACAAGCGCGATGACGCGAGAAGGCGCCTCGCAGTGGGCCGCGTGCGGGCGCAAAGTCCGCGGCGCGGGGCAGGAGGTCCCGGCACTGGCAGGACTCGGAGTGGACACACGCGACAGCAGGGGCCGGCCCGGATGGGTCCAGAACGCACCGCGGTTACTTCCGGGTCCCCACGCGCACTGGTCCCCACCCAGCCCGGCAGCCGCTTGGCGCTCTCGGATTCGGGGCAAAAGCAGCCCAGACACCAGCAAACTCAGATCCTTTTCCTCACAAGAATAAAATAAAGACCAAGAGCAAAAGTATTGTGCCCCGTGTGAGGGTCGAACTCACGACCTTCAGATTATGAGACTGACGCGCTACCTACTGCGCTAACGGGGCACCTAAGCAACGTTTCCGGCTTAGAACTAATGAGTCCGACAAAGTAGGAGCGACGCGCATGCGCAGAGGACACAATCGGCTCTGCGGCTTCTCCGCGGCCCCCTCGGAACTCCTGGTCTGGCCCCGCGCGCTCTCACCGACTCCGAAGGCGGCTGCGCGTTCACGGCGCCAGGCAAGGGGGGTGCGCGTTCCCGACCGCGTGTTTGCCCGCGGACGCGTGGTCTCGCGCAGCACCGGCCCGGCCCTGCCGCGCTCCCGGCCCCAGCAGCGCGGCCACGGGCTCCGCGTGCGACCTGACACCGCCCCGGTCGCCTGGAGGCCCGCAAGAGTCCACGGCCGGGGCGCCGTCAGGATGAGCCCGGGACCCCCGTCCCCGGCGGCCGCGAGACGCCGTCAGGCCCGAAGCACGCGCGGAGGCGCGGACTCTGGAACCCGCGCTCGGGAGGGGAAAGTGGTAAAAAAGCAAAACTGGAGCTGTGTTTTTCTCAGTCTTTCGATTCCCGGAGACCGCGGGAGTAAGCGGACCTCCCGCCTCCCTCGGCCGTCCACGCGGGCCGCCAGGGGGCGCGGCCACAGGCTCAGCCCACCCTGCACCAGGCGGGGCGGCAGGGCAGGAAGGGGCAGTGCGAGCCCATCGTATTGTGTACTTTCATAAAGTACGCGCATGCGTTTTATTTTTAAAAAAACAATTTTACTGAGATGTAATTCACATGAGACGTATGACATTATTTTAAAATCGTTGAGCTGGGTGTACACCTGTAATCCCAGCACTCAGGAGGCTGAGGCAGGAGGATTCATTCCCGCATCTTCAAGACCTGTCCCAAGTAAATAAATCAATAAAGAGTAAGTACACAATCCAGGAGCATCAAGTACTCTCCCAATGGCATGGCTGTCACTGTTACCGCTCTCACAGTGCTTTGGTGCGCTCAAGCGGAAACCCCATCTGTTGGACCCCGCGCTCTGCGGCCCGGGCCGTGCTCCTCCCCACCCGTCCCGGGCGAGCGCCCCTTCTGCTCCCCGGTCAGGCCTCCCCCGGGCGCGTCCCCGGCGCCAACAGCACAGGTGCGGGCGGCGGCGGGGCTGAGGCGGCCCGGTCTCCCGCGGCCCGCTCCGGGGCAGCGCGGGTCAGGCTCCCCGAGGCGCGCACCGACCGGTCCTGTGCCCGCCTCTGCGTGCTGCGGAGACCTCGGAGGAGCCGCAGGAGCCTGGGCCCGCAGAAGTCAGGCTTGCTGGCCGAGGCGCTGGCCGCCCGCAGCCTCCCACTTCTAGTACAGCCTCCCCCGTCCCCTCCCCAGGTGACCAGTGGGGGCGGGGGGAGCAGCGGTTCAGAACCAGGCTCCTTCCTGGCCTCTGCCTGTCCTGGGGGGGAGGGCTCCCCCCATCCTGAGGGCCTGCGCGGCCGCCCAGCCTAGACCCTTTCCCGGCCTCTGCCCAAACTAAACCGAAGTGAACCACCATGAAAAGCTGGGTGAGGGGTCACTGCTAGGAGGCGGTGCCCTGCTGTGGCTGACCCCAGGCTGGCCGGGTGAGGCGGTCTTGTGTCCTCTGCCTCTCGGGCTGCCGTGACCACCCCGGCTGGGCCACAGCCAAGCAGGGGAGCCGGGCCGACTTCCCTCAGTGTCCCCTTCCCGAAGTGGTCGGCCACTCCCTGTGATCTGTCCAGGGCAGCGGAAGCCCAGTTCTCTGCTGCATTGGTGTGAGTCAGCCTGTTGCTCCCAGAAGAGGCCAGGATCATCGCTCTGAGCTGTGCTGACAGCGCTGGAAGAGGCCAGCCTCATCTGGAGGCGGCCAGTGCCCCCGAGGGCTCTGCGGGCTGCCAGTCCAGCCCTTTCTGCCTTTCTGTGTCCTATATCACAGCTGCACAGCTGCACTGCCTGGGACAAGGCCAAGTCCTGCTGGACCCACGCCTGCTCTGGGAGCCCTGTCCGCCCCTTGCAGCCCTTTTGCTGTGTGTTCCAGGGCTCCGTGTGCCCGCCCAGACCCCGCGCTCACCATGGCTTGGATCTGGCTTCTTTACTGCTGTCTTGTCCTCCAAGTTCCCTCCTAGGCAGGACCTGGAGCGACCAGCCTGTGAGGACTGGGACATTTCCTGCTGGGTTTGTCCGGCAAGGCAACCCTCAGGAGCAAGGCCATACCTGACACCCTCGGTGGCCCAAGCCCTGGGCTTTGTTCTGAGGTGGAAGGCTCTGGCCCCGCGAAGGCTGTCTGCTCTCCCTGCCCTGGGCGTGTGTAGAGGAAAGCCTTACAGCCCGCACCTGCAGGGCCCTGCAGCCCTACCTCAGGCCAGACAGCGGGGTGGGTGCTGAGCCGGGCTTGCCCCTTCCAGGGTCAGTTGCAGACCAAAACCAGGCAGTGGTCTTGGTCACAGTTCTTGCAGGTGTAACAGCAAGGACAGGGGTCACAGTGCACATCCCTTCGTTGGAGGCCTCCTCCTCAGGCTGACGTGTGTGACATGTTTCTGTGTAGGACCTGGGCACACAGGTCCTTCCAACACTCTCTAAACTCTCCTCCCACACTTGGATTTCACATGTCTTGAGTGGGCCTGAGATTGCACAACTGTCTTAAGGCAAAGCTGCACCACCTGGCTGATGGGGTATAGAGGCTCCCCTAAGTTAAGCAGCCCAAAGAACAAAGGGAGAGTGGTTGTGACGGCATTTATTGGGAGGTTCAAGCCCCCTTTTTTTCCAAGGCCCAGGAATTAAGACACCTGAGCACCACCCACGCATGCACACATGGTCAGGGTCAGGGTGGGTGTGTGTGGAATCATCCATTCCACACGGCTGTGACGTTTACCATCCTGAATTCTTGAATCTTCTCACTTTCAGAAATCTGTCCCCACTTCACAGATACTCACACATGCACACACGTGTGTGCACACACCACCAAGCAGGTCTTCACTCACTTTAAGCAGTGAGCTGGCCACGGTGCGTGGGTTCGTCTTTGCTGTCCTCGGTGACCATGGGCAGACTCCAGCACACTGCGCCTCTCCACAGAAAGCAGCATGCAGTCAGCAAAGGCTGCGGGAACCCAGCTGTGTGCACAAAGGAACAGCTGGGGGCCCTGGGAAGAGGAAGTAGCCTCTTGCTCCTGGCACAGGTGGTACCGAGAGGCCACCAAATGCTTTGCCTGACAGACCCTGCTGTGGGGCTGCTGCTGGGTGGATGAGGTGCCCGAGGTGGAGCCGCTCCAGTGGTGAGAACGCAGAAGCAGGACGGCTCCTGTCAAGACACACACGAGTCCTGAAGGAGGCCACCGAGCTCATGGGTGTTTTGTAATTTCAGACCACGGAATCTGTTCTGCCTGGTTGAGCAGAAGGGGATTTGGTGCAGGGTCCTTATTCATACAGAATGTTCTGGAGAGCCAGGACTCTTGGATGTCACAGAGTAAGGACCACCTTGCCAGGAGGACAGACAGACAGCCACACCCAGGACTGTCCCAGAACCACCTGTCTGCATACCCCCACTTCCTGCGGTACAGTGCCCCTGGGGGCCTCCCAAGCCGGTGAGGTGACCCCTGAGCCGGGTCACAGGCAGAGCTGAGCTTTAGGGGAGGCGGAAAGGGGGGATCTTGCTGGTTTGGTCTCAGTTTTTCCTTAGCGTATCTTCCAGTTTATCTCTGGATGTCCTGGGAGCCTGGGCCACTCACTGCCGGGCTTTTTGGTGACTAGGTTATGGGGATGGTGGGGTGGAGGTCCTGGTCAGAGAGGCGGTCCCCGGGGGACCTCCCCTGCTCCCTCCCCAGCTCCTCCTCTCTCCCCGATGGCCCTGGCTGGTCCCTACACCAAGCCTTCCTGCCTGGAGTCAGCCAACCCTAGGCTAAATTTAGACAGGGGCCCCATGAACCTCTCCTCCTTGAATTTGTAGATGTAGGGTGTTGAGCCCCAGTGGGGTGCAGGTGATTCAGATGGTGTGTGTTGCTCCTACACAGTAATCACCCGGAAGCCCATCCCCTGGGGAGGATCTGAGCTCCTGGGAATCGGGGAGCAGTGCCTGAGAGGACCCAGAGACCGGAGATGGCTGCAGGATCTAACCATGGGACTAGTGAAGGCATCTATCATCTTTCGCAGTAAAGTGTTTTATATCTTGTTGCTTATCTGTTTTCCCCAAATTTTTACAATAAACACATCATATTTACAAAACAAAAGGCCAAAGCCAAGAGTTTTATTTTCCAAGGGAAGGAGACAGGTGCAGCGCCTGGGGAAGCTGCTCAGCCCTGAGGGACCTCTGTGCTTGCTCTGGCCCTGGCCGGAGGGGCCACTGGCCCAGCAGAAGCAGAGTTACGCACATGATGTGGGCGCTGAGGCCCTCGCCTCAAGGACCACGAGAAGTTGTGAGGGGAGCAACGCGTGTGTCTGGTTCCTCTCCTGACATCCGAGGTGCTCTAAGCCCAGCCATTCCAGTATGAGTACAAAGCCAGGGGACCTCAGCTTGCCCCAAGGTGTGTGTGATGTTTTGATGTAAAAAGGATCCTTATCTTTGTCCCTGGTTCTGGCACGGAGCCCCTAACATCCTTGCTGACTGATAAAAGTGATGTGACAGGAGCACCTTTGATTGACATTGGGCCTTAGTTCTCAGCTCCTGGTTTCTGACTGGAGTCCCAAGAGCCCTGGGGTCTCTGGGTGGTCCTGTTCTTTTGTGTGCTGATGAGCAGAGGTGGGGCTGGGTGGCTCCGGGACAGAGCTGGTGGTGCTGGAGCTAAGGTTTGATTAGAGTACAACTGAGCCCCACTCACATCTCCAGGGGGGATCTCTGAAAGCCCCAAACGCCTGGATCTGCAGTGCCCCTGAACTGTCAGCTCCCTGATCTGCCGCATCTCATGTCTATTTATGCTGGCAGTTTTCCTCAGGTAGGACATCTACACTCAGCACCATGCTGATTTAATTCAGCTGGTGTTAAGTCGGCCACCAGTTTTTAACCCATAACGGATATAATAAAATCAAACAACAAAACAGAAAAAAACCCAACTCCACAAAACAATGAAAATGATCAGGACTTCAAAACAAGAATCAATAATGACCACCTCCCTCAGAAGGAGATCCCCAGGGCCGGGGAGTGGGGGGTTTAGCTCAGTGGGTAAGTGCCTGCTTGGCAAACTTAAGGTCATGAATTCAATCCCCGATACAAAAAAAAAAAGGAAGAAGATTCCCCGAAGTTACCATACTGAGTGTTACTGCCCTCGGAACAGATGATCAGACCACTGGCCCTAGACCTGCAAGGTCACTGAAACAGCACTACAAGCTTTAAAGTGTATTTTGCCTCAATTGCTTTCGCCACAGCCTGTTTCCCCAGATCAGCCAATTGCTTAGAGGAGATTGGGGGAGGTGGCTCTTCTTGTTTACCCAGGGCTGGCATCTGGCTGTTTCCCCTGCGGCCCACGCACGGCACTGATTTGCAGGGACGGCTTGCTTCTTGATGACTTCTTTTTCTCATCTCTGGTAGTCTGCAAATCTCATCTCAAGTATTTTGCACAGTGATACAAAGCTACACAACAGCCTTTACAATAAAGGAAATTAAGTAGTGTTTCCTTGAGGGCTTTGAGCTAATACAGCAAATTATGGAACCTGAAAAAGTAGCATATTGGAAGCCCTGGTCTGAAGCCAAGCAGCTCAGGCAGCTCTGCATCAGCTTCCTGATGGTGGATCTGAGCTGCACCTGAGGGAGGGAGTGAGCCCTCAGTGCCAGACCTGAAATCCACTGAGGCCTCCCGACGAGGGTCCACAGGGCATGGCAGGGTTGTGTGGTGTGGAAGGGCCACACACTTGGTATCAGGGTGCTCTGTGGCTAGAGAAACAATTTTCTGGTAGTGGGACTCTCTGAAAACCCTCATTCCATCCACCCTCTGGGGGGCCTGGCCTGGCCTGGCTACCAGAATTTACAGCCTTCCTCCTGGAGAAAGAGACACAGCACACAAGTTAGAGATCAGTGTAAAAATCCCCAAGTAACAGGGCTCCCGCTGCACACCCTTGCAGTTCAAGGCACTTGGGAGCTCGAGGTTAAAGGGTTGTGAGTTCGAGAGCAGCCTGGCCAACTGAGCAAGGCCTCTCTCAGGAGCAAACCGAAACACAGAAGCAAACAGGGCATCCCAAGTAATGTATCTAGATGGGATTTCAGGGATTCAAATTCTTTATATTACAAAGCATTCCTTTTAATTTGGCATCACAAGTAATATAGATCTGAGTGATGGTCTCTCTGCAGGCCGTGGTTCGCCCAGGGCCTGACGGTCAACTGGACTCTGCACTCCTTAATGCTCTGCTGTCAGCGCCTAAAGATTCTGGCTGATCCGGTGGCGGAGCTGGGTTTCCAGGCTGGTCAGTCCTCCGGTGGTGAGTGGCTATCGGCCACAGGTACGGGTAAGCAGGGAGTTGGGAATCCAGTGATTCCAGGTCCCATGTCCTTACCTCCATCCACCCTGAAAAAATGACCTTGCGCTCAACAGTTTGAAGATAAATGGTTCTTTTTTTTTTTTTTTTGTCTTTTTCCTTTTTATTGTACCAGGGATTGAACTCACAACCACCTGCTTGCAAGGCAGGTGCTTATGCCGCTGAGCTAAATCCCCAGCCCCATGAAGATAAATGGTAAAACTTGTGCTGATGATTCAAAATGTTACTTTATACTTAAAACATTTTTTTTAAAAAACCCACAAAGAGTGCCCATAGACTGCCAGGGAGCAAAGCACCTTCAGGGCTCAGGACCACGTGGCAGCAGCTTCCTATTTCTGAAGAACCCCGCCCCACCCCCACTTCCACCCCCACTCCCACCCCTCACCTTCTGTGTTGCGCCCGCAGATTGTGTGATGGGCCCTGCCATGGCCAGCAGCGCATGGTTTCCTCTTGTAAACTCTACTGATCAAGGTCTGGAGAAACTGAGTCTTGCCCACTGCTGAAGAAGAACAAAATGGGTCTGGCACCTCAAGAGAGGCGGGGCAGTTTCCTGCAAAGTTGCACAGAGCCTCACCGTGAGCCAGCGATCTCACTCCTGGGTACTCGCCTGAGTGCAATGAAAGCTCACGCTCACGTGAAAGCCCGTGTGTGGGTATTTTTAATTTTTCTTTTTCTTTTTCTTGGTACCGGGGATCCAACTCACAGCCAGGCAGGTGCTTGTGCCGCTGAGCTAAGTCCTCAGCCTGCGTGTGAGCGTTAGAGTGGCTTTAGTCATAAATTCCCCAAGTGAGAGACAGCCCAACACCCTCCAGTCAGGACACGAGGGTCTCACAAAGGGGCAGCCACACCCGAAATCCCTCGCTGCCTCGATGCTCTCTGGCTACAGAGGTGGCCACAGCAGGGCGCCCTTGAGGACACCCCAATGATCGGCTCTGTGAAAGGCCAGGGACTCCGAGGCGCCCCTCTATGAATGTACGCACCCATAGATGGACTCCGGGGATCAGGGTTACCTGCAGTGGACAGAGGGGCACGTGCACGAATGTCCCCACACTCTCAGGGCAGCTGTGACCGCGTGGACCTGAGGCCTTAATCGTTAACAAGCCCCTGCCAGTTAACCAAAAACAAGAACTCCCGTGATTTTCATGCACCCTAGAAATCCCCGGTGACAGCCTGGGACTCTGAAGCGGAAAAGGAGCGCTCAAAGGGCCTGGTGCCAGGAAGGTCACACCCCAGGAAGGCCTGGACTCGGCAGGGCCTGCGGGCGGTAGAGGGTGGACGGTGGACGGTGGTGGGTAGACGGTGGTAGGTGGAGGGTGGACAGTGGAGGCTGCAGGGCAGCCCCGGGGCGCCCCAGTCTCTTCCGGCCCCACCAGCGGCATCGGCCAGAGTGCCTCACCCTGCCCTGCCTTCTCCCGTGGATTTTGTGCAGTAAGGATTGATTGGTGCTGACAGGCAGCTATTTACCCGTCTAATTAATTATGCCAGCTAATTTTCAGCTTAATTGTGCTTTTCAGGTCGCCGGGTAAGGAGACTGAACAGTTTCCTGACTTTGGCAGGCCCTGCGGGGTGCAGCGGGAGAGGGCCGTGCTCTGCTGAGCAGGAACAGGCCTGTGCTCTGTCCGGTCCGCGGCCATCCGCTCCCATGGCCCACGCACCTTCCCCATGCCCTGTCCCACAGCCAAGCTTCGGGCAGCGGGGAGAAGAGGACCCCCACACCGGCAGCCACAGAGCCTCGGCGCAAACCCCATCCTGGTGCTGCCCCGTAGCCCGGGGACATTCGCTTCCTGGAGCTGGCCGCAGGCTCCTCCCTCGCAGTCCTCCTGCCTCCGACCCCTTTCCTGTCACAGGGCTGTGGCAGGACGCAGAGCAGGAGGATGGGCCGGGGCTGCTCCCTCCGCAGCCCGTAGCTGCCTGGTCACTGCCTTGAGTGTCCCATGATCTGGGTTTGACTCTTTACTCCTCACATTACCTAAAAATATTTTTGTGACTCAAAGCTTACTGAAATGTCATGAGCACCGTTCGGAGAAGTGTTGAAAGCAGCCATCGCCCTGGATGTTTGACATGTTTCCCACAAGCCAGGCCTCCCTCCTATCAGCCGTGATTCAGCCCTCGAAGTCAGGAAACCAGCGCTGCTGACCTGCTCCCCAAGCCCTCGGGCACCGTGCAGATTTCCCCAGCCAGCTTGGCCTCTCCTTGACGGGAAGGAAGCCAGCACAAAAGCATGTCGGCGGCGTTAGTCAGCGTGGCTCTCCAGCCTCCCTCCGTGCGGGACAGGCCCAGGCTGCCCTCTACTTCCACCATTTTAATACTTCTGTTTGTTTGGTTTTCAAGACAGCATTTCGCTGTGTAGTTCAGGCTGGGCTTGAACTCACTAAGCCATCCTCCTGCCTCAGTCTCCCTAGTGCTGGGGTCACAGGTGTGTGATATCTTGCTGAGCGGACTGGTCCTTCTAGGGGCTAAGCCATCACCGTGTGGCATGGCTGTAGCTTCACTCAGGTTTGTGTGACCTTCCTTACAGTTAGATTCATTGCCAGGAACATCACAGCAGAGAATCTGTGAGTTCACTGACCTCTCGCAGGTGGCTCAAGATTTCTGTTTGTCCTTTATGAAGGTCACCTCGCCCACTTGGCTTGCGCAGATCTGATAAGCTTCTCTGTTGTGAAGTTCCTTATTCAGCCTTTGTAACTGTTAAATATTTTGTAGCGCTTTTACTTGAAACTTTAAATATGCCATTGCCCTTGAAACACAGAAGACAGTTACTTCTGTGTGTACTTCTATCAGTGTGGACTGGCTTTCCTACTCAGCACTGGACTCCTCTGCCAGGCGGCTCCCCCAGCTTTGGCGGGAGCCCTTTCAGGCCGGCTCTGTCTTCTCATTGTCCTCCTCATCGCTCTTTCCTGCTTGGACCAGGAGAGTCCGGGCTGTGCTTTATTGACACAGTGGATTCAATGTATTTACAATATTGTATGTATTTATAATTTATGTTTTATAGTCTTTTTTAATTCCTGAGTTTACCAGCTATACTGAAAACCATGACTTAAAATCAATGCTTCCAACCCATACTCAACATTTACAACTGCATTTCTGTCCCCCCGATTTCTATAGGTGCAACTCCTCCGGCAGCAGAAATCCCATTTCCATTACCCTTAAGAGGGCCACCTGTTTGCTCACAGCACTTCGGACCAGCCTACTCCAGGCCATCCACTCCCTGGGGGACATGCCCGGCATGGATGCTGAACCCCGAGAGCACCACCCCCACCCCTGCACCGCCCTCGGCGTTAGGGTTGAATTACTAGGGGCGGCATAGGTCTGGAGTTTTTAAGTCTGGCGGTTTTTAAGCTGAAAGACACAGCTAAGGGACACTGAACGGAAGTGAAGGCGGCAGCAGCCTCGCTGCCGGGAGCAGCTGAGTGGCAGTGCTCACCTAGCGCACACAACCCCCGATCGAATGAATGTGTGATGTGACCCCAACGATACAGCCAGCTGGGGGGCACATGCATGCTTTCTCGGGCGGAAGATCTGGGAAAGAACAAGTTTCCATTGCTGAGCAGCTCTTGGACCCCAGCCTTGACACCCTCCCACCCCCTTACCCCCACTACCCCACTGCTTTCCAGTGACTGTCGCTCTAGGCCCCAAGAGCAGGAGCACTTGGAGGAGGCGGAGAAAGGATGGCGTTAAGCTGCGCATGGCGCTGCGAATCAGCTCAGAGGGGCCCTAGGCACCCACCAAGGTCATCTGCGGCATGGACACTTTGAGGTCACGGCATCCACCCAAAGCTTTCCCCTATTACCCCTGCAAGAGCGCGAGCATCCTGCGCTCAGCACAAGCTGGCCTAATGGAACTCTTCCTGCACCTTGCAGCCTGGGGCAGGGCCATCACAGCGGCTCCAAAATGGCCAAGAAAAGCTGCCTAGCAGAGCAGAGCACAAGCAGGCCTCGGGTCATCAGGGCCTCGGACCATCACGGAGAAACACAAGGAGCCAGGGAGGGACGGGGATGGGGGCCCCACCTGTCAGTCATCACGGGGGCCAGGTGCCACCCCCACCTGTCCCCAGTGCAGTCCTTGGTCCTTGGTTTTGGGGTCGTGGACACTCTGGGCCTCCAGGTCTTTACCTAGGGTCTGTGCTGTGGCTCAGGTTTCACCCCACTAATGCCCTTTAGCAACGCCTCAAGCGTAAACACCCAAAGCTTCCCACAGACATGGCTGGGTGCCCTGGGGTGGGTGGGCAAAATCACTCCTGTAGCCTGAGATGGTCCTCAGGGAGCCTCAGCTCTACTCAGAGGGCCCAGCCTCACTCTTCCCATGAGTGCAGAGAGCCATGCCTCCTATGGGCACAGGACAGTGAGTGAATCTGGTCCTGCAGCTGGCACACTGGGTGATGATGGAGGCTTCATACAGGGGTGGCGGGAGCATTGGAGCCCAAGGTGCCAGTCTGTGGTACGTGTGCCTCAGCAGGCTGTGTGTGTCACTGAAAGGTTCGCCATCACTGATAAGCTGATGCAAGCCTGAGCAGCAGGGTGACTTTGAGAACAGTGGTGTCCGTTGGGGACGGGCTCTCATCCCTACATTAAGTGCTTCTGGTGCAGTTGAGATTGCAGCCAAGTAAAGCCTGAGCTTGCAGTGCAGCGAGGGCTGACGTTCGGCCCTGGGGGAACAGTTCTGTGAAAAACTAGTGACATCAGCCAGGAGTGCAGGGCCAGGCGGGAAGCAGTGCTGACCCTGGCCATGTGCTTGTCAAGTGTCCAGCATCAGCGTAGGCCCAGGGTGGGGACAGGACACCCGGCACGGTGGCACACATGGACTTTGGAACTCCGCAGCAGGGCTGTGCATTTGTTCGCTGTGTGATCTCGCACAGGCTGTTCTGTGAAATGAGGCCCAGTGAACAGCCTGGCTCCAGTACTGGGCACACGATCCTGGCCATGGACAGCAGAGCCAGGCCACAGTGTTCCTGTGGAGTTCTTTGTGCCAGGGGGTTGGTGCCACACTCAGGACTTGGTACTCAGTCGGGCAGCGTGGGAGCTCCAGAGACAGGCCTTGGGAAGAAGCAGAGCTCAGGCCTGCCTCACCTGTCTCCCTGGACTGGGGCTGGGCGGGAGTGACAGCGCCAGGGGAGGCACTGAGCGGACACAGAGCAGAGCATGCAGGAGGGAGCGTGGCAGGGCGGGGTAGGAGGGAGCAGCAGCAGGAGAGGTGGGAAGAGCCTCCTGCCAGGGGCAGGGCAGAGGGAAAGTGGTGTAAAGGCGGCTCCCTGGTGCTGGGACCTGGGTTCCTCTGCTGCCTCTCAGAGGAGGGACGCCTACAGACTGTCCCGAAGCTACTCCCTGCAGAACCAGACCCCAACTGCCTGCGCAGCCATCACCCACTCAGATGACCTCCTGCCCCTGTGGCCTGATAACCCCATGTCCCCCCTGCAGGCTGGGCTTCGAGGTTCCCTTAGATCCGCGTCCCTGCAGACAGGAGACGGGGGGGGGGGGGACAGCAGAAATGATGAGTGTCACGAGGGACGGTCCCCTCAAATGTGAGGAAAACATTTCTTTATCTCAGATGTCTGCATCAGTGATAGCACACAATGCACTGAGCTACAAACTTGGTGCGAGAAGCAGCCGGATCTGCTCCTTGCTGTGTGTCATTCAGCAGTCTGAGCTCATCCGTTCAAGCAGGTGCTTACCTCAAGTGCAAGGCCCCGCTTGGATGTGTACAAATGCTTATCATTCAATTATTATTCAGTTAAACATTAATATCAGCATGTTATTTATTTATAAACTATATATTCACATGATTATTTTATAATTTAGTATGTCGGTCCTGTGTTGTAATGCATCTATAAAATGAGTCTATCTTAGGGCTGGGGATTTAGCTCAGCAGCATAAATGCCTGCCTTGCAAGTGTGCGGTCATGAGTTCGATCCCCGATACTGATAAAAATGAAAAAGACAAAAAAAAAAGTCCATCTGATTGACAGTCTTTTTTTTTTTTTTTGTCTTTTTCGTTTTTATCGGTACTGGGGATCATGACCACCTGCTTGCAAGGCAGGTTCTTATGCTACTGAGCTAAATCCCCAGCCCCTCTGATTGACAGTCTTAACTGGGGCTTAGTTTGGGGGCGGGGCTCATATTAAAGCATCTCAGGAAATCACTATAGAGCTTATTTTCCTGTTAGGTCCTATTTTTGGGGAAGCCTGGTTCCTTTGTCCCAAAGCCTGGCTCTCACCACACACAGCCCTGCTTCCTGGCAGAGCTGCTTGGCAGAGCCCTGCCTGTGTCCCCGTCAGCGCCTCTCACCAGCACCTGTCACTGCAGGAAGCCTGCTGGGCCCAGCACTGTACGTGGGGACCTTCGAGGTAGGGGTGGACAGGTAAATCCCGCAGGCTCTGCCAGGAAGACTCAAGACAGGTGCTGCTCCGCCACCCTCAGGTCCCAGCAGAATGGAGTCTGGGGTCCCCACGGATGCCCCAGACCTCAGACACCTCCATGGCGCTGGAAGCTGACCCTCGCCAGGCGTGGCTGTGTCAATTGCAAGGCAGAAACAAGAGAAAGGCAGGGGAAAGGGGCATGGGGCGCGGCCCTCCCCAGCCTGGCTGCAGGCTCCTCCTCCGCTGTGGGCGCAGATGGCTTCCCACAGGGCATTCTCCCCCTGAGCCATGGTGCAGGGGAGGGGACAGGGCCTTGGACGGTCCTCCCTGGGCCCATCCGTCCCTGGACTGGGGGTGCAGGGCGGCTCCCTGCTCTGTGACAGACGCCTGCAGGGCTGCAGGTCCAGGGCGAGTTGTGCAACCACTCGAGTGGAAAAGCCTGCTCGGCCCAGGCTGGAGGAGAGGAAACATCCCAGGTGGTGTGCCAAGCTTCGGGGTGAGCCAGCCCTGGGCCTGTGGGCAGGGCGATGTCTCAGATAAGCCAGTCCTTCCGCTGCGGGTGAGGATCCCCGAGGAGCCCTGCTCAGGAGAGAACTCAGGAGGTGACAGGTGCCCACTGCACAGCCCCGGGGAGTGGGCAGCTACCCCGGAGTGCTGGAGCAGGGCTGCTCTTGGAGTGGCCTCTCTCACAGCTGGGAGGGCTCCAGCACTGGCCCCCACTCCACAACCAAGGACAGGTGGGCATGAGCTGGTCAAGGCACGTGGGCAAGATCCGGAAAAGGCTGGAAGATGTCAAGAACCAGTGGGCCCGGCCAGCCAGGGCGGACTTCAACGACAATGAGAGTGCCCGGCTGGCCACAGACGCCCTGCTGGATGGGGGCCCTGAGGCCTACAGGCGGGTGCTCAGCCAAGAGGGTGAGGTGGACTTCCTGTCCTCGCTGGAGGCCCAGTACATCCAGGCCCAGGCCACAGAGCCCTGCTGCGCCCCAGAACCTATGGGGGTGGGCGAAGGTGGGCCTCAGGGACTGGGCTCTTGCTCTCTCCAGTCGGGGACCTACTTCCCTGCAGCATCCGAGGGTGGAGAACCTGCCCTGCCGCCTGCCTGGGCTTCGGCTGAAAAGCCCTACCTGCAGGAGAAGTCCAGCGCCACCGTGTACTTCCAGACGGACAGGCACAGCAACATCAGGGACCTCATCCGCCGCTGCATCTCCCGGAGCTGCCAGGTGACCGAGGTGGAGCCCCGGGCTCCCGGGCAGGGGGTCGGGGCTGGTGGAGCAGTTTGGTTAGAGGCCAGAAGATGGGCGGAAGCTGGAGCCAGGGAGTTGTCCTTCCCTTGCCCTGGCTGCTGACTCCCCACCCCATAGCCAGGTGGCTGCTCCTCTGTCCCTCACAGCAGCTCTGGGGCTGGGTCCTGCTGAGCCCCTCTTCCAGTGGGTCTGCAGTCAGCCTGGGCCTGGCAGCAGCAGAGCCTTTGCCCCACCTCGCCTGCTCCGAGCCCCCGTGACTCCCACATCCTCCCCGTCTTGCTGTGCCCAATTCTTCACCCCGTGTTTGGTTCAGGCTGTGCCTGCCTCCCCCTTGGCTCACCTCACCCCTGACTCCCCTATTTTGCCCCACCAGTGCCACCCCGGGAAGCCTTTTCTGAGCCCCGGGCCAGGTTAAGTGTCTCCTTCGATGCTTCCAGCAAGGCACACCCTGTCCCCCGTCCTGAGATCTGCCAGCCCACAGGGACACTGTGGGGTCCAAGACTGGTCAGTGTCCTTCAGTGAGACAGGTGGCCAAGAGTCCAGCACCCCCTATCCTCGGCCCAGGGTGGCCGCTTCCACCCGTGGCAGGACTCCCAGGGCGTGGGGGGCTCATCCCAGCCAGGGCACAACAGATCCTTCAGCTCTGGACACCCACGCGTATTCCAAAGCCACAGAAAGACAGGGGCACAAGCGGGCCCCAAAGGAGGGAGATGGTCCTCGGAAAGGCCAATCTTGTCCCCACCCAATTAGTTCTTCTGTGACATCTGAAAGAACTCAGAAAACACATGCTGTTGTTTCAGCTCTTTTCTTTCTGATTTTTTTTGCTTTTTTGAAACAAGGTCTCTTTACGCAGTTCAGGCTAGCCTTGAACTCGCTTCTGTAGCCCAGGCTGGCCTTGGGCTGATCCTCTTGCTTCAGCCTCCCGAGCACTGGGATTTATAGGTGTGTGCCACTGTGCCTAGCCTTGAACTCATGAGGGTTCTCTGTGAGGGTCTCTATCTCCTAACCAAATCCCCTCCTGGGGTCATTACTGTGTGACGTTTTAGGGTTCTGGAAGAGCCATGGGGTGGGGACGCTGTGAGGGGAGGGGCTGAGGGACAGAGTTGAAGGAAACTGAAAGCAAAGGCGCACTGGGCAGTGCTGGGCTGGCTGCTCAGAGCAGTGCGCCTCGCTCCCCTGCCGGGGCAGCCAAGGAAGCTGACACACATGCTGGGCGGGCTGCCTGCTGCCTGGTCACCTGGGTCACCTGGGCAGCACACACCTCTGGCAAGCCCAGGTCTCACTCCCTGCAGGAGGGAGCACCTCCGCTTCCCAGGCCTGGCCCACAGTGCACCAGCGCTGGCTCAAGGAGCTCCGCTTGGTATCGGAGGAATCTGCCTCACATAACTCCCACTCGGGTGCCTGCGCTCCTGGCAGCCCAAGATGGCAGCAGGGGGAGCCTCTGCCAGCCCCTGAGCGGGGAGGAGGCCAGAGGACGCTGTGGGCCTCAGCCCAGGCTCAGGTAGCTCAGGATCTGAAGTGGGAGCACCAGGAAGGTGGCTTCCTGGAAGAGGTGGCTTCCCGGATGGGTGCCCAAGGCCAGGTGGGAATTTGCAGGGGTGGGGGAGGAATTCTAGAGGCGGGCTGTGCAAGCATGAAGCTTAGGGGGTGCGGAGGCTCCCAGGCTCTGGAGGAGAGGAGACACTGTGGTCCTTCTGAGAGATTCTGGGGCGCAGCAGGGCTCTGTGGCCTGGGCCTGGATGTACTGGGCCTCCAGTGAGGACAGGAAGTCCACCTCGCCCTCTTGGCTGAGCACCCACCTGTAGGCCTCAGGGCCCCCATCCAGCAGGGCGTCTGTGGCCAGCCGGGCACTCTCATTGTCACTGAAGTCCGCCCTGGCTGGCCGGGCCCGCTGGTTCTTGACATCTTCCAGCCTTTTCCGGATCTCTGTGGGACCCCAAGAAGAGGGAAGAAAGGTGGCCCAGGAGGGACAGCATTTCCCAGCTGAGGGTTCTATGGGGCTCTGCATCCTGGCCACGTGTCACTATGGAGGCGGTGCACATCACAAATCCACAACAGATAGCACGGGTGTTGACAGGGCAGCTTGGGCACCTCGAGCACTCAGAACGGAGCCATGCCCCTGATGAATGAGGCCTGGTCCCCAATGGCGCCAAAGACACAGGCAATGCAGGCATATGATGGTGTGTGTGTGTGTGTGTGTGTGTGTGTGTGTGTGTGTGTGTGTGTTACTTTATGCTAAGAGGCAATGGGTTATCATTAAACTTTTAAATAACTAATAGAACTGTTTCAAAAGTTTCCAGTTTTGGTTTCCAATGTGGCACGTTTTTCCCACAAAATCGGAAGCTCTTGGAAACAGCTGAGCTAAGTTAAGACAGGAATCAGAGTCCCGTGGCCAGAAGGTCTGGGGAGTTTGTCAGGCCAGCACAGGGCCATCAGGGAGTCTGAGTGGAAGCTAGATGACCGAGCTCCAGCAGGCAGGGAACAGAAGTGGGAAACCCCTCCTTAACTCTCCTTCCCCCATGCTTGTCTGGTGTGCACAGATGGAGGGACAGACAGGCAGACACCTGGACAGGGGGGCTGCCGCCGAGACTCGACTTGCTATGCTTGCCGCCCATCACGAAGGAACACGGAGGAGGGGAAAGGGTAGGAGCAGAGTTCTGGGTCCCACTTCCCTGGAGCGTGTCCCTCCATGGGGCAGGGTTTCCCAGGTGCCTGGATTCAGGAGGCCTGGACAGGCCGGGGGCGGGTGCAGTTCCCGCAGGTGGCCTCCCCCTCAGTCTGGGAGCTCAGGCTGCGTCCCCCCAGGGCCAGCTCCCTTTTCAGGCGAGCTCCTCCCCATGGTTAGCAAGCTGGGTGCTGCAGCTCCAGCTCAGAAACCATGGGCTAGGAGCGCAGGAAGCACGGCTGCTTCTCTGGAGTCCAGCAGGACCTGGTCCAGTTCTCTTTAGAGTACTACAGACCCTGACAGCCGTGGCCCTGGGCAGCTGATGGAGGGCAGGCGGAATGGGGTGCTGCTGGTGGCAGCAGGGACCTCCTGTGTCCCTGTCACTGGGTACCTCAGAGCTTTCTCCACACATTCATGCTACAAGGTGACTGCTGGCTGTCGTGGAGCAGGTCTCCTTCGTCCTGCTGGGACTGATTTATGGTCCAGCTTATTTATGGCACCTCTTGTTGGATCTGCCAGATTTGTTAGAGGGGACCTGGAGATTTCCGTCATTTCTGTTCATAACCTGCCAGGTACACAGCACGGAAGCGTCTTGCTGCAAGGGCACTGGGGCTTCAGAACACTTGTTAACCAGCGACCGCGGCCTGCCCTCAGCTCCACACAGCGAGGAGCCGTGGTGTCCGTTCTTTCTCCCCATGTGCCTGCAAGACCTGTGCTTGTCTTTCTGCCTTCTTCGTGCTCCTCTGCTAACCTCTCTCCTCTGTCCACTGTGGGCACAGGCGAAGGAGAGGAGCTGGGGCTGAACGGGGTGGGGTAGGGGGCGCCAGTCTCCCTGGCCTCCCTCTCCCTGCCCACTGTCCAGGCCCCCTGGGACTTGGGAACACTCCCAAGACCGTGAGCGCCAGTCCTGGCTTCTCTGGTGACGCAGCCTTCTGCTCAGGTCCTGGCCATCCTGATGGATGTGTTCACCGATGTGGAGATCTTCTGTGACATCCTAGAGGCAGCCAACAAACGTGGGGTGTTAGTCTGTGTGCTCCTGGACCAACGAGGTACAAAGCTCTTCCAGGAGATGTGTGACAAGGTCCAGATTTCTGACAGCCACCTCAAGGTAGGAGCCCTGGTGGGACCCTGGGGGAGCTTTGTATCAGTCAGGGCAGAATAGGCCACACTGTCATGATAAACGCCCCCATTCAGTAGTGACAGGAAAACAGAGTGGGAGGATCTGCCAGATTTGTTAGAGGGGACCTGAAGATTTCCGTCATTTCTGTTCATAACCTGCCAGGTACACAGCACGGGAAGTGTCGGGTGCCTGGGACTCTTGGGGGAATGTCCTCGGCACACACACACAGCCTCTGGTCCTATCAAGTCAGCAAGGAGACCAGAGGTGCGTCTCCCAGGGCAGGGCCACCGGCGGGCCTGGCGCTCCCCGGCACATACCTCTGACCTCTGCAGTCAAGAGCTAAGGCGGGGAGACCAGGAATGTGAGGCCTATCCGGGCTACCCAGCGTTCAAAGCCAGCCCCAGATTGCTGTCTAAAAAAAAATTCCCTGGCCCCAACAGGGGGTTAGTGCTCCGGGACTGAACCAAAGGCCCCACTGCCTTCTCCAGGGAGAAAAGAAACCCAGTGGTAAGAGTTTAATTAGCCACACAGCCTGGAGGGCAGCTTTGAGGCCACGTGGAAAACTGTCTAAAGCAGGTTCCCTGACCAAAGAGCTGATGTAGCCCCGGGGTCCTCCAGGGGTGGCAGCACAGCCCCTCACGCAGACTGACAGGAGAGAGCTGAGCTCAGGGCTCCCGCCCAGGCCACAGGCCTAGTCCGAGAACACTTGGTCTGCTGAGTGTTAGCTGGGGCCATGCTGCCTTGGCAGGGGGCCAGGAGACCACTGCTGGCCTCACCTTCTGGCCCACACTGACCGCACCGGAGGGTCCTCTTCTCCCCTCCCCACCTCACCGGAAGAGGCCACAGAGAAGTGGGAGAAGTTTCTTGGCACCACTGGTGCTTCCTTCCCGGAGCCTGCCCGGCCCTGCAAGCCTCAGAGCGGCAGTGCACCTCCTCCTGTCCACCCGGGACAGGACCCCCCACCTCAGCTGCCCTTTGCCCCTCCTGCCTTCCACAGGCTCTGCTGAGGACTGGGCAGCAGGTGCCTCGGGGGAGGTAAAGGATGGCGAAAGCTTGGACTGAGTGATGGATGCTCCTTTTCTTAGGCTACCAGGGTGCTGGGGCCTGCAGAGCCAGCCCTCTGGCCACACTGGGCCATCCTCTGAGCGACTCTGGGTCAGGCACTCGTGTCACTAAAGCTACTTACCAGGCAGGGCTGGGAGACCTGGGGTCCACAGAGGCCTGGACTAGGGGCCCTGTGGCCATCAAGCCTTTGTCTTTCTTTTATTATTTGTCTTGATTGAATTCTATTCTCTTCATTCTTTTCATTGTCAGCGAATTCCAGGACAACAGAGGAAATTTAGAATATTCAGCTAAGGAAAAAATAAGGGTCAGTAATCCCACCAAGCAGAGCTGGACATCCTTCTAGACCTTCTCCTGTGCAAATTGTCTGAGCTTGCTCAGGCTCCTTTCACACATATCACAGTCAGGATGGTTTATAAAACGCAGATAGTTATTTCTCACCATGCTGAGATTGTAGGCTGTGCAGTCGAGGGCTGGCATGTTTGAGTTTGGTGAGGGCCCACGCCTTGTTCACAGATGGCTGTCTTCTCCTTGGGGCAGCTTCTGAATCAGCCCTCGAAGCCCTGCTCCCAGCACCATCCCAGAGGGGACGCGGTCAGACTCTGGAGGTGCCGGCTCACCTGTAGCTCCAAGGTGCACCTGTGCACGTGTGGTCAGTAAGAACCTCCCTGCCCTCTCCCCACAGAACATCTGCATCCGGAGTGTGCAGGGAGAGGTGTACTGCGCCAAGTCAGGCAGGAAGTTTGCGGGGCAAATCCAGGAGAAGTTCATCATCTCAGACTGGAGGTTCGTCCTGTCGGGATCGTACAGGTGAGCGCAGGGGCCGCCGTTGGGGCCAGCGGGGTGCAGACCAATCCCCATGCATACTCCGACATTTCCTGGGCAGCCCTTCTCTGGCTGTAGCTGAAGCCTGTCACACGGATGGCTGGGACGCAGGAAATGTGGGCTTTCGGGGTAGAAGGCTTCTCCAAGTGCCTCAGTTTTCCCTGACTGCAACTGGACATGGACCCCTTTTGCTCCTTCAGATCTCTTACACATAATTAGACACATGATCCAATTTGCTCTGTTGTGCAGGGTGTGCTCCATCTCATTTCTAATGTTTATTATTTTAATATAGTGAACTGAGCTTCATTAATTTACCTACGTAAAGTGCACAATGCTGCCAGCACACACGCCCATTCCTTGTGGTGCTCCCGTCACCATCCACTTTAAGGCAGTGACCTCATCCTAGCAAAGAATTCGTCAGGCATCTGCCATTGTTTCCTCCTTCCCTCCAGCACCCCCTGCCCTTGGTTCACTGGGCCACCGCCAATGTATTTTCTGTCTCTTTTATGGGCATTTCATATGAACGGAATCCTAACACATAGTCTCCCATGCTGGCTTCTCCCACTGAGCATGAGGTTTTCAAGGTTGCGTCACTGGGGGACATGCCCCCATCAGTTAGTGGGTGTCTGTGCTGTTCCCCTCTGTGACACTATGCTAGGGACACGCACCTACCACTTCCCTGTGGATCCAAGTTGTTGATTCTCCTAAGCACGTGTCCCATGGGGGACTTCTCTGGTGATAACTCACAGTCATTTTAATCTTTTGAGGAATTGAACGGTTTTTACTGCAAAGTGGCTGCGCTGTTCCCTACAGCGACGTGTGCGGGTTCCGGGTTCCTGGTCCTGGGCAGGGCTTGCTAGCCGTTGTCTTTCTTGGGCTTGCATTTCTCGGAGACTAAGGATGTTGAGGTTCTAGGCTTGTTGGCGCTTGGCATGTCTCCTTCAGACAAGCATCTGTTTAGATTCTATTTGTTTTTGTTTTGTTTTGTTTTGGTCCTGGGGGTGGAATTCATGAACTTGTGCTTCCCAGGCAGGCGCTTGTGCCGCTGAGCCAAATCCCCAGCAGTTTGGGGGGTTTTGTCTGAATCTGCACATACATGTTACATACACGCACGCACGCGCGCGCGCACACACACACACACACACGCACGCACGCACGCACGCACGCACACATGCACATGCTCACCCCACGGTAACTCCTGCTCCAATCCCTGCACGGGTCTGACCCTCTGCCTGTCCCAGCAGTGCCGACCGCCTGACATCCTGGGTCAGACCTGATGTCTCCCAGGGTCCAAGCCACAAACATGTGGCCTTCCGGAAAGCATTAGCCATCCTCAAGGCATCGCATTTTTATTTAGAAGCTTTCTATTAAGTGTGGGCTGTTGCCCCATCCGTGAAGCCACACCTGAAGTCAGGAGACTTTAGCTGAGGAATTCTTGCTTTTCTAAAAATTATTATGACAGCGAAATCCCCATAGGATGAAACAATTTCAAATGGACAGGTCCATGGCCTTTAGAGCAGCTGTCCCCCTCAGCTAGCTCAGAAGTGTTTCCACGGCCCGTGAGGAACCCACAAGCCTTCTCCAGCCACTGTCATCGCTAGCAGCCACCCCTTGGCACTCGTACTGGGTGCGTTGCTAAATGCAATCACACAACATGTAGTATTCTGTGACGGGGTCTTTCGCACAGTGTGTCAGGGCCTCGGATGATCTCCCACCATCCCGCAGTGGGCAAGAGCCACGTGTCCATGCACTGTGCCCTTGGTGACGCTTCCGGGTTTTTCCTGCCTTGTCGCTGCCGGCTCTCGAGGAGGCTGACTGTCTCTGGGTGTCTTTCCTGGAGCTCAGACGCTGACTCTGCAAGGTGAAGTGGCCGGCAGTGCTGAGTCACTGGGACTGGGGATGCGATCACAACGGGTGCCCCTGGAGCAGCCCCCGGTGCAACCCATTCTTAAATGACTGAGTCCCCCCAGGTCAAAGTTTAGATGTGTTTAAATGACTTTCTCATGCCCACAAACTCTCAGTCACGAGGCCTCATTGCAAAGCTAAGATGAGGCTGTCACCATGGGCAGTTTTGGACCTCCCAGGGCCCCTGAGCACTACACACGATGGGAGTCTCGGTCAGTCAGCTCTTGTTGCTGTGACAAAAGTCGCTGAGAAAATCCAGTGGGGGAGGAATATTTGCTCCTGAGGTTCCCAAGCATGCACTGGCCTGAGAGGGGGCAGGGAGAGGAAGGGGTCTGGGGTGCGCAGCAATCCGGGCTGCTCATGCCAGCCAGCAAGCAAGGCCAGGTGGGAAGGGGTGAGGCACAGTCCCATGGCTGAGCCCTCAGGACCCTGCCCTGCAACCAGGTGCAGCTCCCTTCCTCCACCTCTAGACAAAGGCATCAAACTGGGGTCTGGCCAGCCCCTTAATCCATGGAAGGCCAGAGAGGAGCTGGGAGAAAGGGCCCACCTGGATACAGCCACAGAGATAAAATGCAGAGAAACAAGTTCCTGTTAACTGTCACCTGATGAGAAGTGACAGGAGTAGTTTAGGGGACAGGGAGGCCTGTGCTGGCAGGTTGGTGCCTCACAGCGCCCTGTGGGAAACAGCTCTGGGGCTCCCCAGATGCTAACCATTCCGCCTTCTAATCCCAGCTGGTGTCGCATTCACTTTGGCCTCTTGCAGATGATGGGCCCAAGAAAGCAAGGCAGGCCCTGCTGATTCCGGCCCCACTCTGCACCTCTCTCCTCACCGAAGGGAAAGGGACCACGCGCCCCAAGGTGGCAGTGGGGACAAGGCACCCCCAACACACACACACACACACACACACAGCCGCCCCAGGAGGGTGTTCTTACCTGGGTGCAGGTGCTCACGTTGATTCTGAGAATGGCCTACACCATGGAAGGTGACACCTCCTGCCCACCCAGCCTCAAGCCCTTGTACAGAGTGATGCCACCATGCCACCATGTTGTCTGCACGCTGGTTTCGTTTATGCATGGCGGCAAGGTCCTGAGTATGTCTTGCTTTCTATGGAGGGCTGGTTAGTGTAGAAGCAAAGGAGAAACACATCCCCGCCTCACCTCACCCCCAGCCACGCCATGAAGGGTGGAGCGGGTAGGGCTCCTCAGCCCTCGTCCTACAGGAGCTCCGAGGAAATTACAGTTATAGACAACCTCCCTAATGAAATGGAAGTGAGGGAAGACAGTTTTTATTATTACTGCTTTGCTGTTTCACGGCACAGAGATGGAATCTGGGCCTCCACACTGAGCTACCTCCCCAGCCCTTTTATTCTTTAGTTTGAATCAGGGTCTTGCTAGGTCACTAAGTTGCCCAGGCTGGACTCGCATTTGTGATCCTCCTGCCTCCCAGAGTGCCTGGCTGAAGAAAGATCACCTAAGTGCAGAGTACGTCGTAGCCCAGGCTGTGCTGCCCCAGGGCACAGAGGCAGAAGGAAGCCTGCCCTCCACACGGCTTGGCACCCCTCACGCCAGCCAAGGGGCAGTCAGTGCCACTGACTGGAGTTGGGTCGCAAGAAGGGAAAAATTTCCTGGGCAGGATCAGGCCTGGGAACCAGCACGATAATGGCACAGCCCTCTAATGGGCTCCTGCCCTGACCTGCCACTCTATCATAGGTTTGCTCTCCCAGAGAGAGAAAGGTCTCAAGACCATAAGACAAAGCAGAATGAATCATTTCCAACTTTGCTTAGCACAGCACCAGAGCCATGGGGGAAGCACAGCCTTCCCAGTGCTTCTGTCTTCTCTCCCATGCCCACACCTGTCCCAGGGCCTTTGCACAGGCTGCTTGTGCTCAGACCTGTTAACTCCTCACCGTGCACTGGCAGCTTTCAGTGTCACCTCAGAGACCTCTGATCGTGTTGTCCTGCTGTGCTGTGTGACTTCCTCTCATTGAGATTCTGAATTATTTATTTGTGGACTTGTTTTGCCAAAATTGTGACTGATGTGTGGGCAGAGGCTGCACTGATCTGCTGGTCCTCCGTTGCATCTTGGTATGGAGTACAGGAATAGGGTCTGACGTGTTACCACAGCTATAGAGCCACAGCTACAGGGCGAAAAGGAAGGGAGAGAGCAGGAGGGAGGGGAGAAGAAAGGGAAGGAGGGAGGGAGGGAGAGAAGGAGGGAAGGATGGGGCTAGGTCCAGCTGACTGTGTGGCTCAGGACTGGAACCTCCCATGCTGCCCCACGTCTATGGGGGAGGGGAGGGAGGGTGTGTGTGAAATTAGTTTAGTGGGAGACGACCAGAAGTTGGTGAAAATGAAACAAAACAAAAATAAGGGACGCCGGACTATGTGTGTGGCGTGACCAAAATACTCCCTGAGGTTTCGAGTCACAGAGACCTACTAGACAGCAGGAGGCGCGGCGCCCACCAGCCCTCAGAGCCCCACACATACAAGCTGGTCCCCCTGCCCTCACCACCTCCTGGAGCAGCTCTGGCGTCTTCTTCCGTGACGGTCTGTGCTGGGTGTGATCAGTCTGTGGCGAGGACAGTGGCCCAGGGCCTTCTGCAGAGAGGCAGGCTACGAGCGCACGGGTGCCCACGGCCACCTGGTTCGTCAGACGTCGCACTGTGTGACTTCCGGCTCCTCCCAGAGTCAAGGTGACCAAGAAACGTAAATGTGTGGTCAAGGACATCGAGGCAGCCACGATGGCACAACTGACCACACGCATGAAAGAGGGTGTCCAGAACCGCTTCCGAGAGTGCCAGGAAACTCAGGCTCAGGTGCCCGGTGTGAGGGACGTTCCCGGGGTGGGTGGCAGTGTTACCTTTAACCTGGACATTCTCTAGCTTTCGATCTGACCTCATATGTATCTCTCTACAACGAGCCCAGGTCACCTGGGGGGACTCAGCAGGGTGGTTTAGTGCACCACTGTAGCAACACAGGGATGCGGCATAGAAGAGGAGGACAAAGTGACAAGAGGGACAAATAAAGATGCAGACCCCTCCATGTGGGACTAGCAGGGAAAAGGGAGCAGGAGCAGTAACTCCCCGTGTGGAAAACTGGGTTCCCAGTGTGCACACCCTAAAAAAACAACTCCCAATAGATGAAAAGGCCGCATGTAAGACAACGAACCTCAAAACTCTTAGTAAGAAAACACAGATGAGCTTCTTTTACACCACTGGGTAAGCAGTGATTAAATAAAACTCAAAAAATTACTGACCATAAAAGGTTGCTACATCAAACAGCTGCAACCCAGCTCCGAGTCTGATTAAACATCAGCCCACTGGCTTCCCCCATCCCGCCCCCCACCCTGGAGACTGCACTCATCTACATTCCCAGAAGCCAGAGCTCTCCTGAACCATTACAGACACAGCCATCCAGAGGACCAGGCCTGGGCCAAGGTCCCACAAGCTCGGGCTGCAGCCCTGAGGGGCTTGGGAACCTGCGAGGTCCCTTCCTGTTCCCCGCTGTGACTGTTAACCTCCCTCAGACTGGCCTCCCCAAACCCCTCCAGTAAATTTAGGACATCTCACAATTCCTTTTTCTCAGTGCGCTTTATACCTTTTCAACCAGCACATAAATAAAAAGCAGAGCTGTGGTCCCACCCTGGAACCACAGGGTCTTCGTACCCTGCTGGGGTCACAGACGGGGAGAAGTCTCTTCGGGGAATCTGGTGTTTTCTCCTGGGGCTGAGGGGCCGCTTTATAACTCGGCAGTGCCTCTCCTAGGTGTATGTCCAAGAGAAGTATGTGCAGGGCGCCCTCATCCCATGAGACAGTGCCCTGGGGTGCCACATGGTTGGCAGAGGGGAGTTCCGCCTGGACTAACGGGGTTGGGGGGAGCCTCCTGGCAATGTAACACTGTGAGCGTAGAAACCTCAGAGATCACACATAAGCTAAAATAGCTCACACTGGAATATTTACTTGGAAGAGTGCATAAAATGTTACTCTTAATTGTGGTCACAGGACTCCCAGTGCCCTGCTGGGGTCCTGGGAAGGCCGCAGGAGGGCCGAGAGGGGAGCGGTGGGTTACACTGAAGGCAATGGTGTTCCTGTGGGGCCGTGGGGAGGGGAGGTCAGAACAAGGCTCCAAGTGCCCAGGCAGGGGGAAACGCGTGATGGGGTCCAGTCTGCAGCAGGCTGATGGTGCTGGGAGTCCTGGGCAGCTGTGCCGGCGTTGGGAGGACATGCAGAGGGGTCTCCCCAGGCCCGTTCCCAGGATCGCTGTACGTGCCTGTGCCCCATCACCCAGCATCTGGCTCTGTGGGGTGCGGGTGCCCTGGGAGGGAGAGGCTTGCACAAAGCCTGGTTGTTCTCAGGTCCTGCTCAGGCCTGCCCTGTTGGGCGGGCTGGAATCCAGGCTGCTGCCCCACCCCTGTGGCCCTGTTCAGCTACACTCTGGCACTGTCCCCACTGGGGACCCGGTCCCCTCTGTCTTCCCACCCTGCCCCACCCCAGGGCCATGTGGCCCACATGGAGAGGGACCAACAATGCCCCCATGGTCTCTGCTGTCACCTGGTTTCAAAGGTCTGGGTAGGGGTGAGATGAGTTTCCCTAAGCGATAGAAAAGAATCGGGAATTGTACACAGGAACACACATCTTAGGCCCGGGGATTAATCATCTGCAAGAGGGGATGAAACAGTCAACCCGGGTTCAGGTAACAGCGCTCCTGTCAGGATGCCAGGAGCCCGTGAGGGGAGCATGGCCCTGCCCAGGAGCCCTTCCTGCCCCCCTCGCAGCCCCAGGATCCTGCTGTCAGCTCCCCTCCTCTTCCCCCACAGCTTCTCCTGGCTCTGCGGACATGTGCACCGGAACATCCTCTGCAAGTTCACGGGCCAGGCGGTGGAGCTGTTCGAGGAAGAGTTCCGCCACCTCTACGCCTCCTCCAAGCCCCTGATGGGCCTCAAGTCCCCCCGGCCAGCGGCCCCACTGCAGCCCAGGGCTGTCCCCAGCACCTCTAACGGCCACCTCAGCAGTGACAGCCGCTCCACCAGTGACCGCACGTCCTCCAACCCCTTCAGCAGCCCGTCGGTGGGCAGCAACCCCCCAGAGCAGACACCGTCTGCCTGGTCGGGGCCCACTTCTCCCCTGACCCCCAGCCCAGCCCAGCCCCCCAGGTATCAGCCCTACCACAGCCCCTGGGGAACCCCCACCCCACAGCCCTTCTTCTCCCCCAGGACCCCGCCTACCCCCTACAGCAACCTCAACACTTACCGCCCCACTGGGCTGCAACTGGAGCAGCTAGGCCTGGTATCCAGGGCCACGCACGTCTGGAGGCCCTTTCTACAGGCTTCACCTCACTTCTGAAGGGGCCCGTGTCCCCGTCACTGTCCCCAGGCCAGGTCTGTGCTCCTGGGTTCCCCGCTCAAAGACCTCACCTTCTGCTCTACAGTGCTGAACCTGCTTCCCCTGAGTCCTGTCAGCCTCTGCTGGTCTGTGAGATCCTTCCTAGCTTGGCCCATGCAGCTCATTCCAAAGGGCTGAGGGAGGTTGGACGAGCTAGAAACAAAATCATAGTGTCACAGCCTCCAGAGCTTTAAAAGGTCATGGTCCTCAAGGCTCCAAAATGTAAGAAGGGGCAGAGGCAGCCCATGGTTTACCAATGGGTAAACTGAGGCACTGCAGCACAGGTGATAGATTGGGGTTTCTGTTTACAGGTTCCCAGGAACTCAGAGCAGTGGGAGAGGGTCTGTGAACATGCTGGATGTCCCTGGGAGAGCTGGGGAAACTCATCCCTGTAAACGCCAGCACTGGGGTACCCCTGTGAACTAGGGATATGATCTCTATACGGGGCCACCTGAACCTGCAGTCAGCAGGCACAGAGTGAGCCCAGGAGTCTGGGAGTCAGTGGATGGGCCAGGTCAGCAGGCCCAGCTCCACGGAGCCTCGAGGGGGCCCAAGGGTCCAGAGTCAAGGACTCAGGACTCAGTGTTTGGAGTCTGAAACGGCTCTGTGGCGATCCCCAGGGCAGCCCTGTGAGCCGGAAGAGACCGGCTGTCCCTGGATGGCCGCCAACTGTAGAACGGGGTCTCCCTTGGCTTGCCGACCCCAAGGAACCCACGCTGAATTCTCAAGGGCCCTGTGGTTTGTTGCTCCCGGGAAAGTGACACTACCCTCACAACTAGGGAGGGCAGCAGCCATGCGTGTGGCAGGCAGCGGTGCCAGGCCCGTGTCTGCCCTCTGCCATCCATGTCATCTCAGCTCATGGCTCTGTGCACTCCCTAGCAGCCAGGGCGGGCAGTGCTAAGGCCTGGGGAGCCTTTCCCTGTGTGCCCTCCAGGACAGGGCAGTGTGTGACATGACACCCCATCCTACTTAGCAAGGGAAGCCTCCCTCAGCCCATCCAGCCCTGTTCCCATTCCTAACATTTCTGCCAGTGTTAGGCAGTGGCATCTGCGTCTGCTTTCTTATAAATTCTGTTCCTATCCTCACTGTTTCCTTAATTCCTCAAAGATTACGATGAACAAAAACTAAAACTCTAGCACCCCTTTGGTTCCCAATGTGTTTTCAGCGCCCCCTTGAGACGGTTCCCGCCTATCTGGAATCTGGGCAGTCACCAGACTGGCTGAGTGGTGTGAGCTGGGTTTCAGGAAGGCCAGCTGGGCTGCAAGCTCCAGGCCCATCTGCCTCCCCCAGCAGCGTCTCCTCAGTCCTCACTGGCTGTTGACCAATGTGCTGTTTCCTCTCTGGGGCCTGAGGTGGGCAGCAGGTGGGGCAGTGGGAAAGCACAAGGCAAAGCCTGTAGGAAGGCGCTGGGGACACAGGTGCAGCTCGATGTGCAGGGGCCCCGCAGCAGGACCCAGTGCCCGGGTGACCACAGTCAGCAGACTCTGCCCCGCCAACGCATAGCGCGTTCATAATAAGAGACGGCCTGTGCCACCGAAGCCACTGAGGTGCGAGGTCTTCTTCCTCCGGGATCCTGCCTCCGATGACAGAAATGACCTCTGGGACCCACAGCCCCTGTGATGTTTCCTGAAGGGCTAGGGGCAGGTTCCCACACCCGGAAGTGGGTCAGAACAAGTTCTCGGCCAGATTCCAAATCCTGCCAAACCCGGTGTCGTCTGCCTTGACTTCTGCTGGGGTTATAATCACCGCGGGCCTGCTTGGTTGGGCCTGCTTGCTGGAGGACACCCTTAAACAGTTGCTGTGACCATGTGAGCTCCCCAGCACCTGCCAAGGCCAGGCCTGGGGTCAACGCCGGCCCCACAGAGAACTCAGAGTCAGCAGGGCAGGCCTCTCCTTGATTGCCTCCGGAAGGAACAAGAGTGGAAGAAAGGGCGTGACAGTTGTGTGCAGGGAAGGGACGGCCAGGGAGCGCCCGAGCCCAGGTCCCGGGGCCCCGGACTGACCCCCAGGCCTAGGGGCCAGTACTGACTGGGAGCACTGGCTGTGGATGAGCCTTGGTCTTTGCTCCTGGACGTTGTTCACTTGTCCTCAGAGCACACTGACATGTGTCTCTGCCCTGTACCAGAAGAGCTCAAGCCAGCGTCTCTCTAGGGACCTCGGGAGGCCTACAACAGCATCACAGCTCCCTGAGTACACGTGTGAGCCGCAGCTCGCTCGGAGCACAGGGACACGCAGCCCCTGGGCTCCCCAAGGTAGGAGGAGGCCTTCCTTCACCTGGGCCTCCCTGCTTACCTGCCAGCCTGAGGTCGAAATGCACCAGTGAAAGCGCTGTTTTCTGGACAGAGTGAACGGAGTGAACACCCTTCAGCATTCCTAAAGGGTGGCTGAGCGGCGGGGAAGCTGTGGCTAGAAATGTGAACTCGGTGAACAGAGGCGCAGCCCTTCCTCGGTTGCTCAGTGTATGCTTCCTGGGGCAGCCGCTCATCCTGTCTTCCTCTGGGGTGGTGAAGGAGGACGTACACACAACGTGGGCAGGAGGCAGTGCAGCCAAAGCCGCTCTTCCATGGCTGCACCCAAAGAGGCCAGGGCATCCCCTGCAGGTCCATGCAGACTAGGGTGGGGCATAAGCGGACTCCTGGGGCTCCCCGAGTGGGCATGAGCGAAGCGGCCGCAGCTCAGGACCCTATCTTTCTTGTCTCACTTGCGTGGCACAAGCCAGGTCTCTCCCACTTTTTCAGGAAGGCAATGAAAGGAATAGGGCACACCCGGAGACCCAACAGTGCTGTGGCCTAAAAAGGAGGGGAGCTGAGGAAAAGGGAGGGGCGGGCAAGGCTCCCCAGGGTGCAGCCACCCCCTGTTCCAAAGGGCAGTGCCCTCTGGAGCTACATCTCCTTGGTTCCAGGGTCTGATGCCCTGCCAGCTGCACTGGGTCCTCAGGGGCACCGGCTTGCCTTGAGGATGGCCACCCTCTTGCTGGGGTATTCCTCCTGTCCCCTGCCTCTGTTGTCCCCGAGTTCTGGCCACTTCTAATAAGGACACAAGTCATGCTGGATGAGGAGCTTGTGTCACAGGTGCCAGGCTGATGAGGGCTGGACTTACAGCGGCCAGCTGTGTCAGTGTGACTGGGCCCTGAGGGGCCCTGGCCCTTGTCTATGCACAAGATTAACAGCTGACCCATCGGTGGCGGCTTGCCCTCCCCATGTGGGCTCCAGTCAGTCAGCTGAAGGCTGAAGAGGATAAGAGAGAAGCCCGCCCACCTGATGACCTTCAGCTTGGCAGCTTCTTTCCCCACCTCAGACATGACCTGAAATACCAGCTCATCCATTCCAAGCCATCAGCCTCCAGGCAGGAAGCTCACGATGGGCTCCGAAACAGCCGCGGTCACAGAAGCCAGTCCCTTCTTATCCGTCCTCTGTTCACTGGTCCAGTGGCGGCTGCTTCTAGGAAGAATCTGAGTAATACAGATCTCGGTCCTGGAGACCAAAGGCCCCATGTCTAAATACTAGGAGTTAGGACTAACCCCAGGAATCTGCAGGGTACACTTGCCTGACAGGTAAGCCCCCCAGGGAGGCTGCTCCTTCTGGCCCTGCCACTGCCTTCCTCCTCCAAGTGTCGGGTCCAGTGCAGACCCTGTGGCCAGCCCAGCATGGGCGCAGCTAATGGCCAAGTTCTGCCAGCTGGGGACAGAGGCAGCAGGCGCCATCCCACATGGGGTTCTCTGCCCACAGTCGGGGTGACCTCTGGTGCTGTTCTTCCAGAACATGGCAGTCCAGACAAAGAGAGTGGCCTGGGACCGAGGCCTGCACTCCCCAGCACCCCCATGAGCCATATTTCTCCTCCTCTTCAGATTCCACAGACTCCGAGGCTCACGGTCATTTTGCAGTCTTTAAAAAGCTAAGAACACAGCCTCCCCCTCACTGATTCAGCCACTGGCCTCCACTGTGCATTTTCAAAGACCCTAGTGACAGCCTCAGGCCCACATGGGCAACTGAGAGATCTCGGACAGTCAGCTGATTAACAGTCCCAAATCCTCTGCCAAGGAGGGAATACATGTGTGGCTCCGGGGATTAGGAGGTGAACCTCCAGAGGAGGCCAATTCTGCCTAGACCTAAGGGCTCAGAAAGGCCCCTGGGGCCAGCAAGCCTGGGGGAGGAGGCAGCAAAGTAGACCACCCGACTCTGTCCTCTGTCCTCTGTCCTCTGCCCTCTGGGGATTGCCTTCATTTCTCCCACAGACCCACTCATCCTGTTCTTCTGTCTACTCATCGGAGAGCAGCCCTCTGGCTTGAATCTGCTAGGTTCGGAGGCACCTGAAGAATTGTACTTTTGAACCCCCAAGAGAAACTGATTGGCCAGAGCGGGTGTCCCCGGTTCCCTGAGTCATCGCTGTTGAGAACCTGGGGCTGGGCCGTGGAGCGGGCCACACTCAGGGAGGGAGGGCATGGCCTGCCTGTGCAGAGGAGGAGTAGGAAGATGAAGATGAGGAGGAGGAAAAGGAGAAATGGGTTAAGAAAGATAAGCCTTTTGTGTGCTCTCTCTCTCTGCTGGCAACTTAGTGATATAACCCATCTCAAAATAAAAGTAAAAAAAGGGCTGGAAATGTAGCTCAGTGTGAAGACCTTGGCTTCAATCCCTTGTACCGAAACACAGGCAGACAGGAAGGCAGGCAGGCAGGCTCCCTGCAGCTGTGCTCTGGAGACAGACTGGGAGCTGCCGGCCTCAGCTGCTTGCTGCTCCATGGGCTCTGGTGGACTTGCTTTGTGCCCGGATCCACGAACCCAAGGAAGCCTGCCTGCATAAGCCCCACGGCCAACCCCACAGCACACACAGCTACCCTGACACTGAGTTCTTCACTTCACCCCCTTCTGTTTGCTGTCTTGATTTTGATTTTTGTTTTTTTAATCAGGGCCTCAAAAAATTGTCAACCATTTTCATGCATTAGACATCAAAGGCAGTAAAAATAATTTTTTAAAACTGGTTTTGTATTCATTTTGTAGCGCTTTTGACCAAGACTTCCTAAAGTGAAGGCCATCTTTGGGAAAAGCTGCACTGTCAGGTGGCAGCAGCCTCCTGGGGTGCTGGTGGCCCAACTCCACAGGGATAGGCCCTCCCCAGGGTGCCTCCTGGACGATGAGGATGCAGGTGGGGAGCAGGGGCGACGGGCTCCACCACTGGAGGCAAATCTGACAACCCATGTCACGCGGCTGCTGCCGTGGCGGAGAGCACGGGGTTCCCAGGGAGCTGCTGTGGGACCCTCACACTTTCTCACAGCTCTGAAGTCCAAATTCCCATTAACCATGCAGTCTTCTGTTTCATGTGCGGGGTCGCTCACGGGAAGACGAGGCAGGCAGCAGGTGTGTTCAAGGGAAGTCCTCAGGACTGCTCTGGTCCATCCCCGATGTTGAGCGAGATGGAATAAAAGACCACAATGTCCAGGTTTGCTGGTAATTCTAGCTACAAAGAGCTCCTCCAGCCCTCCTCTTCCATCCCAATCATCTGCTGACGAAGGCCATGGTCTCTGTGCCTGAAGAGGAGGGAACAGACTGTGACATGCCACAGCACTGGGTCCTGACCCTTGGCACTCGGGGAGCCGTGTGCAGCAAGGGGCCCCCGGGAGACCTTGAGGCAAGGGTGCTGCCACCCCCCTGGAGCTGGCTGAGGTCTCCCAGCCCCTAGCTCCCCTCCTAACCCAGCGGCCACTGTGCACGCCTCACTGGACAAGGTGACACTCACTGACCCGCGGCATGGGTCCAGTGTCACTGCCCAGGGATGTGAAGCGAGGGGAGCTGACGCAAACCCAGGAGCTGGTAATGCCTGAGTCACGAATTCTCTACCTCTGACCTGGGAGTCTCCTAGCTTGGCCAGCACCTGGGAGACCGTGGGGCCGACTGTCAACACAGAGTGAGGTGTGTTCTCAGCCCCATGTCCCTGCTGCACCCTTCGAGAGACTGCGCATCCTCCCAACTCCGCCTTCTGGGTCCCTCCTGATCAATGTGCTGGAGCCATGTGGCTTGTGGCAACGCTGGCTTAACATGGTGACTATTTTAGATGATAATCCTAAAGCCTCCTTCACACAGTTTCCCAGCAGGGATTTTCTAAATGCACAGTAAAACTAAGGAAGACATAATACTGATGTGGACTACAGAAATTTAAAAAGAAAATGAAACTGAAATAACCTGAGAGAGAAGCCATTTTTACAAAACATAAAGAATGCTTTTTAATTCATCAGCAGTGATGCCACCCGAAGTAAACGAGGCCCAGTCACACGGTGCAGGGTGCATGTGGTTACCTGGCTCAGGCCACAGTCTGTATCTCACTGTGGAAGTGATCTTTCGAGATCTTCCTGAACCACCTGTCTTCAAACCCTTCCAGGGAGGCAGAGACCTGGCCAGGCAGTGGCACAGAGCCACTCCTCGCCTCTGCGAAAACTTCATCCTTCATTTTTTCTGGGATGATATCTTCTCCCATAACCTGTAGCAGAAGGAAATAAGTCCCACTAACAGAGGAAGCAGAGCCCAGCATGACGACACACACCTGTGATCCCAACACTAAGGAAGCTGAGACAGGAGGGCTGGCTGCAAGGTCAGGGTCCAGCCTGGGCATCTTAGGAAGACCTTCTTTAAAACTAAAACTTATAAAAAAGGCTGGAGATACAGCCCAAGGGATAGAACACTCGCCTACCATGGGTGAAGCCCTGAGTTCAATCCTCAGTGCCACCAAAAAAAAAAGTTGTTATCCAAACACAGCGCTCTGCCCTGTGTTTCCCCTCTCCTACTCCCAAGAGGAAGAAAACAGGCAAATGAGATGGACAGACACTTCTCAGAAGTGGCCAAAGGACATCTGAAGGAATGCTCAACTTCGCTAGCCATTAGAAAGCTACAAATAGGCACAACACTGAGATTCCATCTCCCCCCACAAAGAAGGGGGCTGTCCCCCAAAAATCACATAGTAAGTGCTGCCAAGGCCACAGGGAAAGAAATCCTACTACACTGCTGGTGGTGTTGTAAACTGGTCTGACCGCTATGGAAATAGTATGGAGATTCCTCTAAAAACTGAAACTTGAAATTCCATTAACCCACATATTCTTCTTCTAGGTATCTTCCCAAAAGAGTTAAAGACATCAGATTGCAGTTATCCATATTCATGCATTTAGCAACACAGTTCAAAACAGCTGAATCTTGGAAACAGCCTACATGTGCATCAAGAGATGGAGGGATAACAAAAACGTGGTATTTACACAACGGAGTACTTCTCTGCCATAAAGAAGGACCAAGTTGAGTCATCTGGAGGAAAATGGAAGCAGCTTGAGACCATAATGTTACATGAAATAAATCAGACTCACAAGCTTAAATATCACAGTTTCTCTAATATAAGAAATCCAAAATGTAAGTAGAGACCAAAGTAAAGGACAGACAACAGGGAGTAAGGAGACAGCTTTCTCAAACAGGAAGGGGAGGAAGAGATGGCGAGGAGAAAGCAGGGGTTGGACAAAGGGTTAGGATGTGTCATGTGCACAAACCAACTCCCGCAGGGAACATGAGCAGCACCTACCACAAACGGACTGAAACGCAGACAGGAAACATGCAGTCACCCTGTGGATGGTGCTGCTGCCGCTGCTGGCCGTCCCTCAGGATGTCAACCACCCGACACCACGGGACCGCCCGGGGGTCTGAGCTGGCATGAGCTACCGTCCGGGACCCACAGGTAGACACACACAGTGCCGTCTTCCAGGCAACGGAGTGTCGTCAGTCAGCACCGGGAAGGAACTAAGGCTCAGGCCATACCCAACACGGACACACCGCACACGGGGCCCCCAAGGACTCCCGAGGCAGCCAGTCACACACACACACACACACACACACACACACACACACACACACCCGTCTACCCCAGCTGCACGAAAGGTGCTGCTGAAGCGAAGCACGGGGAGGGAGGCAGTGGTTACAGGGCTAGGCAGTGGGGGGCACAGGAGGGGCCTGACTGGCGCAGGGCTGTGCTGGGGTTGGGGAGGCGATGGACACGTTCAAACACTGGGTTCACAAAACGGCCATGGGCCGCAGACTTAGCTTAGCAGGGGAAGCACCTACCTGCTAAGCAGGCAGTCGTGAGTTGGATCCCCAGTACAAAAAAGAGAGACCTAGTCATGGCTACACAACTACACACAGATTAAAAATACAGATTTGTATACTTTTTAAAGATAAAGGGCTGGGGATTTAGCTCAGCGGCATAAGCGCCTGTCTTGCAAGCAGGCAGTCGTGAGTTGGATCCCTGGTACCGATTAAATAAATAAATAAATAAATATTTAAAAACCAAAAAGAACCCCTGAAGTCCTCTGTGGTGACAGTACCATCCAGCCTCGGGGGCAGAGTCAGCCTTTCGTACCCAAACAGTGACTGCAGCACGTGGGGGCGACAGATCCTGTTTCACACAGCTTTCCCAAAGCCATTGGCACAGCAAACATCAAACAGCAGGTACAGCAACCGGGCACCCCCTTCCTGACCCAGAACAAGACTCCCAACCAACCGCCAAGCCAAAGCCTTCTTTAGGTCCTAAGTGGCATGTTTACCCAGGGAAGGCGCAATACTGCTCCCTGCTGGGCAGAATCAGGCAGGGCAGGCTGTGCAAAGCTACCTCTGGTCCCAGCAGTTTCTACCACCGGGTAGGGATGGCCACCTGGCCGCCTTGCAGACACTGCAGAGGCTTAGTCATGCTTTCGTGGGCGCGGATTTCTAAGGTGGGCGCGGATTTCTAAGATACCTGCACACGTGGAGAGTCAGTGTGTTCACCAAAGCTCTAATCAGCACACACAAAGCAACACTCCTGCTGTGTTTGAAGCTTCACAGATGGCTTTCTTTTAAATTATCAATGAGATATAGAGAATTTATTAAATCCTGGTAGTTCAGTGGTCCCAAGACACTCGCCTGTGTATCTCAGCATCTCTAAACTCAGGACACAGGCCATACCCAGCAGCGGGTCGTGCTGGGCACGCACCTCATCTTTCCTTTACATCACATCAAATGATGAGCCCCACAGCTGATGCAGGATTTTAAATGCTGGGTAAAACAACAAACAAAGTCTTTCTTCAACAATAGGAAACTAGGCCGCTCAGTGCTTTAGCTCAGTGGCACAAGCACCTGCCTGGCAAGTGTGAGGTCATGAATTCAACCCTTGATACCAAAAAAAAATTACAAATAAAAATAGAAAATTGCTATGATGAATGTGATTGTTATGCATATCTAAAATGTATCAGTAAAATCTAATGTCAAAAGTAAAACAAAAGTAGAGAATAGAAAATTGAATAAAAGTAATAGCTAAACAGAGCAATTCTAAAAAGAAAAATAAAGAAATACAATATTCATAGGTGTCAAAAACCTGCCGAACATTTGGTCATATAAAAATTTAAAAGTTCCATAGTGTCAAAAAAAATTTAGAAAAATATTAAAAAGAAAGTGAGTCTAATATAGAGAAAGCTCTTAAAAATTACTAAGAAAAAGAAGAAATAAAGAAAAGATATAATTAGCCATTTCACAAAATACAAATGGTCAAAAATATATGAAAAAGATTATTCAGCTTAATAGTTACCAAGGTAAACATTAATACTAAAAATATAATCTTTTTATCTACCAAATTGTAAATTTAAACAAGAAATACGTTGAGTTATATAAAACTGCTGTTTTTATAGATTAACAAAACTGAATACAGGCGATTTCAAGTGGCTCAACCTATCGGGATAGGAAAATCAGTGCTCTTTCAGAGCCCAAGGACTTTTGCAAGTGTGTGTGTGTGCATATGTGTGTGTGCATATGTGTGTGCCTGTGTCTTTGCAATGCAGTTCAGGCTGACCTTGAGCTCACTTTGTAGCCCAGGCTGGGCTCAAACATGCAACAATCTTCCTGCCTCAGACTCCTGAGTGCTCAGATTACAGGCCTGCATCATCACTTCTGGCCACTTAATCTTTAAAACGTTGATACATTTTAATTCACTGATTACCCTTCCAGGCATCTAAAAGGTATGAATATACACATGAATAATTCTGCAAGGACTTACTAAAATAGGTACTAAGTAAAATAGGTTCAATGTAGGGAATAAGCTAATAATTACAATTAACTTAAAAATTCCGACTATCATCAGATCTGTAAAAATTATATACTCAAAGAGCATTTAAGGGTACAGGGTCATGCTGCCCATTCACATATCAGGTAAATATTACAGACTAAAAATCTAACATATGCCTCAGCAGCTCCTAAAAAACAATTTCACTCTTAGATATATACTCAAAAAATATTAAAAACAGACTCAAACATACACGAATACTATCCTTCAAAGCCACATTTTTGCAATATCCAAACAGTAGAACCCATGTCATCAACATAAATAAATAAAATTTGAACACATATATACACATATGAATATTATTCTGCTATGAAAAGGAATGAAGTTTGGAGACATACTCCTGTATGGATGTCTTAAAAACAATATACTAAATAAAATAATAAAATAAGCCAGGTACAAAAGGTTAAATATTCAATACTTCCACTTTTGGGGGGACAAGGTCTCACTTTGTAACTCAGGCTGGCCTTGAACTTACTGCATAGCCCAGGTTGGGCTGGAAGTTGCAGTGATCTTCCTGCCTCAGCCTCCTAGCATGCACCACCACATGCCCAGTCACTTATCTTAAACATCAAACACAAGTAGACTTATAGAATAGATCAGAGGACCCCTAGGGAGGCAGGAGTGGGGGTGGGAAGGTGCTGCTTGATGACTGCAGCAGTGCTGGCGTGAGGAGGGGAAATACCACAGCAGCAGGACAACAGTGGGCGATCCCCTCACTGTGCATTAAAACAAGTACACAATGGCAAATATTATGTCTATATGTAAATATGTAGTATTTCCTAACACCTGTAAAGTATATATCCTTGGAGTAAAAACAGAGGTAGGAAAAACATTTACAAAAATGACAAAAACAAAAGGACAAAAATAAAGCACATGGAAGAAATACAGGAGAAAAACAGCAGTGAAGCTTCTAGGGAGGAAAGAGGAGTTTATGTGCAAGGGGCCACCAGTGTAATGCTGGAGAGGCAGGAAAACAGACCAAGCAAAGGCCCTGTGGCAAGCTTCTACGACAGGGAGACAGCCTGTGCTGAAGGCCAGGGGTACAGCTCAGCGGCATACATGCCTGTCTGGCAAGTGCCAAGTGCTGTGTTTGAGTCCTAGTACCAAAACAAAACAGAAACAAGAGCCTGCAGTGGGTCAAGGAGAGCCGGGAAAGCAGGAAGAGCCTGGAGCAGGAAGACACGCATGGCATCCCAGCCTGGGAGCCGGGAAGAGTGACCCAGGATGCGCATGGGCAGTGACTTCCAGGGAAGGTCCTGCTGCCAAGCTTCCATGGCAGACCAAGAGGAAGTGGAGTGAAGAGCTTAAAAATCTCTGTACCGACACCTAAATAAACCTTAACTCAGGGGAAATAACCTCTAAGTACAGACATCCAAAGACACCTAAAGAAGGGAAAGCGTGCGCATTTCTCCACGGCCCCGCGCCCACGCCCAGGACAGCTGGCCCGCCAGCTGCCTTATACCCACACGCAGCCCTGAAGACAGCTGGAAGGAAGGGCAGGAAACAGCCGGGACAGCTGAGCACCTCTGGGAATACAGTGCCCAGGGCTGCGGCTCCAGAGGTCAGTCTGGCATCTTGCTGTGCGTGAAAAGACACCACATGGAGGAGACAGTTTCTTACAAAATGGCCCTGGAGCCAAAGGAAATATTTACGGGGCCGCTTTCCCACAAACCCAAGGGGACTCACCTCAGCGATCCGCAGCAGGGTGGCCTCTTGGAAGTGGAATTCTTTCATTTTGTCTTCAATTTCCTGCTGAGTCCTTAAGTTCTTCTCCAAAGCAAAGGACATCTGCTGAGACTGGGTGAGCTGCAGCAAAAGCCTGCAAAGCGCAAAAGGGCCCCGTGCAACTCAGGGGCAGAAGAGCAGTGCCACAGCGGCAGAGCTGGAGGCCGAGGCCACCAGTGACAGACAGAGACCCCACATTCCAAGCCCCACTGGACCCCAGAGACTCTGCTCCCAAGAAATCCCCACCCTCGATGTGCAGCGAGCAGGGCTGAACTTCTCCAAAGATCACAAGGGATGGCACCGCGAACGCATTTCCCGTGGAAGGCGAGGGCGGCCTGAAGGAACAGTAGTTGGAGTAAAAGGCTTCTCCTCAGGCTTGCACACAGGCACCCGGATTGGCGTCTTCTAAGCCCAGGCTCTACGGCCCTGCAGCACACTGTGGAAGACCACACGGGCGCCCCGCGCCTCCTTGCATGCAGAACATCTGCTGCAACATTAAATCCAGTCTTATTTTCACACATTGATACGTACAGACCTGGCCATGGGATTTTTTTCTCTTCAGTTAGCTCTAAGTTAAGCAAATAAGGCCAGCTGAAGTACTGATGTGCAGTGTTTGCAGTCAGTATGACAGTCTCCCGTTTCCTCACATCGTGCTCTCTGTAAAGGATCCGAGCACACGAGATGGCAGAGCCACTCAGCTCCAAGAACGCCAGCTGGGCATGAGCCTCGAAATAAAGAGGCTATGACTCCCCAGGGTACAAAAGTGTACATATCAGAAACTGAAGGCGGCTGGGGGAAGAGCCAGATGCCAGCCTCTTCCAGCACACAGGCTGGGAAACGAGAGGTCACCCCCATCCGCTGCCACGAGCAACCAGCGGATGCAGAGAACACAGGCTGTGGTGACAGTACTGAGGTGAAACACAATTTAACCCTTGTAGTGCTAGGTGTTTCACTGACCTTACAGGTCCAGGGCCACTGGTCTGATCACCTACTCAGAGAACAAGGGTACGCAGTGTGGCATCTATGGGGATCTCTTCCTTCTGATGGTGACAGCCGATGTTAATTCCCTATGGTCTTGTCTTGAAGTCCTGTATCATTTTTGTTGTTTGATTTTATTATATCCAATGGCATGGGCAGCTATTTCAAAGATAACGAGATCTACTGTGGTAGCCATTTTGGATTTACTCATTTTGTTTTGAAGTCCTTTATTGCGTTGTTTTGTTTTTATTGGTTCTCTTCTGTTCTGTTTTGTTTGATTTTTACTATGTCTGAGATACCTGCAACTATTTTGAAGACAACAAGCAGCATTATGGTAATCACTATTGATTTCCTACTGTTTTGAAGTCCTGTGTCATTTACACTGGTTTTGGTTGGTTTTATTCTGTTTTATTTTGCTTGGTTTTAGTCTCTTTAAATAAAAATTTTTTAAAAAGAAAAACTGAAGCAAAAGCCTCCTAAATTCTTCATATGCTAGTTCAATCAAGTTACGCAGATTGGTCTTTCTGCTTATCTCCCTGCGTTTTGTAAAGATGCTTTTCCCCCCACCTTGCCAGCTCAAGTTACCTAATTCCCACCATCCTCACTTTCACTCATTCCTGAGCCACCCTCTTCTTCACAAGATAATGAATTCTGAGACAGGCCTTGGATCAAGGCCTTTGTCCATATATCCTCACTTGGATCAGGCTTAGGACCCCTTGACTGCCCTCAGCTTTGTCTTGGTGTCTTTTACTCTCCTCATGGGTTGCATTGGTGGCGGCAGATTAAAATTAACTTGCTGGGATTCCAATAAGGTCTCAATGGGATTACAGATATAACTTTTCAAATCGTAAAGAAGATTAAAAGAAGGATTATAGCACTTGGATCACAATATTCATTATCTGGTTTACAACAGAGCTCAAGGACTGGACAGCTTCACAGGTACACCCTGATCACCCAAAGTAGCACCAAACCTCTGAGGACCCCTCCTGTCCTGTCAGGATCCTGACTGCCTCCCCTCTCTCATTCCTCCCTAGACTCCTTTTTGCAGCTGTGAAGGTATAGGTTTTTCCCATCACCCGGAGGCCTCACTGGCCACAGCTGCTACTCCCAGAGGCACTCAGCTCTCCGATTCTCTTACTTCCACAGAGGAATGCTAGCTCCAGACACAGAGAGACTGGTGAGTGAAAGGTCCCTGTCTCACAGGATGGAACGAGAGAAGAGACAGAAAAGGTTTCAGGCAGTGACTGGGCCGAGTGGCACACACCTGGGATCCTAGCACCTCAAGAGGCTGTGTTACGAGGATCCCATGTTGGGGCCAATCTGGGCAACTTCGTGAAACCCTGTCCTAAAATAGTAAAAAAAACTGAGACATACATAGCTCAGTGTGGTCAATCCCCAGTACTAGAAAGAAGAAAACACGTGGGGAGACTGGGGAAAGGAAAGGAGGCAGGCAGGCAGGGAAAAGAGAGGAAGGAAGGGAAGAAGACGAGAAGAAAGAAGGAAAGAGATTCATTTCAGGTAGTGAGTGGCAAGTGCTATGAAAAAATGATCAAGAGAGCGGTGCAGTGTCTCCTCAGATGGGTGGCCCGGAAGTCTGCCTGTGCCACTGCACAAGCCAAGGCCTCCTGTCAAGGACAGGATGGAGACTCTGAGGGAAAAGGTTGGCAGGGCAGGAGGCCTGGACAGGAGAACCAGCTCAGCCAGCTGCACGTGCCACAGCCGGCCCTGGAGGGGAAGATGTGGGACAACCCAAAGCTCCCTGCTCCGGAAGAAATGCTGCGGGGTCTGCATGTGCTCCCACACTGAGGCTGGGACTTCACCGCAGTTGCGGTGGCACGGACAGCTGCGGCTCCTCGGGCGACGGCGGCAGTGAGCTAACGCACAGCTCTGGAGAGTGCCTGAGGGAGGGACGCGCTCCCTCCACTCCTCTCCCACGCATACACGCTCTCCCCGGTGCACGCGCGCATGCACACTGTCCCACGCAAGGCCTGCGCCGTGCTACGCGTGGCAGGAAGGACCCCCCCCAGCGCCTGGCAGCTCGACGGTAGGCATCCCAACCTCCCAAACCGTGTGACATAGCTTTCTTTTCTGGATAAATGACGCGTACTGCCACGTGAGCTCCAGGGGGACGCACAGTCTCCTGAAGGCGCAGGACCTGGTGGGCAAAGTGCTCACACTCGTGAGCCTTTCCCCACCCGCCTTCCTCTTCTCATCGTCAGTACTGAGAATCACAGCTCACCCTGTCTCCTCTCTCTGCACGTCCTCGTTCCTCAGCTCTCAGCAAGCAGCCTCGTCGGTCCACTCGGACTGAAACTGCTTCCTCCACAGTCATGAAGTCCTGTCTAAGGCCACCCGGCTGCTCTCCCTCCCACTCCTCAGCACCGCTCCCTTCTCCTCAGCCTGACGCCAGCTGGCTGTCCCAAAGGCACCCCAAGTGTGGCACACCAGGCAAGCCGCTCTCAGCCCCGGATCTACCCTGCCTCGCAGGCTGAGTTCCGGGACAACAAACCCCGGGGTCTCCTAAGTCTCTGCCTTCTCCCTACCACCATCCCCTGGTCACAAGTCCTGTCTATTCCACACTGCAAAGACACCCTCTTCTGCTGCTGACTTTGCTGGTCAGCCCCACCATCACCCCATTGCTCCTCAAGGGTGCCCCTTCCTCCCCACAGCACCCTCCACTGGGTCTCCTGTCTCCCTCTACATGGCAGCCTTGATCACAGTGCTCCAAAAAATCTGACAGACTCGCCTGGCCTTCGACACAAGGACCAAACCCTTCGAGATGGCACTTCATGTGCCATCTCATCAACCAAAACAATGGAAAGACCAACAGCTAATATGTCCCAAGTGCCCCCAACACATGAGGCAACAGAGCGAGGACTTCGGGAGCTCCAGTTCCACGGCCCCTCAAGGCAGGTGCTGCCCCTTCTGCAACCTGTCAGGACGAGGCACGTGGGAATCAACAGCTCAGGAAACCTGTATGTGGCCAGGCTCCTCTGCCAAATGATCACAGTTGACTATGTTCACCTGTCAGATCTGACTCCCAAGGCCTGCCTCCTGCTTCCTCCGCCACCTGCAATCCTGGTGCTCTCGCTGCCAGACAAAGCAACTGCTCTGCCCTGCCCTTGCCCCTATGCACTTGGCCTCCACCGTGCCTGCCCTTCCTCTCCATGGGAAATTTTCTTTCTCTGGGAAGATGATGGCCTGGCCCTGGCCTTCAAAGCCATGCTGCTGTGGGAATGATTTTAACAGCTCCCTTGTTATAAAGTGGAGCCCCAATGTGTACCCCAAATAGTCGTGAAGATTAAGGTGAAACGATGTCCACAGAGCCCCCAGTAGTCAGTGGGGACCGCTTTTCCCCAGGCACCCGGTTTGTCTCCTGGAAAGACACTCATCTTCCTGTCCTGCAGCCCCCCTTGTGTGGGTCCAAACGAACCCCACTCGCCAGCTGATAGGCTGCTTAGTGTCCGTGGGCCAGTCCCCACAGGACATCTATTTTCCCTGTGCAGTGAACACTGAAAGGAGTGGAACTGCTTTAAAAAAAAAAAAAAAAAAAAAAAAAAAAAGAAAGAAAAGAAAAATGATTCTAGCACCAACCAAGGACCTGGTACCTATGCTTTGAAATAAAAAGTGAGAGAGTCAATGCCAAATAATCACCCAGCAAATTGTAATATCTGCCATTTCTTGGTTGACCCTCACTGTCACTATTTGTGGGATTTCCCAGAGTTAAAAATAACCTCTATGTTCTCATCAAAGTGTCCTTTTATTCTCTTGTAAATTATAGAGGGGAGTCAAGTGTATTTCCCCAGCGTTTTCTCAAATTCACGTCCCATGAGCACCCACAGTTCTCAGAGGCCCTGGGGCAGTGTGGTGAACCTGTGGCACGCATGCTGTGGTGGGCACACCAACCCCTCTGTCGGCACAGGAGCAAGGTGCCCCCTGCAGCTGAGCAGCAGACAGCAATTGTTTTTCCTAAGTTGAAACCTCCCCATTCAGGTTTAACTGCAGTGCTGGCACTTTGAGATAAGTACATGGGTTCAGCGTTATAGTTGGGACACTCAGTCTCTAAAAGGTTCACCATCACCATCCCAGGACCAAAGCAAAGCACGGGAGTCCTCTGTGAAATGAACTAAGCACTGCTTATTCCCAATATCAGCAATTTAAACACAAGAGTGACTCCTTCCAGACTTTACAGGATGTATCGGCAAGAAATGCCTTCTTAGAAGTGGCTCTTCTTCCCTTTTTAGCGCTTTCTACATTTTCTTTTCCTAATTTCTCAGTGTCATCCACTTCTAACATTGTCCCTTGAGCACTGACACAGTTGTATTCCTGAGCAAATACAGTATTTCTAAAGCCTTCACACCAAGTGACACAGTTCAGAGTTCTGCCTGGATCCTAAGAAAAACCCAAAACTACGTACCAAGTGCCCAGAAAGTCACCCTTCTCCCCGAGCAACTCCCACACAGCACCGTACCCAAGGCCCACCTGGCACGCATCAAAGAGGCGCATGCTTTCATCTGTGTCTCGGGCAACGTGCTCCCACTCTTCTCTGCCCCACTGTTTGGAATCCTTTCCAGGGTGTTCTCGTGTTTCTGGCTATTACCTCTTCTTGCTTCCATGGAAAACACAGAGCTCTCAGGCAAGGTTTCAGGAAAACACAAAAGACAGTCTCTTTGTGAATGTGGAAAGGCAGATTGGATAGTTTTGTCACTGGAAGTGAAACTGTTGTGTCCCTGAAGTGATGCAGAAGATGGCGAAGGAGCTGGCCCCAGGCTCAGGTAAGCCTCTGCCAACTTGCCCCAGGTCCAAGGATCAAACGGATGCAGAGCGATCATCTTCTGCAGGCAGCAGATCATTTTCTCCAAGTTTGGCCAACTCGAACAAATACCAAACTGGAGGTAGAGCACAGCAGTCAAGTGGTCTATGTTGGTTGCTTTATTTTCCTGTGAAGGAAACAAACAAACAGACAAAAGATAACCATAAACTGCAAAATGTTTTCCATTTATAAAAATGAAGATGCCTGAAAACCCAAATAGGATGTAACTTAGAAGTATCTTTCAATAGCTGTACAAGGCAAAAGAACGAAACATACCGATCTCCTTGGAAAGCAGACCTAGAGAAAGATGCACTCCCTAGCAAAACCGCTGCTGGTCGCAGTCAACGTCCTACCGACATAGCAACATGACAAGTCACGTGACAGTGACTGACACAGTCCAGCACCAAAAACATAAGTGAGTTTCTTTCTGATTTGTATTACAATCTCCTTTTTGGCCACATATCTGAAGACTCTAGCCAATTTTCTTAGGCCCTGGGCTAATGATTCCATTTTAATATTCCAAGCTTTCTAAAAACCCAAAAGGTAATTTCCTTGAGGATATGAACACACTCCACCTGCACATTTTCAACACTTCGTGCAGCATCGCAACAGAAACCAAATGCCTCCTACACTAACTAGTACCAAGGCCAGAGGAGGCTGCTTGGTGGCATCTGACCGGAGACTTTTCCAGATCTCCACAGCCAAAGTCACCACCCACTGCCTCCGCGGCCACGTGATGAATGCCCTCCATCGGGAAAAGCAGGCCTGCTCTCTGTGCGTTAGTGCCTCAGAGACAGGGCAGGAAGGTACCTTCTCGCTGAACTGAGGAGGCCTGGCCTGCGGCACCCAGGTCCAGCTCCACTCAGAGCTGCACCTGAGCACATGCCCAAATCCCCATACACGGCCCAGAGAGGCTGGGAGCCTGACAGTGCTAGGCCTTGCAGGCTCAGTACATTCCAGACTGAGGCAGAAGACAGGAAACAAAACCCCACACAGCTTACAGGAGAGACTGAGCCTCTCGAGAACAGACTCTACCTTGTCTCATTCTCCCATCTGTCCTCCTCACGCTCCTATGAGATCCGAAAGCCTCTGCTCCATGCTGACCTCCTAGACAGCACAGCTCGTGGGCCACCAACTGAGCAGTGAATCCCCTTCGATTTCTAATCAGGCATCACACAGCCTCCTGTCTTCAGTGCTTTGTGCTATTCAAAACAGGCTACGATTTTGGTGCTCTGGTTGTGATCACACGAGATTAACATACTCCTCATTGTAAACTAAATTCCATTTAAATTAATTTGAGGAATTTTTCCAAAATACTATACTCCTTTAAGAAAATGACAGTTACCATATTTTAAGTACTAACTACACGCAGAGCACTATTCCAAGTGTTTTACTCATTTAACCCAGAGAATCTTGTAAAACTCTATCATTCTCATTTTATAGACAAGGCAACCAAGTCACAAGAAGGTTAGGTATACTACAGTATAGACTTGCTGTCTATTTTGTTGAAAATTACATACTGACTTCTCCCCACACAGAATGTCAGAGGATAAAACCACAGGGAGAAAAAAAGACATGGATGAGAACAGCAAAAGAAAAAGGATCCCGAATAAGGAAGAAATTTTAGAACACAATACACGCAGTTAGCAGGCAGTAAGGGAGCCGCGTGACGGCAAGTGGCACTGGGGTAACGGCAGTGCCCCCCAGGCTGACATGCAGCCCCGGGCATGCAGACAGACCCCAGGGCCCTCTGGACCATGCTCTCCTGCCGGGGGCCCCTCCTGCTCTAGAGACCAGGCATCCATTCACAGCCATAAATCCTCCTCTCAGCCACAGACATAGGTACACTGAGGGGACCACAGGGACCACCAGCCCCCGCTGCACCTCCAGCTGTCACTGCCTGTGACCAGCAAGCGAGGCAAAGAGGCTGAGCCCCAGGGTGACAGGGGACAGGAAGGTGGCAGGGCAGCAGAGCAGCAATGGCTCTAGAGCAGGCACCGAAGCCCACTGCTGCAGCACACAGAGCAGGGAATCTAGGTGAGCTGGTTCATGCCCCCGGCTCACAGCTCTCAGTCAAGCTGGCTTGGCAAGGCGACTCGGGCCCCTTCTGCTTAAGAGGGAGCACAGTTAGTAAGGCACGGGAGGGCAAAGACAAACGGCACATTCCTGCTCTAGAGATCATTTCCACTGAGAGAGAGGAAACAAGAAAAAAGAAAGTGCCCAGTTGCGCTAATAGAGCTCGCAGTCCTGCGGTGGGCTCCTCGTGATGAGGTAGAGAAAGACCCTACAGGCAGGCCATGCCAATAGGGCTCACCAATGCCCTCGCAGGGCAATACTGTTCTTCACATGCTAAGACTGGGCGACCTGGACTAACTCCCATTTCAGTTTACACAAAACCTACACAAGTAAGCCACAACTGCCTTAATCTAAACACAAAACAGAATCTACAATTACAAACAACTGCCTTTCTTTACCCCTTAAAAAAGTTCTGCAAATTCTATTTAAAAATGAAAAGCACTTTTTATTGTTGTTGCTTGCTTTTTGAGACAGGGTCTTGCTATATAGCCCAGGCAGGTCTCAAACTCTCAGCGATCCTCCTGCCTCAGCCTCTTAAGAGCTGGGATTACAGTTATGCACCTCATGCGTGGCTATGAAAATGATTATTAAGCTCAGCTTGGTATTTAGTCATGTTTTTATAACTTTTTTCTATTTATAGGAATAATGTATGATTCATTGTAGAAATTTTGGAAAACAAAGCCTAAAATCTTAAAGAATAAAAGGGGGTGAGATCACTCGTAATGTATACACTCCTCAAAAGGGTAAAACCTGTGCAAATGAGATTTTTCCAAACCATGAAAATTTTTGAGCTTAACACAGAAAAAATATTAAAAGAAAGGATTATATTCAAATCTCCAAATTGTTCAAAATAAAATTCTAATGATTTCTTTTGCTTATCCAAACCCACTGATTCTGCTAATAAGAAATTTCTTTTTGCTTTGTTTCTAGAAAATAAACCGTTGACTGCCCTTGGTAAAGAAAAGTAATAAAAACACTTATAGGGAGTCACTGAAGTTGGATACTGATCACATGCTGGGGTAAAGGAAGGCCAGCTCTGCAAACACAGAAAGCCCAAAGCAAGCCATGCAAACACTTGTTCCAGCTCCAAGAAGACAAGGGGTCCAGGCCAACCCAGCAAACAAGTTGCTAGGCAGGGGGGTTGAAACTGACATCAGCCTTCTGAGGGTACAAATAAAGGTGTTGTAGTGGTTGAGCATCCCTTTTCTCCCATCAGGAGAGAAGGCTCCACCTGACCTCAGCTCTCTCCCTTTATTTTCTCATCCTCTCACCATCCTTCCCTCCCAGGAGCATCTAGAGTAGCAAGGGGCTGTAGGGAGCCGAGCGACAGCCCATAGCTGCCTCCCTGCCTCTCTCTCTCCTATGGGCACTGCGTCCGCCTCCATTAACCATAATCCTCTCTTGCTTACGTCACATACCCAGACGCGACAGTAACCCTGTTGTATTCATCCCCATAGCCTCTTCCTGTCCCACCTCCCGCCCTTGGCCTATAAAAGATGTAATCACTTCTGGAATAAACAGGGGGCTTGATCAGATTCTCTCAACTTGCTTCCATCTCTCTTTGTCTCCCCTATGTCTTTATTTAATCCCCGTTCCTGCTCCAGGTACACCCCACGGATTGATCCGCAGGCCGGATCAAGTGGCGCCCGACGTGGGGCTCCTGGCACGGAGTCAACGAGGGAGCCGTTCGAGACAGCCAGCTTAATTGAAAGTGAAAGCAAAGTGAACCAGAGACCGCAGTGAGGAGTGAGCAAACTGAATCAAGGATTAAAGCTAAAAGCAACAGGACATTAAATCTAGTACTGAGGCCTATGCAGACGATTACCCGGCATGCCTGACCGAGTCACGGTGAGTGAACGGCGACCCCATTCCCTTTCCCGGACATGGGTCAAGCATTGAGCGAACACGAATTGTTCGTGGGAGGCCTTATAAAGGCGTTAAAGACAAGAGAGGTAAGGGTTAGAACAAAAGAATTATTGCAGTATTTTCAATTTATTCATAAGGTTTGCCCCTGGTTCCCCCTAGAGGGTTCTATAGATACCAAGAGGTAGAATAGAGTAAGAGATGCTTTAAAAGATTATTATAGAGTTTTCGGTCCAGAAAAGGTGCCGGTGACCACCTTTACAATTTAATCTCTGAGCTGCTTGCCCAGCGGCATGCAGATCCTCAGATTGAGGAGACGGTCGCACAAGGTGAGGCCTGCCCTGCGCGACTCTGTTAATTCTACGTCAAAACCATCCTCAGAAAAATCTGAAGCCTCTGATTTCTCAGATGCAGAGGATGATGGCCTGTCAGAGGTCCTCCTACATGGCGATCTGCCGCCACTTCCTCCTGTTGACATGATCAACAGGTTCCAGGATGGTGGCCTGCCACCCCCCGTGCCTCCATGGGGAATTGGGGATTTATAAAAGCCTTTATACCCCGGCCTCTCTCGTTTTCAGGAGGTCAACTGGGAAAAACTAGCACAACAAGCCTCTACATATCACCCTGACCCTGTTGCAGCACCGGCCGCTATTAGACCGTCCCCTGACTATGATGATGCACTTAGCATCTGCCCTCAACCTTCTAGCACGTTAGCGGAATTAGAGCAAAGAAAAAGGGATCTTTTAAAACAGATACAGTTAGAAAAAGAATGCCAAAATCTTTCAATTTAATTGCAGGCCCTCCGAGCTACACAGCTTTATAGTGCCCTTGAGATGGCGCCTGCCTCCGGCAAGCCTCGTGGTGCTCTTAAAATGGCGCCTGCCTCCGGCAGCCAGCCCAAAATGGCATTCCCAGTTATGGAGGCCCTTGTTCCCCCGCGGGATGTTGAAGAGGGCACTGAACCACAAGCTGTTAGGATACACACACACACACCTCTCACCATGACAGCCTTAAAAGAGTTAAAGGCCGCAGTCTCTCAATATGGCCCGACTGCCGCCTACACCATTGCGGTTCTAGATTCTTTGACTCAGGGCTGGATTATTCCTAATGAGTGGAAAGACTTAGCAAAAGCCACCCTCTCCAGAGGCAATTATCTATTATGGAAATCTGAATTTTTTGATCAATGCG